AAGAATTGTACGACACAGATGGACGTAATCGTGAATGCAATATTTAATATAAAAGACCGAACCACGAATTGTACGTGCTTGAATTCAAGTCTTTCCCACGTGTCTTTCACGTCATACATAAAATTTCAGATGTCGCCTACGCACTTAGGAGACGAACTCATGCAATTTAAACATTTGTATGTAGTTCATTGCATGAATACAATGGTCAGTGAACATATAAAAATGTGAATTCTTCGTGTGCTTTTTCTTAAACCTGGGAACGCATACACATAAAATACCAATGTGCTGTTGCTATATATCAATAAGTGTTTTCTGTTTATAATTACTCATATTTCAAGACATCGAATGGATCATATATCTAGTGAGAAACTATAACTATAAATGCGTGCACACACACCGACAAAAAGCTTCCACGGTCATACATTTTTGCCTGGGAATCAACGCTGTGAGTAAATGACGGTAGTTGGTATGACGGTATTCCAGTAGTTGCCGGGTGTCAGTCTATCAAAAACTAAAAATCGATGCTCGATGACTCCACCGACAAAAACTCGCTAGGTTATCCTCTTGCAATATAAATTGGGTCGTAAAATGCAGTACCCAAGCAGACGCTCAAGACTTACAGGATTTAGTATATCAGGTATTGGGCGGCGTAGCGACATGGCCATAATCGTCAGAAGCGCAATCAGGAGAGCGTGGTTGAAATCTTGGTACAATGCATTGACATCTTGCAAATCAACTACAGTTAGTTAAAATGTAGATATTTAAATATTGGATGAGCTACACCGACGCTAAATTATAGTGAGAAAGTGTATCTTTACCGCAGCGTCTTGATAGATTACATTTAAATTGTCCAATTTCCTAATCAGAACTGAAAATTGATACCCAATTCGGATACTTTTCGCAAGTTAAACACAATAACTTATGAATATTTCATGAACTTCACTAATGCGTTAAAATTCATCGAGATGAAATCCATAGAATCTATGTTAAAAATACGTTTTCTACAAATGAATAACACAATAAAGTGTGATGTCAATGTTAATTCATATTATTAAAATGAACTTGAAATATTCTTTTGCACAACGGTATTGATTTGTTGATGAGTTACGTAATGTACGTTTTTAAACTGTATGACAAATTCATTTTCTATTGTTGAATTTAATAATGGGAAGCTTTTGTTTGAAAACTGAAAAAAATGTCACTCTCATCGTTTTTGGTATTTTCTATATTAAGATTATTGAACCAAGAATTCTAGTGAATCGTCTGAACACAGGTCACTAACGTCAATATGATAAACATGAAATGAAAAAGCCGGTTCATCTTGAGTCATGTCCATGACAATTTAATGCTTCAATTTTTTCTATTATTTACTTTTATATATGAAATGATTTTTCACTCATAGTCGATTTTGCTTTTTCACTTTAACTAGGTACGAGGGATACCGTTTAAACAAGTGTGGCCACGAGCTTTCATATAATCTAATTCTTGTTAAAGCAGTTAGCTGGAATTTATTAGGTTTATTTTAAGTTGGTAAAATTTCTATATTTACGTCCAAATCGCTACATGCCTGCACAAAATCGCACAATTTTATTTGCAACGATTATCCTTTGCTGCAGCATTGTAACATTCATCACCTAGGTATCGAAAATACACTGATCATGCTTTTGCGTATTGATAATGCTCATTTCCATATAAGGTTTTCATATACAGTATGTGGTTATTTTTGGTTAGACAGGGATAGAATCTCATTTATGATTTTTGACGCTGCTGAAGTAACTGTTAATCTATATGGAGTGGCTGGAACACAATAAAAATAGAGTGAAGTAGAAATTTGATTTCAGGTAAGAAAATTAGGTAAGAAGATTAGAAAATGAAGGAGTTAGCTATGATATATTTCGAAGCTTAGCATACATAGCTGTCATTGCTGTTTATAATGTTTCTCGTGATTGGAGTAAGACGACAAACAACGAAGGAAACGTAGAAATGAATTTAATATTGTATAGCAAACATATTAAAACATTTCACATTACAACCACATTTGGCACACCGCCAATATATAAAAGTGCTCAAAACGACTAAATTGAAATTACGCCTATGTGACTTAGATTTGATTTAAAATCTGATTGATGCTACAACGCTTTAAATTCAGATGACAGCAAAGATGGATGCAAGCTTTGTGGCAAGGTAGCGTACTACGGGGCTATACGGTCGTTTTGATGGCGTTTTGATGGTGTTGGTGGCGTTAGTACAACAAGTTATTTGTGATGCCACGATAAGAGCTGCAATTTAAGTCTGGTATTTAATTTTAAATTTGCTGAGTTATTGAGCTTAACTTTGAATTTTGACTCGGACTCTTGATTTCGCTGATATTTATGTTTCATCTGTGTTTTCTGAAGGGTAATTTTATATTTGAAAATAGAAAACCAGTTAACAGGTCTATTTACCTAATTTTTAATTAATTGCACATTGGAACAAGCTTTATTTTTGAGGTGAAAAATTACGCAGGAAATAAGATAGAAAAACTCTATGATGAGGCAACAAAATTAGCAGCATTTGACCCCAAACTATTGTTTTTTTATTATCTTATCTCAGCATAGACAGATTATAAAGGTGTAAAATTTTGTCATTTCTGTAGCTTCAATACTCTTGTATGCCGGAAATAACCTTTAGTAAAAGTATTAAATATATTATTTTATTAATCATATTATTCTTATTTGCAAAAATGTCATGCAAACAACAACCATTGCGCAAAATACATGTGACTCAATCCACCGTTGCTCAATATTTTGCACTTTTGACTCATGTTTGGACTTATAAAACCCTAAAATTTACTTAAAAGTAAATGGCGGTGAATAAATTTGCAGTTCTTATAAGTTTAGCGCCAGTTGTAGTAAACGAGAAAGATTATAAATGAAAAGTGAGCCACACATAGTTTGCGAAATTTAATTAAGATTGTTTGTGAGATTTTAATTAAGCAGATATTATTTGATTGAAAATTTCTGTGAAAAAGCAGCAATATGTAAATAAATCTGACTGTTTTGCGCGATTCGAAAAGTGGATAGTAAGAAAATTATTCAAATTTTAAATGACATAACTTTTGTGACATAAGCATAAGAAGAAGAAGATCTGACATTACTAATGAGTCCTATTACAGCCGTCTGTCAACCATCCTTCGCCCTAGATGATGAGTCAGGAGTATGGAAACCTATGTCTGTCGCACGTTAACAAGGTATTTGCGTATAGCGTATAAAGATGTGTGGTATTTTATATCGATACCGTTAGTTTGCCATGCAGGGACCATAAGTCTTTAGCATGACACGGCATCATGTGCTTTACAAAATTAAAAATAAGGTAGGCGTTTCGTTACAAGATTGGGGAATATAAATGGAGCAATATAGTTAGTTAGCACACCAGTGTAGAAGTAGAAATATCAAATAAAATCAAATTTTATTTGCTTATGTGGTTCGCTTGTTTCAATCTACAAAAAATATTGCTTTAACATTAGAATAGTAATAATGTACACGCGAAACTTGTTTTTTTAACTTTCTTACGATAGAGGATTTTGTATGTTTGAATCATTCAAAATGATACGGTCTTATGTAAAAAGTTCACGTTTTGTCCCCGGTGAGTGATAAAGCCTATTATTCACGTTTCAACTTTTGCCTGTTTATATATTATGCAGGATTAAAATACAGCAACGCGAAGTTTAATCGAGTTAGTATCAGTAATATCATGATTGTCTAATTGAGAGAAAAAACAATTTTCAAAACTGGAAAAAAAAGAAAAAAATGGAGATGTATTATCCTAATTTTACGCTTTATCCGACAGCGGCATGCAGTCTTGAATTTTTCCAATATGTGATGCATATTTACTGAGTTTCCGACGTTGATAAATATATACAAAAAAAAATGAAAGTATTGATCAGACGTCATTATTGTGTCTGGAGTGTATTGTTTCAATAAATTTTCATCTTATAATAACCACAGACTATTTAATGAAAGTGGGATTGTCCATTTTGTTTCGCAGCAAACGGTATATTTACTTATATATACATATGTGGTAATGACGAAAATCAAAGAAAAAGGACTGGCACGTATTTTTGGAATTTCAAAAGCGCAACTTTAATTCAAAAGTTGAGCGGCAGCGCAGAGGGTCGCAATTACTTGGTTGCAGATATTTAGTTGAAGAAAGTATGTATAGTTATATTTATTTATTATATATGGCGAGGCAGTTTACGTGACCCCATCACAAAAACGTAAAGGATTCTTATAGAGCAGTTGCAAAAAAGCGAGAGTACCTATATATATATATGGTTGACAATAAACTTGAAGCAATGTTGGCAATTTCAAAAAAGGGTAGAGCATAATAGGTGATTTCGATAAAGTGGTAACACACTGTAGCGATTTTTATAAAACAACAAAAAAACTAATCTAACATTTTAGACAAATAGAGTATGATTTAATGTTTTCACATGCTGAAAATTGAACTATGTTTAATATGTGTTGCAAAAAAATGATTCATTATATACATCCAAGTTAAAAAATAACATAGTCAAATTAAACTCTTATGAGTACGCAGTATTTTGAGTATATCAATATCAGTCGTATTATTGAGATCATGATTATCCAAATTTGTTTCAAATTGATGAAATAATTTTTATTGACTTCAGAAAAGAGTATTTTGAGTCGTGATTTCCGGATCTGATTTGAGATTAAACCGCAAAAAAATGCGTAATTCGAGCATATGTTTGAAAAAAAGAAAACCTTAACGGAAAACAATTCATCAAAATACTTATTCGGTAGTGTCTTAGGAACCAACTGTGCAGGACTAATTTCTTTGCTTCAGTAAATAATCGGGGTATATTTTACATAAGTCTAATACTAATTAATTGCTAAATAAAACATCTTTAATAATATCAAATATCATTACCACATTTTTCTTATTACCATATTGAATTCTTTCATCTTAGATATAAAATTTCATCAATTACTTATCAAAAATGGCTAATATTACCGACCGTACCCGAACTGTAATATTTGAAGATGGCGAGAAAACCACGTTATATTCTGACACATTCAACATGGTTGAAGAAAAAAATAACAGTGGAAATACAACAGAACTTGTATTGGGAATACCGTTAGAACGAAAAATATTATACCAGTCAGTAGCAATAACATTATCAGTTATGGTTGTTTATGTGACTTTTGCATTGCTCCAATACAACTGGGTAAAATCAGGGTGTCGACAAGAACAGGAGCGACGGTCATCGTCTATGAAGCAAAAGGGCCCAAAGGAATCTGGTGGGACTTCAGACTCGTCGAATTCAAATTCTCAAAACTCGTGTCGTTCAAAAACATCATCAGCCAGAAATTCAAGAATTTTACGAAACATGTGCGTTACAGGCTCTGTTCTTGTTCTAATCCGTCTCCTTGCAGAACAGATCGAGATCTTGCCCAGCAGCGAATCAAGACTGGACTGCAGAGATTACCAGGTAAATTATTATTAATCACGCTGTAATGTGTAACATTATTATTTTTAAGAGTTTCAAATCTTATTCGCGCCTGTATTTTACTTGGGTAAGTCTAGATCATGTTTAACATTGCTACACCATTTTTTTCACAATCCAATAAAGAAAAATTCTTAGCTGTCACGAAATATTGAACCATGAACGAACAATTATCTTAAAGGCAAAATGTAAATTTGTATGTAGCATAATTACAATATCCATATCTACCGGAGAATTTGAAGAAATAGTGCTTATCATGTACGATTTATGTTTGGCAATTATATGACATTCAACGCAATATTAATGCAGTTCAGCTCCCCCGCAAAATTATAGAAAAATACGTGATCGCCTAACGTCATTATACGTTTTCGATTCCCGTAACCTGCCATATATTCATCAGACTGTCTGGTCATTTTTTGTTTTCATATTGAACAATGCAATTTTCACTAAATAGATCCAGGAAATGATATAAATATAGAACGCGAAATTTGGCACATGAAACTTGTAATCATTTTCTGCTGATGATAACTTCACAAGCGAAATTGAAAAAAAGACGTTTTTACTTCTCGAGAAGTGAACAAATTTGAAATTTCACCCAACTCCACATTTTTATCCATATGCAATACATTATATATATATAATACTGTATGTTTTATAGAAAATATATTTGAATATTTTGAATCCCGGATCCATCAAGTTTATTTTTGAATTCTCTGACTCTTTCCCCTGCTTTTTTCTTGGTTGTTGGAACATTTGGAGCAAAGTAAAGATTACTTTTTATGACGTTTTTCTGAAGCGGCTTGAACACCAGATATACTTGAGTACATATTGCATAACTAAACATATATATACAAACAAGCATTTGATTCTATATTGCGCCGACTAAAACTGCATTGCTTGAAAATGATGCCAAAACCGGAAGTGTGGGGTATGTGAAAATCGAACCGTCAACAAGTATATACTTGTAAACACAATTTTTGTAGTTTTGGGAGCATTCTATTACCGGGAATTCATATGGAAGCAAATGTAAAATCCTAGTACATTTCCCATCAGTAAATTTGCATTCGTTAGGGTTTTGTATCCATTAGCAATTAATTAGCAAAGTGTCTGCCGGCATCTAATTAGGCTTTCCAGCCGTCACGATTCGAAATGATTTGGCAAACGTAAGCAATTTCAAGACAACGGAAACTCGAATGTGATCTAAATGGGTCTGGAATATTTTATGAATAGGATTAATAGACTAATGTGAACTTTATTTTAGGTTCAAAGCTATAGGCATGTTTACTTTTCGGCACACTCGAATTCTTTATTTCAAAAAATATATATATACTTGAACGACTTTTACCGTCTTTGGTGTGTGAATAGGTTATAGGGCCTACTTTTCATTACGATATTATATTCATACTGTCTTATATTCTATTTTTAGATTGCGATGGTGGTAACCTACGCATTGGCAGTTACCGTATTGTATGGGATCTTATGGTACAGAGTCAGAGTTTTTCTCTCACATCCCGCCATGCGCCATCTTGGATCCAGAGTTTTGACTGTTATTTTGTTCATCGTATTGATCGTCATCATACTCGCATCGGGAGTGAACATGGCGATGTTTTTGGTAACTACAATTTCAGTCGATCAGGAAGGTGGTTGTCAAACTGTTTCACCGGGTGATGTTTTATCCAACAGCGCACGATTTGGAATTCTGACTGTGTGCACCGTCGTTTCTCAGGCGTCTCTGTTGGGCCTGTTTCTTTATCCTCTGGTGAGACACAGTGCTACAATGCAGGCAGCTAAAATAAACACTCCACAAGTACAACGTAAGGAAAATGAAAGTGTTAGAGCAAACCGTACAATGTCATTCAAGTCAACATTGAGTCCCGGTACGTTAACAAGAAAATGGAGAAGTAGAAACAGCAGCAAAAGAAAGAAGCGTGAACAAGCACTTCTAAAAATTATCCGGCGTGTCATGATTACGGCTATTGTTTGCGCTCTTTCAGACATTTTCTGTGGTCTTATTGTGAGACTCGTTGTCGAAGAACCTCGTGTTGTAACCAATCTCATATTTGATGTAAATATTGTGATCAATCTAGCCTGTGTTCTTATGTCATTCAAAGATTGGAGAGTTAGACTCTTCCCTTGCTGTGTTCAATCACAGAAATCGAAGAAGGGCGACAAGTCTGACAAACGCCCTGCTTCCGACAAAGAACCTTACATCCCACAACATCCTACATCTTCTCCGCCAATCTTTTCATCAAGAGATTCAACAGGTTCAGGTGTTTGTCGAACTTCCGAATCTGGCATCAATTCTGTATCTCCACGAGCTGTCAGTCAAGATGGCAGATGCTACCGGTACTCTAATGACGTGAGCTTGAGCGAGGATTATATAAGACCTGTTTGAAACATGCTTCGTGTAGAGAGTAATATTACAAAATAAGTTGAAGCAAAGAGTTGGTAGTTGCTGCAATATCAAAACCGCGTAATCATTACAAAATGTTTGATAGTGTTTCCGCTAGTGGGCGCTCAAAAACTGGTTTACTCCTTCTATAATAGTCAATTTATTTAAAATAGCACATAGAATTTAAAATTATTCAAAACTATTTTTACTCTATATCGCAGCTTTTTATGACCAATATTAAATTACTGCAGCAAAACTACTCTGAATGCAGAATGACCATGATCAATGAGGTATTTGATCTATACCTAGATATTGGTGGAACAACTCAAACATAAATATCTAGCAAAGTCCCCAAAAGTGCTGGGTGAAATATCCGTTATTCTTTATAAGACTGCATATCACTATTTACCCCTGTATTACGATTTCGATAAGATTTTGGCAGATGAATATTATCGTAAATAATACGTTCTTGTTTTCAACATATATTTATGTGATAAGCTAATCAGCATAGTTGAACCGTGGATAAGGTTGAACGTATTCATGTTTCTTTATGGATATAAATATTGTTTTTATTATTCTACATTGTTATGTAATTTATTAGCGCTCTTACGTTTGTGAAAATAAAGTATATTCGTAAAAACAATTATTGCGTGTGGTTTATGAACGATGGCTATAGATGTGAAAGTTTGATTTGAGTGTAGCTTGATATATATTTAAAAGGAATTCATTTTGAAGAAATTAGGGCCCTAAAATCCGGCACCTGCGAGAATCGAATGAATTTCTACTTTCAGTAAAATATTTGATTGACCATCTGTCAAAGTATGGTGCCACACCTGAAAAGTATCGGGGGGGGGGGGGGGGGGGGGTTGAAATTTTAGCGGGGTGTACGGAAATAACTGCGCTTCGATAAGAATGATAATTTTTTTGCCCAAGTCCGTTGCAAAGACGGGTAGCCGATATTTTGCCACCAAGTTAACTTTCCCATATAGAAAAGATCAATATCGTTGAATAGAATCATTGAACGATTTCTTCGCATATGCCAAGTTCAATGTAATTTTTATTCAAAAATTCCAACAATGCATAGCCGTGGAAAGTTCAAGTATAATCAGTATCGCAAATACGAACGAAACTAGACATTAGAAACTCAAGTTCGTGAAATGCCACTATTAACAATTTTGAATGTCAAATTTTTTGAAAAACATAACTGGAATATAGTTCAATATATCACATCTCTCAAAACAAAAGCATTCATCAAATACGAGGCATTGTTGAAAAAAGTTAGCTGGCGATCATAATTTGACTTTCGTCCATATATTTAAGCATTTCCCTCTTGTTCTTATTTTCGCCAATTCATCGCACATTGTATAGTAAATTTCACATGTTCAGCGAACTCAGAATTGCTCAAGTTGTTTTCGACTGGACAAGACAATCAATGTTTATATTAGACAGGAATGATGGCGAGATGGAGGCTTTACTGACTTCTGTGATTGAGAATCGGGGAGTAGTTCTATTACCTTCTTTTCATCAAAACAAGTATTGCAGGCTTTAAATAAATATACATATCTTGAAAGTATTGGTTAGGAACTAACCACATCATTTGAGCGCGGAACCAAGTTCTATTCTGATCTGGTATGAACAGATTATTACAGATCGACAGTATAACTTAACCGGTAATTTTTCTTCTTGCTTTCGCGACGACTGACTATTTCAAAGATACGACGAACAACAAATACTAAGCGTGAAGACCAAAAACAAATTAAGCATTACTAATATAGATATATTTATATTTAATACGAAGGAGGTATAATATACTTATTATATATAATAATGATATAAATAGATATAGATATATATATATATATGAAAATAAATATACAGAATATAAAATTAATAAAAAATAATCATTTGCAATAGGAAATAATTGGTGAGCACGGCGAACAGACGATACCAGGCCATCTGATGTTATGATACCCTGAGAATTAAAAAAAAAAATATCTACAATATGAAACATTTTATTACAAGTGCAATATGTGAATCATGGCATAAAAGCATTTTATCAGGCAGAGAATATTCCGTTGGTCTTTGAGCTTAATTAATTGCACAAAAGTCTGTTTAAAAACAAGATTGATGTCCAATTTGTTTGTGGTATATGGGAATGGCATGTACTAAGCACAAAGAAGTTGAAAAAAAATCCGCCCAAAAAAGAACTCACCATATTTGATTTCCTCAAATGGTATTTCATCAACTTTTCCTTGATTAATCGCATTAAACTGTAAAAATCAAAGAATACTTCTTAGGAAATACATAATTGGAAACTGGACTGTAGATTCGGAGAAGTTTACAATCGACTCAAGTTTGACAAAATATTTGATTGCGACAGGACTTCAGGACAGAACTCGGAATAAATTAAACTTTGATTGGCGGATGCAACCTCCTTTATTAAACTATTATAAATGCTCAGTAACCATGATGTCTTTTGAGTTTCGAAAGAAAATGTTGATTTTATTGGCATTATTGAAAGAATGAAATTCCGACTCCCAACTAATTAGGAATTTCGACTCCGGCGCAGGGCAGTTGAAAAATTTGTCTGCGGTGAAGAATCCGCATTCCTGTATTGATATTTCCTCACTAATTAAGTAAAGTTGAACCGACTACATTTCCATACATTATTGTTCGCCGGAACATCCATTTCAAAATTGTGTCAACGTAATGATAGTTCCACAGCGTATATTGTTTATAAACACAGTAGATCGTACTTACTAATTTTGTTTCGAATATCCCTCGGTATTCGGACACTGGACCTGGATATTTTCTTTCATACGTGCACTTTCTTGCTCTATTCTGAATAAATAAATGGAATTAATAATTCTAATAAAATATCTGCATGCTGAATTTCCTTTATTTCAACGGTTTCTTCAACGACTAGTTATAACTTAGAAAACTTTGAAAATATATTTAAAGTGTAACTATGATGTACATGCTATCTTATGCCTAAGCAATAAAGTTGATATATGATTTCCATATTTGGTGACCGTACATTTGAACCCATGTACATTTGAACCCATGCGTACATCCACGGGTTCAATCTATATGCGGGTGCTAAAACCCATGGATTAGGGTTAGTATGGGTTTAACTATCCGTGAAACAAAAAAAATTCCATAGGTGCAATAGCATACAGGTGCAATTGTCATGGGTTCAAATGTACGTGGGTTCAAATGTAATGGAACCTCCATATTTATGTCGGGGAAAGTCGATAAGATGGCTCAATCCTTCGGCGAACCAAGGTACGGTTACCAGTTTACGTCGGGTACTGGAATAGTTAGTTGACCAATTATTTGTCTTAGTAACGTGGACTTGATGGTGAAAGAAGCCGCGAGCTAACCGCGCTTGCGTGAACAACCCTACGACGGTGATGAGTCCTGCAATCATGTCGCGCATAATTACCCCCCTTGCCAATTATCAAATATATAACTTTGTAGAATGTTTAAGCATGACAAATATTTATCAATACTAACATTGACGCTCCTTTTCTGTCGTTGATCAGAAATTCTGGAATTATTAAAAATTGAATTAGTGCTACAAACTACTAGTATTACTTTATTATAAAACAAAATATTCTCAAATAATCTTCACCAACCAACAAGATGATTTCGAAGCAATAATATATAATTATACACGATATAAAAATTAGCTTCCATTTTACTACGAGACTTACCTATATGCCATCTGTTTAATTTTTTCAATATTATCATCGCGTTGTTCTGATTTAGCAACGTACAATTTCCTGCCAACATTTTTACATTTTTTGTGTCTGCCTGCGATTCTCAGTTGCGTTTCTTTCGAATTTATGATTTTTCTTTGTCCATCCTATGCCAATGTAACAATAAATATCAAATAATAATTCTGATACAAGTTAAAAATCCTGCTATAATGAGGGTTCTTAATTCAACGCATTTACAGAATAAATTTCACTTGATGAATAATCGACAACAACTACAATTGTTTTCGTTGGGAATATCAGAACTTTTTACGTAACAATGTACCACAGCTGAGTAGTCGGAGCCGGAGTCCTGTATTGATGAATTAAAAGCAACAGTAGTAACAAAATACTGACCTTGGAATATTTCGCTAATTCGTCATTCGTCGTCCATAATTTTTCTCGAAGTTCCTGAAGAATAGAATTTAAGTTAAATGTTTTTTTTTATTTTCGAACAAATTCAAAATCAATATGAAATAATTCAGGACTTACTTTATTCTTTTTCCTTAACGCAGCATTCTCTGCTCGAAGCTTTTCCAACTCGCTAAAAATTAGTTTAAAAATAATTGTTTTGCATACGGATGACTAAAGGAAGAAAACATATTAGCTTGTTTGCACTTTTGAAAATAAGAGATTAAGGATTGAGAATCCTTGATATGAATTGGTGTTAAAAGGTGAAAATTAAAGAATTGAGCAGTGTTTTTGTATTACAAACTAGAAGTAATTAAACAATGAACGGTTTTTATCAATCGAATGTGAATGCCTACCAAAAATGATTTTACTTACGTTAGTTCTTTACAATCATCATTTGACACCTGATAAAAAAAATATTTATTTCTGATTCAGATGCTTTCTATTTTTCTTTATAATTGGATTGTGAAAATAATGGAATACAGTACCACCTTGCTCGATACAGATTGAAATTCTTCTGTTTTCTGTTCTACAATAACTTTCCTCATTACTGAACAGCTTTCTGTTGTTTGCTAAATAGAAAATTACGAATATTGAAATGAGGTAAAATTGAAATGCCAAAACACAATAAAAGTTCCATGAAATAGCCCAGACTACCTGAGTTTGGTTTGATATCATTTTTTGATTCAAATTTAGAGCGAGTGTTGACAATATATGAGAAGTCGACATGAAGTCTTCTCTTCTAATATCCACATTCTGCAATAAAAGTATAATTTTTTTCATTACCTCCACTACTTTGAAGCGACGAATATACTGACATTGCTTAACATTAAAAACTTACCTATGCTGTATGTACAACCATACAACTATAATTTAACAAAACATAAAAACTTACATTTCCATAGAACCTTTCTCTCAAAGCTTGTGTAATATAAGTTGGAAGATAATGCCTTGCAGAGTTTGCAACAGTCGTAGCCAACATACTAATATGCGTTCTTGCAATTTGCAACGCCATCCGTATCCTGTACAACAGAGCAGAGTTACACACCATCCTATTTTGAATTTTAGTTCAAATTATTTAAAAAAAAGATATAAATGTACGCTCACTCTCTACGTCTTCTTAAGTGCTTCTCAAAATCCGATTCAAACACCCAGTTGGCTTCAGCAAAAGATCCGGTTCTAAAATAAAATCAATGTATTCAACGTTCCTCATAGTTGGATTTGAGTGCAATGATGAAATATTTCCTGCGAGAAGATATTATCAAATTATTCAGGTCTTGCACTATACAGAATTCGAACCTGAAATCGGATCTATGTGATTCAGCACACACGTCACCAAAAACCATGAACTGTAAAATGGAAGAAATCTTCTCCTTACTGTTGTTTCGTAAACTAAAATTGACGCCTTAAAATTATGTGCTTTGACGCAAATAGAAGCAAATTTGTTTTTGTTTTTTCTGTGCGAAAAAAGGAGATTCAATGGTCGAACTTAAAATTACTTTGATGTATTCACTCAATGCAATCACGAAAGATCCACAGTCAGTTAGAACCTCAATTGCGTATTTTTCACCAAAAATTGATGAAATTCTCCAGATAACATCATAATTGCGCATTGATTTCCAACATCTCCAGCTATTACAGTTGACAGAGATACTCGCATTTCGAAAATAATTTTGGTACAGAACGGGGTATGTGGGTGCATGGATGGATATGTGCATAAAAGTCGTTTGTGTGTGGTTTTGAGAGGCAGTGTGATGAAATTAAAACAGAATAAATGTTTTGAAAATTAGTTAGGAGTATAATAAATTAAAGAAAACCAACTATTTATTTTAATTCCAATAAATATAGAAGCATAGAAACTACAATGTCAGCGTAACATTTATAGAGTATTTCTTAGAAATATCCGCAAATACTTGATTTGGATATGGTATCTTTAAAACTTATCCGGAATATTCAACGATGAAATCCAATGTATTAAATGAAAAAAAAACGGATATAAATTTCTGAAAAATAATCAATTTTTTCTCTAACGGATTTTTTTTGTTATAAGTTGACCACCACAAACAACGACACTTACAAAAGAGAGATTTGCCTTTGACGAACATTTTTCATTTGATTCTGTTTTGATTCACTCTCAACTTCTTTCTTTGTATATGCAGGTTTGTCTAAACATATATTGCTTTCTTTGGGCTTGTTATGTTTCCACAACTTGCTTCTTTCTTTTCGCGATTTTCTCTGTCTTTTATTTCTGGTCTTTAATTCGCTCTCATCGTCTAGCATCGTCGTATTTTTAAATTTGCAACAATTTGAACCCATTTTGGTAGATACAGGTCGTACTTAGTCTTAATTAACCTATCTGAAAGTTGAGAAGGCTGCATAATACAATGTATAATAAGCAATTAGACTGCGTTTACCTAACGATGTTTCATAAATAAAAAGTTATAGTTATTCAGTAACGTACAGATGGTAGCTTCATAACCCTCTAACGCAACAAGCAGGATTGTAACAGTAACTTGCTTCTATTATTTTCCAGTGGCGTACACATCCAAATACAAGCAACATTAAATTGCGAGTGAGCTGGAAACGCGGTAGCCACTGGTAACCAAATCAAACCACCTATTGTGATTTTGTGCCATTGTGACATCATGCGCATGTTTCCTAGCGATGGAAGGTCAAAGATCTTGCCAGGCGTACAAAGTTCAAACTTAATGATACATGACATCAACATTCAACCACAGAGAATGATGTTGACCCTCTATAATTCAACGACCTTTTTTAAATCCATCTTCTGGTAAGGTTTGTCGGGAATTTAACAGCACAGGCCGTTTTTGGTACGTGAGTATTTTATACGGAAATACGTTTTCCTTCTTTGTCTATACGGTGGTTAATACAATAAGAATAAAGTAATGCACATTTTTATTGGACACGTCAGTGTACATAACAATCGTTTCAATATTATGTTGTTGTTCTTGTTAGTCTTCTCTGTCGTCATGACGAATTCGCTTTCTCTACGAATACTGGACCAATTGCTTTGAAATTTTCAGTGGTTAAAGATTGATCTTTTTGCCAAAAATTTCTGTGGACTTTAAGAGATTCGTTTTTTATGTGTCAGAATTAAAAACAGGGACACCTTGTGACGTGTCCATATATTTTAGCACAGCTCTCTTATTATTATGTAAATCAGTTGGTTCTCAACTTTTAGAATTTGGTGTTTTTTGCGACATTTTAAAGACTCAAATGATGCCGATTTCAGGTTTCAATTCTGAAAAGTTCGATGCCTTACCAAATTCTTAGTTCAATAATGTCTTTTCGCATCTATAGGTATATTTTATCATTGCACTTAAATCAGTGGAATATATTAATAAGGCTTAATTTGCTTTTGAAATTCATTCTTACCATTTGTTGCCTATCGTACAGACAGATTCGGTATAAACTGGAGGGAGCGATACGACCCTAATTCACTATTAAGATTCACAGTTAATGTATATAAATAGGATTACCATATGTCCCGTTTTAGGCGGGACAGTCCCACTTCTCAACGTCTTTTCCCGACCGGTCAGTCAACAGTCCCGCCGGTCAGTCAACAGTCCCGCCAGTCAGCATAATATTACAGTCAACATTACCAATTATTAGCATGTTTTCGATACTGTTGTTGCCCACTTACTGAAGTTGGATGCGTGGTTTCATTTGCTACATTTTGTTACGTGTACGCCAAAAGGGTGCTCAACGTTAACGTAATTTTCTTTCTATTATTCGAACTGTAACCGATATTTAGACAGACACCGCATAACTCTCGATGACAATATATATGGTCAATGAAGACACCCGGGATGGTTTTAAATATAGACCTCTAGTCTAATGTAAAATCGGTTAATTTCGAGTTGGAAAAATCACAGCTATGGACTTTGGAGACGTCCCGCACCTAGGTCACAAAAATATGGTAATTCTATATATAAACCATGTATCATCTGATCCGTTCAAGGAAATTTATGTTTGAGGGTGAAGTCCTATGAATGATACGGAAAATCAAAGCAGAGGTTGCGTCTCATATTGGCTAAGCTATGAAACTTTTTCAAAAAACTGGTATATGCAATGATGAGCAAACGGAATTTTTTGGGGGACAAATCAAGCGCTGTTCACTATTCCAATATATATTTGGAATTCCTTGAGAATATTGTTTTGAATAAAGTTATTTGACCTAAAAAAAGCTATTTTTTAATTGAACATATCTCGTAACAGACCTCGACTTTAATGGCGGCCGTAGTCTTTTCACGAAAACGAAATCCGCCCAAAGGGAAATAGGTTGTGCATTCCTGACGTAAACTAATAACCATGGTTAAGCCTTATATTAAGCCTTCTTATACTGAACTTATGTCAACCCCGAAAATGAGTAGAATCTTAATGAAATATGGTAATTCGTTTTCTTGACTGGAATCGGGAGTACTTTGTACTTACTTTGTTTAAATGTGTCCGATTAGCCAAAGTTCTCCCGGGTGATAAAATTTGACTAGCGCTGAAGATGTATCCCAACACAACCAAATTTCAATGAAGGTTCTTCACCTAAAAACGTCCGCCCATATATTTCCCTGCAGTAATGCTTTAAATTCATTATCCACTATTTACTGACATCTGTGTTCCAAGGATAAACCTTTATATAGATCTCTCAGCATATGTGTGGTGGCCTGTAACTCTTCTGTCTCTAATTTTCACCTTTTATTCAATATCTCGAGGGAACTTGACATATGTCCCTGTCCCGAGCACGACTAAAGGTCTCTAAACCTGATTACAAATATATTTTGGATAATACAGAATGGTTGTGAAGCATAATCAACTATTGCATAGATTTTTCAATGTACAGTCAATGAAGAAAAATAATTGAATAGTTTATATGAATAAATAATAGGTCAATAATATGAATATAAACTCATGGTGAGATCTTAAATCAGTAATAAAAAATTGCTGGTCCAGCATAACTTATAGCATCATCATAAAAAAATTAGAGCAGTCCAGCCAACAATCCTTGAAACAATATTTCGACATATTTAAAAATTAAAAACCACACCAGTGACAAATCAAACACTTTCTTTTAATTGATTGATAATTGTCCATCAAATGGAATGTATTGGGCTCTGCAACCCAGTTTTAAGCGCTGAACAAGCAGTTTTCTAATTAAGTCAAAAATTCGAGCAAGTGAAAATATGGAAAATTGAGATAGAATTGACATTTATTCAGTTCCACAGATATTTTGGAATATAGGGATAACTTAGAACAGTCCCATTTTAAAAAGATCATGTTTGTCCCAGTGTGACCAAAACATTCAATTTCTAAAAACTTGAAACAATAAAGAACCAATAAAAATCATTGTTTGTTTTACCATCCTGTATATCCAAATTTGAACTCATTGGATATACATTACCTTCTATAAATTCTTCTTTTTCATCTATTGATCATTTTAAAATAATTTCGGAATAGTAGATTATATTGAAAATCCTGAAAATGCATAGCAAACTGAGAGCCCAAAATTCCAGTCATTCAACAAAGATCCAATTCTGAGAGAGAAATATTATATCATCAAATATATTTAGAATATTCCACGTTCAAATTAGTGCAGGTTTGAATTTTATATGGTATTTTTGAAAAAAAATGGCGCTGTCATCTTAGTCCACTGTTCTCATACCAAAATTGAAACAGTTAGCATACCACAAGAAGTATGTCACATTTAAATAAATGAGTAAGCTATGATGTGTATTTCTTCAGGTATGAGACTGAAACACAGTATTAGACTGTCTGATCAACTTCCCTTTTCCCGGGATAAATTTAGGACCCATTCGAAATAGCAAGGTATTCAGATTTGATTTGATAAGACATAACAAATAAAATAGTCTCAATACAATATAAACACCACACCAATTACAGCTTTTCAATCTATCAAGTTTTTCTGTGAGATCACACGGGACCGTTATTTGAAAAAAAGAAAAATTGGTAAAATAAGACCAGCTGTACGCCCAGTCTGTTTGATCACAAGTCTGGAAATATGGCATCAAATATCGCTTCTTGTCTTATATTTGTTGTAAAATGGTAATGCATACTTTGGGGCAGACATAAATTTATATTTAGGGCACGAAACGGGTCAAATCTAAGCACCATATAAACGCTCATCAAAAATAAGCACCCATGGGCGGACTTAGGACTGAATTGGAGTGATGATCAGATGAGAGATAGCATTCCCTTATATTTTGTTCTATGAACTTCCCTTTCTGCCAAGGCGAATATGAAAATATCATCAACCAACCTTCATCTTCCATCATTAGTGGTTCATTTATGGCCAACTCTTGTTCATTAACTTGTTCATTTGCTTCTATCTGTTCATTCTGTGCCTGAAAACAAATAAAGTGGCATCAAATCAGAGAGTAAATGCTCAAAGCATAAGCTTTACCATATAGAATCGAAGGTTTATATTTGTCACTGAATAAATTTTAAAAAAACTGACTTCCATTTAACTCTGAACACTGTAAAAATTGAAAACCATTGATTGAAACTTTGCATTACTAAATTCATTTCTAATAATCTAAAATAAGTGGAACACCGATGTTAAAAATGACCAATTTAATCACTATTTAATGGTATTTCAAAATTCACCCAGAAATAGATTTTTAAATATTTCCTTAATAACCAGCTAAATTCTACATGGTTTCGGCATTTCAGTGGGTGCTCAGGAATGAGTCTGCATTACCTTCAAGTGAGTACACATCTTGTTTTGAGGGAAATTTAATTATATATAAAATAAATAAAAAAGCATTCAAAATGGCATTTTAACAAGCTAAAATAAGTTTTGTGTTCAAGTCCTGGATAGTCCAGCAATGATCGCTTCAACAGTGGAGTAACAAAAATGTTTTGGTTCGGTACAGCTCCGCCCACTTTCCCATGAAGGGATTTTAACCATTGATCTTCAAAATGCAAAATCAAACATTGCCTTTACCTCCTGTAGTACTTGCTGAACATGTTCATTCCCTTGTCCCATCATATGGACTTCACCCAAGAAATCTCCATAAAAGTTCATCGGACGTTGTCCTGCTTGATCGCCACCTAGAAAAAAAATTACATAATGAATTCATAATAAAATACGTTGTGATAGATTTAAGGCATGTGTATGTGCACGCGGTAACACAATTTTTCAAAACTAGCACAATTGTGTGATGATTCACATGTATCCATATTGAATTTGAGTAAAAAGTAACAGCATTCTATGAGACACTTCTTTGTCTAACTATTAGCAATTAGAAATCACCTAAGGCAGTGATTGAAAATATATAAATTTTTAGTGCTTGGTATTCGGCTTCTGAGTTTGAAAAATTGCTCCGACTCCAAAACCAGCAAAACAACAGGCTCAAGATTCCGACTCAATAACCCTTTTTCTTGTGGTCAAGCAAAATTCTTCAGAAAATATATTTACCAATTGGTTGCAGTGGAAAAGTAAAATTCCGTCTGCCACACTCTATTTCATTTTTATCAATTCTGCATTCAATTATTCTTTCGGGGAATTCCTGTAATTTGGGAAAAAGTCGAAAAGTGAAATTGTGCCGTTGCGCCAATAGAAATTCTTCATTACAAGTAAATTGGACATGGGGTTGATCAAACTGCAAGTGTACTTGTTGCATTTGTACATTCTCTGGGCCCAGTTGTATTTGTACACCAATGCGAACTCGTTCGGCTGATTTTAAGACGACCGGATCGAACCAAACAGGAGCGAGCTGAGCCCCTAGTTCCTTGTAGTAAAATCTGACGTCATCACGAGCAGTCTCGGACTTGGCGTAGAATGTAAAGTGAAATTCGTTTCCATTCAAAATATAGAGACGATTGTCGACAACAATTTGTGGTCGCCAAATCATCCCAACCAACCACTTGAGGGCAGCAGTTACTGGACTGAACTCTCTGCATCGAAATTCTATAATTCCATCGTTTGAAATTTGGTCGGGTTTGATGACGCTCCAAGTATTTTCAGGTGAAAAGTGGAGGATGTCGACTTCATTTGAACCGAAGCACCAAGATTTGATACGCATAGTTGCATCATTTAGAAATTTAGATTCCGCACTGATATTGAATACTGGTGAGACACAGATATAACCATCTGGGCATATTGAGTTGTCTAATGCAGCAGAGATCGATACTACTGTTTGTTTGTTAAACGTCCCGGGAGGGAATGTAATATCACATTCATTCAAGATCATTGAGCCTCCTTCAATTCCAATATTTTCAACTGCAAAACAAAAATCAACTTTGTAATAATAGACATTTCTGGGCCTAACTACATCGGCATCAAAGGGCAAAGTTCTCGAGTTCAAACCCCGCAAAACATCGAACAAGACAGCTTCAGAAGTTACTAAAAATAGTAGATCCTTATATATCAGTGGCTTCTTCTACAGAGTCATGGGCATGTTTTACTACGCAAGAATATTTTCTGAAACCAATCCAGAGCCTGAAAGATTTTTTTTCTGTCTCCAGGCAACAGACTGAAGTATATTTGAGTTAGACTTGGATGACAAAATTTTGATGACATATTGCTTTTCATGAGTTTCAAGATTTCGTATCAAGAATAATTAAACATGAGACATGCACACTGGACTCCATATTCTTGTGGGGTGGTTCATGAACCAATAGTTTACAGTTTCTCGATTTGGGTCCTCCCTCCCTCTCATCCCAAATGACCCCTCCCCCGATGAAGTGAATTTAATGTTATTAGTTTCGGTTCATTGACTGTTATGCGTGTAATATTTTGCTTTCGCTTGTTCACTTTCTAGTACTAAATATGGCACATTAAATAACTGATGGAAACGTTAAACCAAGTACGATATTTTATAGAAAAGCAGGAGGACAGGTGTTGGCAGACTTTCAAGACACATGGAACATGGACACTTGAGAAACGCGGCGGTAGTTAGTGACTCCAATATCTTAGACTCCACGTTTGTATTATCTAATCAGTTCACTAATAACAAGTCATATTAATTCCTCCAGAATAAACAGAAAAGCCTTATCTCACTTTTAATAACATTCTTTGACTGGGTTTTGGCTCCAAAGTTGCCTAGAGAATCCTCGGCCCATACTTGGAAGCGATATTGTCTACCAGGCATTGGTGATTTCATTCCACACTGAGGAAATGACGTTGTGAGAGTTTCTTTGAGCTTCACATCATCACAGAAAACTTCTATTTTGTATAGAATGTCATTTCCTAGGACTTCATTCCAGGTCAAGAGTATGGTAGAACCACTTACTTGAGACCAAAAATTTTTGATCTTGGGAAGAACTAAGAATGGAATATACGATGTCAATATTTTACATGTTAAAAAAGTTATATTCTGTATATTACATTTTTTATATTGGAATATCGAAATTTTGATTCTGTAAAAAAGTCAATTTCTTGATAAAAAAATAGTTTCACAAAACAACACTTTTTATTTATAAAGCATTATTACAGAATGGGCTACATTCCGAATGGAAAATATCATAGTTATAAATCTTTGCCTGTCTTCTTTGAGCTATGTTCAGAGCAAAAGTTCTGCAATGATGCCCACATGTATTTTTATAGTATTTCTGGCATCTGGTATTTTCCCATATAGCTGACATGATCAGCAATTTCCTATTATCCATGATTCAAAGTGTGTGGAGTGGAGTATTGCCTGCTGCTTTAAACCTTGTTCAAAGCAACAATGTGAAACTCCTCAATAAAAGTATAAAAACGATGCTTTACCAGAATCTGTATTCAATATAGTTTGTTCAGGAGTAGCACGTGGTGGATCGCTCTCATGTCTCATCTCTTCTTCTGGAAGCCAAATCAATAGTTTCTGAAAAATTTTAACAGTGTTGTTAGGATCAAGCAGATGTTACATGCCAATAGCCAGTATGGGTTAGAATCAGTTTATCAAACTCCGAGCCACTTAATACTCACTTCTCCAAAGAAGTGGATCAACAAATAGTAAGATAAAGCTTTAGACAGTTCAAACTCTTGACTTCTAAATAGTCAAACTCCAGCTCAGAACTCAGAGAAAAACGAATTTTCATAACAAAAATATTTGCGTATGCCAGTCTTCTTTAAGAGACTGTTATTAAGAATGGTTAGTAAACTTAATGCTTATTGGATTTCTATAAAGATTTTGCCTCTGAAGTTCTGAATTCCGACCCATGTCGCGATCATTCTAGATATGGCTCTCAGAGTTTGGGGCAGCAAGTAGAATTTGCCATGCTAGACAAGCAGGAAACAAACCTCGGAACTAATTTCATTCCACTTTATCTGCAATATTTCTTTATCTTCGTTTTTGATTTCCCATCCATCCAGAAATAAATCCTTAGTGATATTAGGAAGCAGATTTGCTACTGCCACAACATCTTTATGGCTTGCGATACGTTTTCCACTCAAATCCAACTGTTCAATCTATTCAAATAAAATGGTATCATATACTCATCTTAGAACTGATAATAGGTGAAATAAATTGGGTAGGCAATGTCGAAAAGGAAAGATTCCGTTCTTTCCAAATAAAAGTAGCTCCATGTAAATCATTAGATATCAGTGACTACTTGTATAGCCTTGTTCGGAACAAAAGACATAAATAAACGATGTCTGATTTGCAAAATCTCCATTTCAGATAAAAACCGCTAGTCGTTATCGGGGTGACATGGAGTGATTTAGGACCTTAAAGCAGTGGGTGTGTAGAGGGGGGGCAGCCCCGGGCAGCACATTTTAAGGGGTGCCTTTGTTGCTTCGTTCGATGGTTTAAATAAATATTAATAATAATATTTCACTCAAACATTTCACTCTTACTTGATCTTTAATTTATTTGTTCTCATGTATAACAACATCTATAATATGTTTATCTCCAAAATTATTTTGAAGCTAGGTATAGGGGGCAGCATTATCAGAAACTCACCTCGGGCAGCAGAAAAGTTTGACACTGTCTTATAGTTTTGCAGATTCTGCAGAACATTAAGATTTTATCAAACGAGACAAGAATACAGCTCATTCAATATGCTACTATGGGAAGGTTCATTCAAAAACATAGCAATACCTCTGTGTTCCCTAATGTTGATTTGAAAGCTTTCAGTTGTCTCCATGAGATGTTGCAGTTGCTCAAGTTTAGCTCATCGATGAAAGATTGGTTGGAAAGTATTCGACCAACCGACAACAAACCTTTGATTCCCATATCTTTGTTTCCATTTAGCAATAATACCTTGATCTGATGAAATAATGGAGCAACATGTATGGATGCACAAAGATTCGAAGGCCACTCAAAAGTGTTCCCATTGTTACAATAAGAGAAAACGAAATATCCATGAAATGAAATAATATAGTAAAATTTTGAATGAATATCAGCACCGTAGTACTAAAAAATAATACCTTTCTACTAGCTTTAAATACACAATAAAAATTTGAAATTGATCGGTTCAGTCATTGCAATCAATAAGAGAGAAACATTGAATTGGATGGGAACAAATGTTTTCTTTTTCAAACACACACAGGATTATGACTCGAAAAACAACGAGCTGTAGGGGTTCAAGAGAATTTATGACAAAATATAAAATCCAATAGTCTTCTGGGAAGTACATTACTCTTATATATAGTACAAAATTGAAAGTCCAGTGCTAGTCCAGCGAAAACAATTTATGTCCCCAAAACAATATAAAACACAATAACAAAACTATATGTAGCTCAAACTTGGTGATCATTGTTACAATGACAATGACAACAGCTCTAGATGTTTTTGATATAAAAAAAAATTAATTTTAGGAATAGTCTGGAACAGGGGTGGGCAACCTTTTTCGGCTCGCGTGCCAAAATCGGCTAAATTTAACGACCAAATTCTCCCACGTGCCGACCAAAATTAAAAACTATGCTTTGCTACTTTCAAAGCAAAAATACACAATAAGAAGCCTATTAAACATGTCAGACAGATTCACTATTCGGGAAAATATGATTCTGACAAATAGATTTGATTATTTTTCTTATTTTATATCTGTGAGACTTCTGATGCTGCATAACCGCTGATAGAGATTTTACATTGGGTTCATATTTTGTTGTAAAGAAATACACAAACTACTGGTTTCATCTTTTGGCTACTCCTGATACGAGACTTAATAAAGTTCATAACTGAGAACTAGGGCTGGGCGAAATATTCGAATAACGAACATCGAATCGAATATCAAAATATTCGAATGGCATTTTACTATTCGAATACCTGGTACCACGTGACCTGCGCCGCTTTGCTTTAACACGGAATTCGCGCGTCGCCAAATCAATCGTGAATTGCGCGAGAATTCACAAACGGCGCTCGATAACATACAAAAGCGACAAATTTGCTTTGCGTTATGATGTTATTTGTTTTCTTTTCACGCCTAATGTATCGTTTCATTTCCTTATTTTGTAAAATAGGCCCCCATCGTTGCGTAAATTTATGAACGTTTTGTAAATTATAAACGTATGACGATGTATTTAAAAAATCGGACATTTTCATTGCCGTCTGTAACAGTCACCGCGATTACGCGCTCGTTAAAGAGACGTTTTTTCAGCGTATAATGATTTTTCTGTTGCGTAAAACGATCAATCCATGACAACTACGGCCTACGGGATTCCAAAATGTCTTTATATATTAATTTAATTATGTCAAACGTAACTCGTAACTCGCGGTTGCTTCTTCTTAAGTCAAAATTAAAACATTACTTCTCTGAAATGCCACGGCGATCTGTGGACATAAAAGTATGAGATAAACTGCCGGGGTGTATTTCATTTTAATACGTATTTTTGGAATCTTGCGAACTCGTTATCGCCGTTAGAAAAATCTCAATAACTGATATAAAATCCTGTAGAGTACAATTTCATTTCGTACAATGAAAATACATATAAAGTATATCGTTTATTCAAAAATACATATTCATCGCCGCGATTAGGCTACTTTTTAAAAGAGCCGACTTTTACAATGAATAATGAGTTTTCTGTTGTGCAGAGTAATCAATTTGTGACCGATAAGGGCATATTTAAAATGTCTTGCTTTATTATTGTCTTCAATTTAACCAGCGGTTGAGACGACAAAATAAAATCTTCACAAATTTAAAATACCACCGCAATCTGCGAACATAAAGTGTGGTAAACTGCTCGAACATATAAAGCTTTGATTTCCTTATTTTCAGGACTTGTAACATCAAAAAATCCATAAATGTGCTGTAATATTTGGGATTAAAATTTATTTTAGCACAATAATTTTGATTGAATATACATTTGATTGATTATCTTATATATATCATCACAACCCGGGGAAAATTGTCCCGTTTCAAACCTTGTATAATGTTGAAAAAAAAAATTCCGACGGCAATTTAATTAAAGTAATGGATAATATGGCCAATCGCTCCCACAATTAACAGTGCTTCGATTTTAGTGACGATATGTTTTCTAAACGCCGACCAAACATAATGTGTGCGAGAGGCAAACGAAATTTTGCGATTTTCAATGTCCAAAAAGGCGTTTTTAAACTGTCACAGGCCTCAATAAAACTCATATTGTTTAAAGTTTTATTTTCAGTATAGTATATTGCCGCTTTTCAATCAAAAAATTTGTTGTTCTCAGAAACTCGCCGCCGATGAACGTATATTAATTAAACTAACGCCGGATTCGCAATTCTGTGTGTTGACAAAAATAAAATAGTTATCATCGTTAACAGGGCACAACGTTGTGAAAAATTTTTGATTTAGGAAAAATAAAACCAACATAAAGTTGTTTACTTACGGCCTAAATACCACGTCACACTGATAATAACAATCGGCGATTATAGCAAAATGCTATCGCACGCGTTATTGGCGACTTTTACAGTTTTAATAAATTTTTAACGGCACGGGTATACCTAATATATAAAACTTCGATGTCCGCCGACCCGCAAGAATTAATACTTTCAAAAAACTGAATCGGGCGAGAATACAGATTACGAACTTTAGGATCGCGGAAAAAACAATTAGCGATTTTAGAGAATTTAACCAGTAAATAAAAAACGCTTTGTTGCCGACTTTTTAAAGTTTCTTCTAATTTTCGAAGGGAGTATCGACCTCCGACGGACCCCGTTGTATTTAAAAAAATATTCGTTATTCGACTATTCGGTATTCGTAAGAAATATTCGAACTATTCGATTCGAAAAAAATATTCGATTTTGCCCACCCCTACTGAGAACAGAGATTCACAATCATATGTAGATGAAAACATGGAGAGTAATGCAGTAGCAAAGTTTTTAAGACACGAAAATTTTTCGGTAATGGCATCCTAATCGAGTGGAAGTGGTGACTCCTCTACGGCCCATGGGCCGGGGCCATGGCCCATCAAGTTGTGCAAAGGGACTATTAACTTGGCTAACACAGACAGTCCACGAACTCATAAAAGAACTATAATGTGAAAAATCTGAACAGAATTTTGTTCTAACCCTAACCTGGTACACATACTACAGGAGTATCCTTTTCTGTAGCTTGGTATTTTGCTTTATTTTGATATAAATGCTTATCGTAAGAAAAAAAATTTGTGGCATACCGCGATTTTTTTTTTGATTCGAATATCAAAAATTTTTGGTAAGATAATTGTATTTTTCCTGATGGGGCCGAGACCCATAGCTTGATGGGCCCCGGCCCATGGGCCGTAGAAGAGTCACCACCTCTTCATCTAATTGGGCCACATGGGCCATGGCCCATCGAGCTATGGGCCGCGGCCCCATCGGGAATAATACAATTATCTTACTATCCTGAAGTATGTGTACCAGGTTAGGGTTAGGACAAAATTCTGTTTAGATTCTCCACCTTATAGTTCTATTATGAGTTCGGGGACTGTCTGTGTTAGTCAAGTGAATAGTCCCGTTGTACAACTTGATGGGCCGCTGCGCATAGCCTGATGGCCGTGGCCCCGGCCCATGGGCTGTAGAGGAGTGACTACTTCCACTCCAAGTAACTCTAACCAACATGAGCTGTACAACTTCATAAATCAAGCAAAAAACAAAGAAAACGTGTGCCACAGGCATTACGTAAGAATGTTCTCGACGAGATCTCACTCAGTTGTTACGTCATAATATATTTCTGAGTAGTCATAATTCATGAAAGGACAAAGAGAGTTTAAATAACGGATTTTTAACCTTCTATAATAAATAAAAAAAATATTTTCATCGGTATTTAGAGTCTTGTAACTTTTTATTTGTAAGAGAATGATATGGTTTCCAAGGCCTCGCTCACGTGTCGAAAAAAATGGGCTCGAGTGCCAAGTTTGGCACGCATGCCAGAGGTTGCCCGCACTTGGTCTATTCTAGAATAATCTGCTAGAGTCTAGAGGTCAGACAGAATAGATTTAATTTGATTTCTGGCACTAATCAATGAAATGCCATTTTTGAAAGTATTATTTTACAAATGTAATCTGAATAGTGAATTAGGCCAATTTGGCCGAACCTAAGCAGAAGCATACTCACCTCAACCTTGGAATCTTTCAATTCAGTTTCCATAATTTTGAGTAAGTTTGAGTTGAGATTGCAAGAAGAGAGATTCATTGCTAACGATCTGCAGAGGGAAGCTACGGAACTGATAACATAAGCGTCATTCATTGTGAGGGGATAGTTGGAAAGATGAATCCGATGCAAAGATGATCCAATTATGTCATCTATTCCATCTTTAGCTTCATTTAATGCATTCAGAAGTTCCATATAATCTGATGCATTGGTCGTATTTTTCAATTGTGATCTTAAACTTGTTCTCAAAATACTTTGCTTTTCTTTCAGGTTGCCCATTCCTGCAAAATTTCGAAGTTTGAGGTTCGAGTCAAGATTGTAATTTATGGTATGCAATTACGCATGATATTATGGCTCTACGAAGTTGTTCTTGACAATGACAGTTATTAAAGAGTTTATTTCCTATCATTTATTAAACTTTGAGTAGATATTAATACCATGAATATCACTGCTTGATAACCAACTGTGGTTCCCTACAACTACCGGAATGGTAAGCCTTAGTAATACTTGAGATTACTTTTTGGCATGAAGTGAGTATGGCAAAAAAAAAAGAAAAAGCCACTAAATCATAACGGCCCACTTATGTTGCTGAATCTTTTATAGGTTTGAAATACAGGAAAAAATATCTGTTTTTAGGCAGAACGTTTATTCATGCTTTTCACTCGGAACAAGGCTCCGATATGCAAGTATCTACTATTTTGAGAAATACCGGGATCATACTTGTTCGGCATTGTCTACCCAATTTATCGACGGGTATGGTATTTGGACTAGAAATATGTGTTGTGCAAAGCAAAAACAGTCAAGTCCAAAGCAATAACCGCAGGCCATGATGCTCACTTTTATTAGCATTATAGATAAGATAGTTTTGTTCAATAATATTTCTTTACCTTCAAGTAAAATTCCAGTCATTTCAAAAACTTCACAATCCAATAATAATCCACAAACCATTTCGCGAACAAAAACATAGGCACTCGTATGTAGATCTTTCGCTACCATCTCCTTGAAAGATTCTAAATCCATTCGCAGAATATTTAATGCGTGTAGAAATTCCAGAATGCTTTGATGTTGGGAGTGAAAATCTTCTGAAACTTTCTCCAGGAGGAAATGCGGGGAACGTAATATACATTGCATAACAAGAACCATTATTCCAGTCATAGTGCGAGGCTTGAGGTCAGGATTGATTTTTAAACTGATAAGTGTAAAAACAAGCATCACAGGTGTAGTGCATAACAATAACAGTAATGGAGCTTTGGTTTTAAGATATTCAACGGTTTTCTCTGCTTCCTCATTTCCTCCATATCCTGCGATGATTTCTTTAATTGATTCGATGCTCAATCCAGCAAGTGCGATAACGATTCCTGGCCGAACTTCACCGCGATAATTCCTGATTGCATGCTCACGGGTGGAGCTTATAATGCAGCATCCAGGGAATAGGTTTCCCGACAGAAGATTCCATACTATCACTTCAGGATATGCTGGTTCACTTATGTCGATTATTTCATAGACTCCGTCCGGCGAATATGTGAGCGTATCTAAGGAGTCAATCATAAATAAAACTTTATCTGGATTTTCGTTTGTATATGTAACCGCTAATCCCGTCTCTTCTTTTGTGAGGTTTGAAGAAGTGAAAATGAATTCACTGGCTGTTAGTTTATCGTCCTTGTTGAACATTCCACATTCCATGCATTGGACCATCTTTATAATTCCACGAAAATATTTGCCATCTAGAACCTTTTTTGATGTTGCTTTCATAAGGGTTGTTTTACCACATCCTGCTGGCCCAACCAAACAGATATGACCTTGTCTGAAGTCATTGAGTACTTGGTCAAGCTTCACATCTGATTTAATTTCATTCTCCTTGATTGAATATTGACCAAGACTTTCTGTTTTTTCCAAACTATATTCATAATCAGGTATTCTTCCCCCTCCATAGAATTCAACCTTTTTCAACTGGGGAGTGACATCAACATTCAACTTTTTCTCAAAAATATTGAGGTGTTCCGCAAGGTCATAAAAATCAGTGCACTTCTTTGTGTGTTCATTGACTTTAGCTATTACTTTTTCAAAAGACATTGCCGTTTTTCCTATACCGTAACTAACTTTGCAATGATTCCAGTGGGTTTACCACTGGCCGATTAGCTTTGCTCCTAATCATGGTAACAACCAATATATCTGTGTATAATAAATTTTTCAATGTCACATAATTAAATATTGAAATATCAAAATCACATCAAATTATCGAATTAAACATGAAATGAGAAAAATGCGGGTCTCGTGTAGTTTCGTACCTAACGTACTTCTAGTAGGCGAAGCATAAAAAATATTTGACATGTCAATCCTAACCCCCATCTGACTACGCCATCCAAAAATTACGTCACTACGACATCACAATCACGTCATAGAGCTTGCCAAATATACGTACGATCGCCCGAAATGGCATTGGCACCGACGATAAAGAACTGACTGATGTTATTGATCTCTCTCCTATTGGAATCGTTGCGATGAGGAAACGAGAAAAATAACTGTTCGATTTCGGGTGCTCGTTTGCGCGTCTTGGATGGCAGTTCATATAGTTTGAAGGGCTCTATTACGTCACTGTGACGTCGTAATGATGTAATTTTTGGATGGTGTAGTCGGGTGTGGATTAGGATTGATACTTGAAAAAATTGTCATGCTACGCCCACTAGAAGTATGTCAGGTACGAAACTACATGAGACCCGAAAATGCTTATTAGGCAGACTGGCTCTGCGCATAGTGCACATGTAGGCCTACATAACATGCACTCAAAGTTGCAAAATTAACAAGTGGTATTGCGGTAAGTAGGCTGCATCATGCTAACTAATCGTTGGGAACATGTCTGACATTGATGTTCTTCCACACGGCCATAAGCTGATGAGTGCAGAAACGAAATTGTAACGTTATATGTAATAGTCTATGTGTTCTGATGTTCAAACTCAACGAGCTCACTCACAGTTCCGCACAGGCTACTGCACAGTCTAACAGTCCCAGAATCTCCTTGTTTAATGGTAAACCACCAGCCGTTCTTTCCCTCTTGATCATTACAATATAACGCAATTTATTATGACATTATGAGTCAATAAACTCCTGATTTGTTAGTGGTTTACTCGATTGCGTTCTGCAGTTCTGTCCCCTAGTTCTGTTATTGAAGAAGCACCTACCGATACCGGTACCATACCGTAATAACAATGAAAAATTCTGATTCTAGGTCCCGATGCTGCAATGTCTTAAGACAGGGGTGTGCAGCCATCAATACAAGGGCCAGATACAAATAACCCATAACTGGGTGAAACGCGGGCTGCACCTTTAGGCAGGGTTGCCAGATCCCAGCGATCAAAAAAGCCAAATCAAGACACAAAAAAGCCAGAAAAAGCCAACAAATTTTACCAAGTACAAAAGCCTCATGATTAGTCAGATTTTGCGCCCTTGGCAACGTACTGATGATGATGTAGACCTAAAGCCATCATGTTATTCAGTGAGGCACACAAATAGAAAGTAAAGTACCTATAGAACTGTAGAAGGTGAAATAAATATCAAGTGGACAGAATTATTTTACCATTCAAAATATACAAGACAGGGTAGCATGTAATACCGGTATACCTACATGTTTCTACTTAAACTTGTAATATACCTTAAAAAATTCTCCCTATATTGTATCTTACTATAGAAAATATTTCACTTTTTTAATTTATAAATCATCAATTTTATTAAAAAATTATCTAACCCCGTGCCGCTCACAGGTGGACCACTGATATCTAATTCAATAATTTTAGCGTAGTTAATCACATCATTCGTTAGACTAAATTTTGATTACTGCAATTGCAGAATTAAACTAGAGCTCACATAAACCATATCAGGCATAATGAAAATTAAGTTATTCAACTACTTTTTGGAAACAGAGCTAAAAACTGACAAATAACAAGCAAAATTATAAAAACCAGGCAATGTTTACAACCCCGCTTGAACATCTGTCTGAGCAGCTGCAGAAACTGCAATTATTTCTTATTGGGTATGGTTAAGAGTTAATGTAGCAAACAAGGGAATCGATGCTCCAGGAAAGCCTGATGTTAAGTAGCTAAGTACAGGTATATTGTTCAGTTGTTGAACACTAAATATTGTATTTCATATGATTTTTATTATAGACACTAGAATAGACTTAAAAAAAGCTAAAAAACGCCAGAAAGCCAAACGGAAATTCTGACGGCAAACACATTTGAAAAAAGCCAAAAATGGCAAATTTGGCGTTAAAAAAGCCAATATGGCAACCCTAACTTTAGGTACGGTAATCAGTAATTTATTTTTTCACCATGCTGAAAAATACGAATTCTACATACACAATTTAAAAGAAATATATAAAAAAATCGCATATCAGGGTGAAGGGAGACGCCGAAAACAAAGGCTGGTTATCGAGCGGCGACACCGTTGAGAAAGTCTAACAAAACGCGATAAATACAATAAAGTCGAACGAAAATATGTTATTTAATAAGTAAAATGAAGGAGCAATAGGTACCGGTACCGTACGTCAAGGCGACCTGGTGAAACCAACCATCTATTTACAGATTTAACATACGGAACCCGAACCGGGCTTCTGCTTTCCAGTATGGTACTTGTAGGCACAAAAGAGCATCACACGTACCGGTACTGAAATACTGACATTTTTGTGTACATTATGGGGTGGGGTGGGCAACATACGGCCCGCGGGCCGGATCCGGCCCGCGACGAGATTTTGACCGGCCCGCTGACCGTATCCAACCACACCCTGTAATGTGGTCCGACGCATCATTCCTGAAAGTTGCCGATCGCTCTACTCTCAACGCACTGTTAGAGCGAGCTGGTGAAATAAACAATTGCCTTAGTAAACAAACAATTGCGTTCGCACACTTATTAAACAATTAATATAAGGTCAAAGCAGAAGGCGTTGTAAACATTACATAAACATAATCCATATCCACATGAACAGATTTATTATTTTGTCAACCAAAAACAAACAGTCATCAATACGAAAAAAAATACATAACACAAATAAAATTGCTTCGGTATTGACAGGAGGGAGCGATACGACCATGAGGTCATCGAGATCAACTTCCACCCTATTTTCTGAAGTGATTAAGTTTCACACTGAAGATGACTATTAGAAAAGTTGGTCTGTCCAATAATACTTTTAAAAATTCGATGTAATCTCAGAAAACTATTGGGGGAGAGCATGTTTTATTGAGAACTCATTTACACAATAAAAGTTCTATATGCTCTAGATCAGCGGTTTCCAACCTTTCTATACTGGCGGACCGGTAAAATTAGATTAAATGTACTCGCGGACCTGCAAAAATTGAAATGGCCGAGACAGAAAAGAATAACATATTTTTGCGTAATATATTGCAATGTCGGGTACTCAATATGCTTCTAGACAAAAAAGCACACTTTAAAACATTTCACACGGAGAAAAACTATCAAATAATGTGGCGACAAAAATTAAAAAAGGGTGAAACATAAAATATAACATATATTTGCGTAATGAGATCTCTGCGGCCCATGCTTTTTTGCGCGTCTCGTGACCATAACAGAAAAAAGCATGCGTGCAGATTTTTAAGCTTCTTAATTTTGCGAGATTTGATGGAGCGCATTCACGATGAATCGGAGCCGAAAAAGCGAAGAGTGTGAATGATCGGCGCCAAGATGTCGCGTAAGACAGTGCCAACATGTCGCGAAAGACGTCGCAATATGACGGCGGAAGAGAATTGCGTAATGAGCCAACGCAACTTTGTAAAGCGATTGAGACGGCATAAAAACAACGAAATTTCTCGCGGACCGGCAAAAAAGCTTTGCGGACCGGTACCGGTCCGCGGACCGGCGGTTGGGAACCACTGCTCTAGATGAGTGGTTCCCAACCGTTCCCAACCGAGGCTTTTTTGCCGTTCCGCGGAAAATTTCATTTTGTTGTTTTTCTACTGTCTCAGTCGCTTTACCGAAGCCGAAAAGATGAAGTTACGTTGGTTTATTACGCAATTTCTCTTACGCCGTCATATTGCTGTTTGATACCTGCGGGATGGCCCGGCGACGTCTTGGCGCCGAGTATTCATACTTTTCGGTTCATCGCGAAAGCGCTCCGTCAAATCTCGCAAGATTCAGAAGCCTGGAAATCAGCACCCGTGCTATACCGTTCTGCATGCTTTTCTTGATAAATAGGTCGAAGTTACGTTGGTTTATTACGCAATCTCTCTTCCGCCGTCATATTGGTGTTTGATAAGTGCGGTATTAATGGCCCGGCGACGTCTTGGCGCTGAGTAATCACACTTTTTGCTTTTTCGGTTCCGATCTATCGCGAAAGCGTTCCGTCAAATCTTGCAAGATTCAGAAACTTGGAAATCAGCATGCGTGCTTTTCCCGCTATGCATGCTTTTCTCGTTTAATCCAAATCCATCCAAATAAAAGATTATGAATATTTCTTTGTTTAAACCAGAATGTATCAAGATAGACAGTATAATATTCCAGAGCGTCACCATGAGCATTTAATGAAGATTGGACACCGAAGTATTTTTTGTAATCATCCGGCCCGCTGAGGACTTCATTTTCCCACATCTGGCCCGCCGACTAGAGAAGTTGCTCACCCCTGGTATAAGTGTAAGTTGTTTCACATTGGTTGAACATATCTTAGGGTTAGACTGTGAGACGAGGCCCTGAAAAAGGCCTAGAAAATGAGTTTCGTAGCGCGGTGGTAGCGCACATAAGGGAACTACCTGGAAATAATTCTAAAATAGTCCTTAGAAATTTAGTAACAAATAATGCCTTGTTTCCACTTCCAAAAGTTGCACGTTTGACGAACGATGGGAATTGTGGCCTTACGAAAAACAACCAATTCACAGTCTGCCAAAAAGTAGTTGTTCGTTTACAGATGATAGTATCAACATTTGTTAGACGGGTAGATGTCTCATAAATGTTTATCGAACAATTCTCAATCAGTATGATGTTAGTTGACATGTGGCCAAGTTATCACATTTTTGAGTTCCGATTCGTTACGTTGCGCAAGCATTTTTTAATTCTCGCAATTGTCCAAAACGTGTATACGTATACGTGTTTTATTCGTTCTATTGGAAGTTACCACTCCGGCAGAGTAAAAAGGTTGGGAACCACTTGGCTAAAAAGTTAAATACAACAACGCCGCAGCAAAAGGGTTCTTGAAACTTACAGACGATAAACAGGCGCATTGTTCTCATTGCGGCAATTCGAAAATATACACCGGTACTGAGTTTTGAAAATTGCTGTATTTTTTTTTTGTGGGCTCACGAATGTCTTTAGTTTTGGATTTTACGAAAATGGACGACGCAACAAAAAAATTAGAGAACCACTTCTGTGGACTGTAGCAATTTACTGCAGTAAGCTGTAGGGGATTCCCCATAATCACAACATCAACGCACGTGTACGGATATTCAGCTTTTTGAACTGTTGAACATAGGGCACAAGAAAAGCGCTGGGCCCGTCTCAGTTCATCATGATATATGAATTACACTAATAAGTATTACAAGTACTTGAAAATATCTTGTTGCTTTCACAGTATATTTACAGTTCTAATCTGTGCTTGAAGGTTAAGAAATTTGGTTTATGTTTGTCGTCTTGATTGTCTGATTGTAGAAACAATTCTTCGAAAATGACAATTGTTCGATTTTATGTCAAGAAGAAGGGTTCGTGTGATGAAGTGAAAAACAAATTCAACACAAGTATCGATTCAGTATTAGTGAGAGATGTTGAGATTGAATTTTGTTATTACATTGAAACACAAATTGAATTGTCCGTTGAAAATTTGGAGTGAGTTTTGTTCAATTTACTATGATTATTATTGTGTTTTTTGAATAAATTGACAAAATCCTGAACTAATAAAATTTTCATAATATGAATTGAAAATATTTCATAATTTTTTTCTGAGACCTGGAGACTAATGACATTGCTTTGAATTTTTATCATCATCATATTGGGCTATACTGTCAAAGAGTCAGGCTTAAACTTATATGTCTGAAATATTGAGGTGTATTTGTTACGCTCTATAATTACCCTTTATATCAGATATATTGGTGGTAAAATTGAATCTGTTTGGCGATTGAAATAGAATTTGCGCTGCTTAGCTCAATGAAAAAGGTTGGAAATTGATGACTGGTGCTAATTTTTATTTGCCTTCCATTGTTCTCTGTGTTTGCGGATTGGTGTTGGATTGGATGTTATGGGTGTCTTGTAATATGTGTTTCAATTTATGAATTATTTCAGAAAACTCAACTGGATCCTTTGTGAACCTTTCGGCAAATCTGACCTGAACAAGATATCTAGTTTATCAACCGGTAAAGAGAATGAACTTCTGATTGAAATAGGACCACGGTAATTAGCATTATTATTTTAGCTTATTGAATGTCATTACCTGCTAATACATCACAAATCAAACGGACCTCCAGAAGTATGCGCACCAAGATGGCGCACAACGTGAAAATGCTATGTGTGTACCGGTTAGGATTCAGGTTGTACGACATATTGGTGCGCATACTTCTGGAGCACCAATCAAACTTGTGTCACATAGATGAGTTTACTTCGAAATATTCCAGATTGACTTGCTTCTATTGTTGCATATTATTTATATAACCTCAACGAGGCTTTGTAGAAGCAGCCACTGAATGAATGTTTCTTCACAATTAATTTTTTCAGTTTGTCTTTCTCGACGCCGTTTTGCACCAATGCAGTTTCAATATGTCATCATACGGGGCTTAAAATGATCAGAAAAATTGAGCGATCAACACGATATCTTATAAAAGCAGACCGGCTTATCTCATCAGGAATGGAAGAAATAATTGTCAGCAAACTTCATGATCCAATGACACAAATGAGGTGTAAAATCGAATATATATTATATTTGTGAAACAAATCGTTTTCAGGGGTCACCAGGCAATTGATTGTCTAGATCAGGGCGGTCCAAACCCAGACCACATGTGGCCCGGAGCTTCATTATCTGTGGCCCGCGTCGTCTTTTTGCAGTTATTTGTAAGTTATTTTGTAAACATATGCTGGAAAAGGGAGCTGACCAATTCAAAGAGATTTTTAACTGTATATGGGAAGGAAATACCACCAGCAGTGGTAATAAACCAGCAATGTGTAGCAGATAAAAGCATCCAGTTTTGATCTCTATTTAGTAACTCAATCTATTTAGCTGTTGAATACTACATGATTTGTGATAGATCTAATGCATCACCTAAAATCTGTCAGTATTGCTCTCATTTTTTCGAATGACTTTTATTGTGGTCTTTTCAACTTTTTGCACCATAAATCGAGTGTGCTTTGGAAAAAAAAATAATTTCTCAAATATTTCCCTGCCTGACATAGACTGGCATTCGAACAAGAGGGCCTGGTTCATTGTATGATTCTTAAGATGTTTTATGGGCTTTTTCATGATAAATATGAAAATCCTATCCTATCTCTTTTCAATACAAGATGGTGGGATTTAGTTGATTAATATCAGTTTTTTCACTAAGGTTGTTGAGTTTGTCTGACACGAGTTTCGTACTTTATATATCAGACTCACAATTCATCATATTAACTCAATCAAATCTCTTGTTATTTAATAATGTAAATAATAAATTCTGAATTCAGATATCTGACTCCTCTTGAAAGTTTTGAAACAAACAACAAAAGGTTGACTTGGTATGAAATTGATGTTTTAAAAGAAGGTGAATTAGCTTTGAGGGTATGTTGGTTTTAATAAATGTACTTTTCTCTTATTTCTACTTTTTCTGATGCAAAATCAAATTAGTTCATTTAAAAATGAAAGAAAAACCCTACAAAAACATAGTGGGGAATGTCTAATAATGTGTGACAAAGAACTTTTACGTATTTTGCGATATTTATAAAATATTATTAATTTCAAATGTTCTGACGTAGTTTAAAAATAAGATTGAAATTGTGATGATTACGGTATTTCTGTAGTGATATTTATTTTCTGTGAAAAAAAAACGGATTACATATTTGTAAACTATACGAGCTAAATAATAAACGGCAGGCTCAGTCGTCCATGTTAACCGTTCTTGCATTCTACTATTCCACAGAAAGCAAACATTGATCTTGGATTGGCCATGGATGATCAAGATATCAAATTATACACAGAACTGTTTCAAAATAAATTGAAGAAAAATCCAACTTCTGTGGAATGTTTTGATCTTGCTCAATCAAATAGGTTAGTATTTAGTTTGTCGTTCTTATGTCTTCTTTGTGTTTTCCTGATCTTCGAGTTAGTGATGCGTGTGTATTACATTATGGGACCTCATAGCAAATACCATCAAATGTTTTCATTTTTCAGCCTATGTTGATTTCACAGCTTCATTATTCAATTTTATCACTAATAAAAATGAATGATATTGCAAGTTTTTCAATTCCATATATTCTGATCTTCGTCTAATACAGTGGTTCCCCAAGTTTGATGATGCGTGGTTGCCTTTCAAAGAGCTATCAACACTTGCGGCTCTGCTCTTCTATATAAATAGGCAAATGAATGAATGCATTCCAATGAAAAAATTAAACACATCCCAACTAATTCACTTAAATTTTATGTAGTCATTGCTAGCCCTAAGAACCCATTTTTACAAAATCTCAATCAAGCAATTTACTGTATTGCCAATATTAAGATAAAAACCTGACCCAACATCTTTTTATTCCAGCGAGCATAGTCGTCATTGGTATTTCAATGGAATTATGACAATAGATGGAAAAGTACAAGACAAAACTATGTTTCAACTTGTTAAAGAAACTCAGCTGCATAGCAATAATAACAATGTTATTGCGTTTTGTGACAACAGCAGTGCAATAAAAGGTTATCAGGTTGATGCAATTGCTCCAGAAGAAATTGGAAAACCAAGTAGCCTATGCAAAGAATCTGTAATGAGGTGTGTATTTGATGCAAGCAGTGTTGGCTACAAGCCCCTAAACCTTGGGTTGTGATCTATCACCCATCCAAGTCTCAACTCAGATACGCATCCAAACAAATTTTGAATTCCACACCCAAAATCAGAAGGAGTCAATCCCGAAAAGTGTCAAGCAATGATAAATTGACTATATTAAAAATCAAATTAAAATTAATGCATTCGCATCGAAACGACATAATTCGAGCTAATTTTGCGGCAAGCTAGTGAATTTTTGATTTTTTGTAACAACCTTATTCCACTGTTTTTACTACATTTCATCGTGATATTTTAAAATGATCTTTGATTCCTAAGCCAAATCGCTTTGCTGACTATGACTTGTTCTGAGATGAAACAAATCTGGTGGTTGAAACTAGCTTCTCATCTCAATAAGAGCAGTCAGAGAATTTAGTTCGAACATTTTTTGTTAAATAATGCTACCGGAAAGTGGTGTAAGGAATAATTAGCATGTGAAGCTGACGTGAAGTTGTTTTACACCACGTATCACATACATAAGTTATTTGGAAAAGTCAATTAGGTTCTATTTTATGGTTTGTTGCTTATACGAGTCATACTAAAGTGCACTCATATGGTGAATAGGTCTCTCTTGACCCAATTACGGCCACTTAGTCATAGTTCCTGTGTTATGTATACACGAATATAGGTGAACTTTTCAACTCATTTCATTTTCAGGCACATCACTCTTACAGCTGAAACTCATAATTTCCCAACTGGGGTCGCGCCATTCCCAGGGGCAACAACAGGCACTGGAGGGAGACAAAGAGACCAGCATGCAGCTGGACGAGGATCTCATGTAGTAGCGGGGACTGCAGGGTTGGTATTTTGCCACTCAAGTGTTCTATAGAAACTAGCTCTTTATATGAATTCACTATTCAATTATTTTTGCCAATTATTTAGGCTTTTATCTTTATTTATTTTTCACTCAGGCTGTAATAAATTCGGTAGGTGATGATGCCTTGTCACACAAAACACAGTATCAAAATTCAAAACACAATATCGAAAAAATAGAAAAATCTTGCTTGTTCATAGACTTGCTTCGTATTATTTGAACATTAGAAATTAGTCTGGAATCATTTTGCGTTTTTTATAAAACACTTGCCATTTTTTTAAGGCTGTCTTTTAGTGTCTTATGGTATTATTCATCATTTGCTACCTCCCAAATATGAGCATTATCGTTTGTTTTATTTTCCAGTTATTGCGTCGGTATTCTCAATCTATCTCATCATGAGTTACCATGGGAGGATCATGGAAAATGGAAAACTCCATCAAGTCTTGCAACCTCATCAAGAATAATTATTGAAGCAAGCGACGGTGCAAGTGATTATGGAAATAAATTTGGAGAACCTGTGATTGCAGGTATGGGAATTCACAATTGAAACATGCACAAAACCTCGGTATGCATTGCATATATGACAGTAGTTTTCGAACTTCTTAAAACGTGCCCCCTTTTTCAAATTTGCCTCGCACCCACCTCAAAAATAACTAGCTAACAATAAGCTACAAATAACAGATAGTTATGGGGAAAGTATATTTTATTCAAAAAACACGTTGAAAATACATGGAAAATATGTGGAATGTAAATATCCAATATAAAGCGGGCAAGATCAAATCTAACAATCAGCGGCACGCCCCCTCAAAAAATTGTCCACACCCCCTTTGTGAGGCGCACCGTTTGAGAACCACTGCTATATAAAGTAAGAATGCACTAGCAAAAAAAAAGATGAATATTTTTTTGTGATTCGAGAGTCTTGCTGTACATAACACAAATACATTTCTGTTGCATTATCGGGAAGCTTGGCATTACCACTATACTTATTTTGTTATTGTTCAGGATTCTTTCGATCATTTGGAATGAAGCTCCCAGATGGTGAGAGAAGGGAATGGCTGAAACCAATAATGTTTAGTGGAGGTATCGGTTCAATTGAGAATGAACATGTTAATAAGTTCAAGTTGGAGAAAAATCCTGACAATATGAAAGGTTGGATCTAGTTATTAAATGTTGAATTATAGATGATATTGTTAACTTATGATTATAATAAAATTCAGTGCATTGGATTACCTTGCTTTGGTTATCTTTAAATATACAATCTCGAATAAACAGAAAATTAAAGATATGGAAATAATTTATTCCATTGTCAGAAGAGCACCTGACGTATGTTGGCATCTCAGGTTGAAGATTTATAATAAATTGGATGAGCAATGCTGACGGCGAATCTAAAAAGTAGCTTATTGCATATCAAATACTGCTGGTTAGGAATCCAAGTGTTGAACAACTAGTCCTTTGGATGGGTGGGGCAAATGATTGTATTTTTGGATGAAATTTCGGTACTCCCGTAGTATGTGAACCAAGATGGCGGACACCAGAGCGTAGTATAGTATTCCTTATTATAGTTCAATTACGAGTTTGGGGACTAGCCAAGTGTATTTGTAGTAGTATTTGTACCTGAAATTATGGCCTAACCCTAACCTGGTACACATACTACGTTCTGGTGTCCGCCATCTTGGTTCACATACTACGGGAGTATCGAAATTTCACTTATCAAAAAGCTACTTCGATATGCATAGTGAGTGAGTGAAGTGGGTCCTGCTGACTGCAATTACAATGATATTAGAATTAAACCTTTGTTTTTAGATTTAGTAGTTGGCAAAATTGGTGGTCCTGCATATTGCATTGGTGTTGGTGGTGGATCGGCATCCTCACTTGTACAAGGAGACAATACACAAGACAGAGATTTTAATGCAGTGCAACGTGGAGATGCTCAAATGCAACAGAAGCTCAATAGAGTTGTTAGATCTTGTATTGAAATGAAACGTGAAAATCCTATACTCAGTATTCATGATCAAGGAGCTGGTGGCAATGGTTTGTGAAGGTTTTAATGGTTGATTTGTTTCATTTCCGCACTTTTGCTCATTTTCGACATTTGGACAATCTGACCTTAGCATGATCGATAGACTGAGGTTTGAATTCAGTCATTTATTTTATAAAACCATAGTCTTTTGACAGCCGAATATTTCTTATTCATGCATGTGTTACCAATAACTGGTTAACTATTCTCAAATCAGACATGGACTGTTAGTCGGATATGAGATTATGGGAATGGTTTGTCATATTACTAAGCCATGATATCTTCATTGCTCCTTCTCGGACTACAAACTAGAAAAATATTATACATTATAAATACGGAATTACCATTATTTGGCAACCCCATTGGAATACACTTTATAAGTAAGCTAACGCTTTCTCAATAAGTGTATGGAAAGTTAATTGTGTCAGTATTTCTTAGAGTTTTGAAAAGGACAGAAGCTGACAATATGTCAACCAGAGCTTGAAATTGAATATTCCTGCTAGGATAGATAGTGTTTATAAATAGATAGAACTCTCTCATACCCGTTTTTCTTTTTTTTTGAAGGAAATGTTTTGAAAGAAATTGTGGATCCAGCTGGTGCAATAATAAACACTGAATCATTCACAAGGGGAGATTCATCTCTTACAACACTGGAACTTTGGGTTGCTGAATACCAGGTAGAATAATCTAAAAAATTACTAATGTGCCGAATATTGTTATAATCAAAGAAATATAGCAACTAACTCATTCAGAATAATCTCTCTCATAGCTACTGTATATTAATTTGTTGCTAGGAATCCGATGCAATTTTACTGCATAAGAATCAAATTGAAACTGTGAAACAGATTTGTAAACGCGAAAGATCAACATTAGATGTTGTTGGAGAGCTAACTGGGGATGGAAGAATCATTTTGTCTGAAGGAGGTTTGTCCTTATTGGTTAGACTTATTTATTTTATACCTTCACTGTGTTTTTGCTAGAATCGGCAGTTGGCCCATAGGGCTAAGCATGCTCAAAATTGCCCGACTAATTACCCTGCTCATGTTTGCAGGATCAAATCCTGTATGATTCTAATCAGTAAATGCGAAATGGTTGCAAGACTTTTGGGTCCTGGATTGAATTTAGAATTCAATAAAAGTGTGCGCGTGCAGAAGCTTTTATTAAATTTAGGTTTACTGTAGTTTGTAGTCTGAGTTAAAATTTCCCTCAACTCGGAGTTGTAGTTCAGAGTTCGGGGGAAAACTCGGAGTAATTTTTCAAATGGTTTGTTGAAATCGAAGTCTGGTTTAAATTTATTTTCATTCGAACAATCGACAATTCGACATGGACAAACTACAGCCTGCAGACTAAATCCGGCCAGTTGGGTAATTCAGTCTGCCCGCCTGATCCTGCGACAACCAAACTAAAACCAAATTTTGATGTTTTAGCTAAAAGTAACTCAAGGAATTGGCTGAAATTGCAATTAAATTTAGTTTCGTCACAAGTCTTACTGTTTTCCACTTTTGATTTTGTGACACTGTAAATATTGTTCATAAGATGTAACTTATTATGTTATACTTACATGGCCCACTAATTTACAACATTTTTGGCCCTTGTCCCAAAACCCTGCCCACCCCTGCTCTAGTCAAACTGGTTTTGTAACTCGACGTCAGGTCACGGTTCTCTGTATGATCAAGATATCTCATCCACTTTAATCTCTTATGAAATAAATTAAAAAAATTCTATGTTATAAATCATAGTGTTTTATTTGATTTTTCAGATATTGCCAGTGGAGAATCACCAACCAAAAAACCTCGTCATCAAAATGATATTTCATCTATTCGACATCCTGTTGACCTTGATCTCGAACATGTTTTAGGAAAAATGAAACCCAAGGAATATGATTTGAAAGTCAAAAAAAGTTGCTTAAAACCTGTTAGAATTCCAAAGGTGCGAGATATCTGTTGTCAATATAGTTTAATTGTTACTAAACAAATTTATGTAATTTGATTGTTTAACCCTTTCCGTGCGGTGGGCACGTATACGTACCCACGACAAAAGTCGCTAGATTGCGGCGGGTACGTTGATGTACTCCACTGTTTTATTTAGCAATCGGTCGCAAACTTTTGGTCTAGTTTTTCCGGGTTTTAGTTTATTGATAAGAAGTCTTCTTCGAGATTAACATAAGCGACGGTAAATCTCGCTTTCGTTCACGACAGGAATTTTATTTGCGGCGGAACGAGGGAGTGTTTTTGAAATTTATGCAAATTTCGGTGTTTTTTGGGTGGTAATAGAAGACATATTATCCCTTCCATCTACCAAAGTATTTTGAGTTGGATCACGAAATTGCTACAGCAATATTATGCTATTGTTTGCCAACCACGAAGCGGTACCAGTAAAGGATTTAGCGAATATTTCTATTTTTTATCACGGTTTGAAGTTTCAACTCCCAAGAAAAAAAAATGCCTTTTTTCTATCCGGTTTGTGACTCAGACCACCCCTTTTAAAAAAACTTTTTTTTTTAATCGCCAATTGCAAGCTCTTTAAATAAGCTTTCCAATGAGCCCTCAGTGGGCAGCAGAGGATCATTAGTTTTTCGTTAGTCGATCGATTAGTTGTGGGGGTACAAATGCATAAAATCGGCGTAGCAAATACGATTATTTAATAAAAAATAAAGATCGCATGGAAAGGGTTAACTAGACTCAGTGAGAAAATTTGGACATCAATTACTTCCATTTTTTTTAAAGTGTACATTACTATGTTAGCACTGCATATTAAAAATCCTAGTTTGAATCCCATAGTATTTTGTGGTAGTATTTTGGGCGCTCCAGGAGTATGTGTACAAATATAGAGGTAACCAATTTTATTCGATTACTCTACATCAAGTTGTGCAAAGGAATGTAGAAGCCTATGGGCAGGGGTTATATTCACTTGGCTAACACAAACAGTCTCTGAACTCGTAATAGAACTAAAATAAGGAAAATTGGAGTAAAATTATGACCTAACCCTAACCTGGTACACATATTACGGGATTACCATATTTTAGACCTCACTCATGGTATTTTGAAGTAGGTAGGTAATATTGAGATGGAGCTGTGGTTGCTTGTACAGTGAAATTCATCTATACCTATTTATCTCGGGGGAGATTTTATCAATGATTCAACTTTATTCCAGGTACCTATTCGTGATATGCTATTACGTGTCCTCAAGTTGCCTTCTGTGAGCAGCAAAAGATTTCTTACAAACAAGGTAATTATAGCCTAAGATCTATTATTATAATATTATCATATTTACAGTTTTTTTTTTTTTTTTTTGAATGTTTGAATGATCCCATTTTGGATAGATGCTTTAACCTTAGCTATGACACCGTTATTTAGTGACAAGATTTTTTCATGCTAATCTCTAAAAATCACATTCAAACAATTCTTCAGACAGAAAGTTGGGTGTACAGGGTTTAAGTCTGATTGACAGATATATTGTTTTAGGTTGATCGTTCTGTAACAGGATTAATAGCACAACAACAATGTGTTGGACCACTTCATACACCACTTGCTGATGTAGCTGTAACAGCATTGTCACATTTTACAACTAAAGGATCTGCCACGGCGATTGGTTTGTTGGAATTGTTCCAAAACTTAAAATCTGTTTTCTATCTTTCCAAGTAAGCCTAGATCATTGCCATAGATAGTCTGTCTCTCTTTGAATAGGAAAACGTGTTCAATAGCAGTCAAGTCAAAAGAATTTTACATCAGATTCAAAACTCTTTTGACAAACCATCTCCATTTGACAAACACACGCCTCTGACTTCTGACTACAGGTTGCTGAATAGACTTTGACTCCAGGAGGCTGAAGAAAACTTCTGACTCCAATCTTCGGCAACCCACTTTAAACTATCTGCTCAAATGCTGAGTAAACCTAATGCTATCGAACTATCTGTTGGAACTTTTTTTGTTTGATTATCACCATTCAGAATTCTGAAGAAATAAAAAAGTTACCCAGACTCAGACCCAGGCAGAAAATACAATATGTCTTCAACTCTGGTATCAATAAGAACATGCCTAACTTTAGATTCAACTCCAACCTGGTAATAAATGGGACAAAATCTCCAGTCAATCTTCTAATGAACTTTTTCTTTATTCAGGTGAGCAACCAATCAAAATGTTAGTTGATCCGTGTGCTGGTGCCAGATTAACTGTTGGTGAAGCATTAACAAATCTTGTGTTTGCTGGAATCTCAGATATTCGTGATATTAAATGTAGCGGGAATTGGATGTGGCCAGCTAAACTACCAGGTAATTTGCACAATCGCTTCGCCTTTTTGCATTTTGTTGCATCCTGGAATATGATTACTATATAATTTAATTGCTCTATATTTATATTATCTTTAAAAAAGTTGGCGTCGAATAGAACTCTCTTTGATGCCGCAGCCATGGTTGTTGCGTTCCTGATTCAAAAAATGTTTTAAATCATGTATTTCCTTGACAATTTTTATGATCTTGAAAGGTGAAGGAGCTGCAATCTATGCAGCATGTAAATCAATGTGTGAAATCATGAATAAACTTGGAATTGCTGTCGATGGAGGAAAGGATTCGTTGAGTATGGCAGCAAGAGTTGATAATGTAAGAATGTAATTATTTTTGCTATGGCTATTAAAAAATGTTTCAATACTAATTAAATTATAGTGGTGATTTTGGTATTGATTGTACATGTACATCTTCTCATGCATAACAAAATATACCAGTTTAATGGTGAGTTTGCATTGTCAAGTAAACATCTCTTCTCTAGGATATATAGCTTATGCCACTGGTTTCCAAACTTTTCAAACTCATGATGCTTTTGCCTTCTGTAATATGACTTGTGAATTGTGATGTGTTGGAAATGAAAGGGAGAGGTTTCAGATTTAGAATATATTATGCACATTTAAATAATGTGATATGTAGTCTGTTTATATAACCGATCGTGGTGTACTGGTGTGGCTTAACTTTTAATATAGCCTGTTGCACTTCTATCTTAACTTTAATTTCAATAGATTCGATCATTTTATGTCAAGTTCTGAATGTGGGCAAAATAGAAATATTTTTTTAGAAAATCGTTAGAGATTGTGCAACACACTAAGAATCAATTCTGGCTGTTCACAATTTAGAAACCACCGGCTTATGCTGAATATTGTCAGCTTGAACAATTTGTAGAGAAGACTTTTTTGAATATCAATATTTGATATGTTTTGTAGCAAAAAATATTGTTTTGATTTAATTCAATGCTTTAATTTTAAACAGGAAACTGTCAAATGTCCTGGTGCTCTTGTAGTGTCAGCTTATGCTCCATGTCCTGATATTACTGTGAAAGTTACTCCTGATTTAAAGTGTGCTGGAAAAAATGAAGAAGGACATCTTGTATATGTGCCAATGAGTAAAAGTCTGGGCCACTTAGGTGAGTTGTACATAGATTTATTTGGTTAGCAATTCAGATTTTATCATATATCATAATTACTTATATAATATTTTTCTGCCTAATACTTTTCTACTCTCCATTGTAATGCTGTTAAACCAAAGTTTCCTGAACTAAATGGGCCATATAATTGTATGCCGGTGCCGACTTTCTTTACCAACTATTACCGGTACTTTGTATGTAACACTGATATTTTAACATATGAATCACACAGGTGGAAGTGCTTTGGCTCAATGTTTCGGACAAATTGGAAATGAAATACCTGATCTTGATGATGTTGAGCTGTTTATCAATGCTTGGAAGACTACTCAACGTCTCATTAAAAACAAGAAAATATTATCAGGCCATGATGTCAGTGATGGTGGACTTATTACATGCTTACTTGAAATGGCGTTTGCTGGAAACTGTGGTATAGAGGTATGGTTGATTAGGTTATTATTATGAAAATGTTTGTTTGGTCATGCAGCCATTTGTATGAAAATATCTTTTAATGTGGCGTGTGTGTTAGTGAGGGCATTCGGCATAGGCATAGAATTTTATTGCTGGACACCTGTCCAATAAATCAGTGCCTGTCACACTTTATCGTCTGAAGGTCAAAATATTGCGTACAAAAGTGCTAAAATGTTACTAAGATGCATAAAAAAATGTGTTAGTAATATTCTAAATTTTTATAATAAATTTGAACGTACTTAAAAATATTTGACTATTGGTCTTGTAGACACAACCATTATGTATCAAATTCCTCATCAGACATGACATGATGAAATCAAAAATTCCAAAACAATTTAGACAGAATTTCTCTTTAATCGGCAGCTTCTAAGTTGCTATACTTAGTACCTCCCTTATTTTGTGCCTTTAAGCAATGGAAGAACTGACAGAAAATATCTTTGTAATGCAGCTCCCTTGACTGTAGACAATCTACGCTTACAGTAGGAGTAGGAGAGTAACGATTGAACTGTTTCTACTCTACAGGTTAACATTTCATCAAATGAAGATGAGACATCTGTGCTGTTTTCAGAAAGACTTGGTTTGGTTCTAGAAACTGCTTGTTTGGATGAAGTTCTTAATGAATTTGCGAGTCATAATGTCAATGCGATCTCTATCGGAAAAAGTAGAAAAGAGAGACAGGTTTGCATAAACAAAAATCATTATAGCTAATTTGATAAAAACACATAGCATGGAATAAAACATGAATCAGTCAATTAGCAATAGTCAATGGAGATGGGAACCATGTATGACTATAAGTATTTGTCATTTCTTTGTTATTTCGAATCTAATTTGTAGTTGCAGGCATGATGCTAATATGAGATAAAAAGATGGTTCTAAATTGAACAGTAATGGTTAAAACAGAACGCTTAATCCGAATTCTTTTGTCCAAAATATGGAAGATTAAGCATGAACAAAATATTAAATCACCTATATTTGTGTAACCATTTAAAAACTACTAAAATATAGAGAATGTGATTGTTTGACTAACTGTCTGATTTTGTGATCAGGTGATTTTTATACCCTGATCTGCTTGGATTGCACCCAAGTTGTGCAAAAATTCTGTTTCTGACGAAACATTGTGCATTTAATGTAAAAAAATTTGAATGTATTCAAAATATAACCGATTTTGTCTCAAACAATCTTGGATATGGCTTTCACTCATATTATTTTTGCTTTTATTCACATTTAAATATTATATTCATTGCAGATATCCATTTCTGTTAATGACACTGTGATACTGAGCAATGAATCAACCAATCAATTACGGGACGTTTGGGAAAGCACAAGCTTTGCTTTAGAACATTTGCAATGTGATAATGATTGTGTCGAACAAGAAAGAAAATATCTTCTGGAATGCATAAAGGATCCTCCATATCATGTGAGCTTTGACCAAACGAAAGAAACTGTGCCAAAAGGATTATCCGCAAGTGAGTTTGATTAATAATAATGCTTTCGGTCTTTATATACCATTCTTATGAATGTACACCATCTACCTGTATATATGTCAATCAATTAGTAGCTTATTTCTACACATGCCGAAAATAAATACTCGTTTTACATACAAACTTAGGAAAGATAAAAAAATGCATTTCAGTGTGAGGGAGACACGATAAACCAGTAAAGGTCAATGATTGCTTGTTTCAATTGTAGCAGTGATTACTGCATTATACTGAAGTTGCAGGCCTGAGTCAAGAGTTTATGCTAGTATATTTGTTGGAGTCAAAACTTTGTACCTCTCTGAATTTTGGTGTATACCCAACAGCGAGACTAAATTTTGTTCTCCATTTTTTTTAATTTATGTCAATTTGAGAGTAGCAGATGGAGACTTGTTTGAATGATATTTTTTTCTTTTTTTTAATTTACAGAAAAAATTAATGTTGCTATTCTGCGAGAAGAAGGTAGTAATGGAGATCGTGAAATGTGTGCTGCATTCATGAAAGCTGGATTCAAGACATGGGATGTAACAATGCAAGATCTTCTGTCGGGAGATATTACTGTCGATCGATTTCGTGGAATTGTTTTTGTTGGTGGATTCAGCTATGCTGATGTGTTTGGTTCTGCTAAGGGTACTTTTTCTATTCATTCATTTTCTTGGGAAATTTGCCTGCTCAAAAATTTATGGAAAATGTTAGTTTGCGTGTATCGGATGCAATTTACAAGCATTTGATAAGTTAATGTTATATGTTGTTCAGTCAAAAATAACAGCCACCTATATATATTGTGTGCCTTCGAAATTAGAAATTGTCAGATTCTCACTGAATCCTACTTTTCTAACAGGATCTTTTATCTTGTGGAACAGAAAAATCGTTAATTTTTCAAAATGCTGGTATATTGTTTTCCAGGTTGGGCTGCATGCTCTCTTTTTAATGAGAAAGTGAGGGAGCAATTTGATTTGTTTTTTCATCGTGAAGATACTTTTTCATTGGGTGTTTGTAATGGTTGTCAACTAATGGCTCTGCTAGGATGGATCGGAAATGAAAAATCTGATGAAAACACTCACAATGAAAGGTGTGCGATAATATTTGATTCTGAATACTACAAGATGCTCTTGTATTATGGGCTCACGTTTACTTCCCATTCCATATTGAGTGTGATCTTTGTTTCTGTAAAATTCATTTCAACTACTCTATGTTCTACTCAGAATCCTACATGCAAATTTTCCTTCTTTTTCAGCAAAATGCCAAATTTATCCTGCTACCTCACTCATAATAAATCTGGCAGATTTGAGTCAAGATTTGTCACTGTGAAAATTATTGATAGTCCAAGTATTATGTTGAAAGGAATGGATGAATCTCAACTTGGAGTGTGGGTTGCTCATGGGGAAGGTAACTGACTGGTGCTTAAATAAAAAGATAATAATTTAGAATTTTACTAGAATAGTAAAATTATGAAATGAAGTATGAAAAATGTATGAAAAATGGAAAGGTTTTTATCCTGGCAAAATCGAAAACTTTGATTCCTAAACTTAAACAGTATATGGCCCTTTCAAAGGCTCTTGACCCCCTCTGACTTCCTACTCTCCTATAAAAATACCTTTAATTTTAGCAAGTTTCCATCAGTTTCTGCTTATACCACGTTTAATGATAAAGACTGACAAATAAAGGAAAAAAAATCAATGCAATACCGAAGAATTAGACAAATCGACGTCAATTTATTTAAATTATTGCAGTCGTGGAGAATGGTACCTAGCGAATATCTTTGTTCATGGCTCAAAAAAAAACAATCCATGGTGCCCCTAAAAAAACGCTTGGGCAGCCAAATGCTAGGTTCAGAAACCCTGATTTTTGATGATTTGCTTTTCAGATAACCTTAGTCAGTAGTACAAGAAAAATGAAACTGAATGAAGCCAGTTTTATTTTTCATTAAATATTATTTTTTAGGGCAATTCAAATTCAAGGATGAATCAGTGTTAGAAAATATCAATAAGCTTGGTATTGCACCAATTCGATTCATTGATAATGATGGAATTGTTACTACAAAATATCCATTCAATCCCAATGGATCAGAACAAGGTATGGAAACGCGTTTAACAATTTTATAAAAGCCACAGATGTGGTTAGCTAATCGGGGCATAATAATAATGTTAGTATATGCTTTATATACATTCGGTTTGAAGGAATGTTTATGGAAATGATAAATTCAGAACTCTATAATTGGGTTGGAATTGATTGCTGCTCGTTTTATTTTCACAATTTTGACTCATCTTTGATCCCTATTTATATTTGGTTGTTGGAAAATGATCAATATGATAATTTTAATGCTGTCTTCCAGGGATTGCTGGATTGTGTTCCACGAATGGTCGTCATCTTGCAATAATGCCACATCCAGAACGTAGTGTAGAGATGTGGCAATTTCCATGGATACCTCAGTATTGGAATGGAAAAGTATTATCGTCACCATGGGAGAAAATGTTCTCAAATGCAATGAATTGGTGTCTCCAGAATGTGCAATAACATTTCCGTCATTGGAATATCACGAATTACAATTGTACAGTTTACCAAATATCTGCTGTTTTCATGTGCAAGTGTCCTTAAAAGATATTAATCAGGTTTATTCCTATATCGATTATGCTGTCGTTTTGTGTTGAAAACTCGTTTCGCTTAGTATCTATCATCTAATATTTTCTGCATTCCAAATGATAAATGTTGCTTCCGTTTTTCGCCAAAGTAAAACTTGCCAAACAAGTGGTTTTTTTTTACAATCTGTGAACTTGCCTTCTGTACCTAAATAAATATTTGCACGAAACAACCAAAAATCACTATTATGATTTACTTTGTATCAGAGCTGTACTGGCTAAGCAAATCGATATGCTTGTAAAGGCGATGTCCTGTCAGCACAGCAAAAGATAGTTTATTTGTCAATTGCAAGTCAAGTCAACACTCTACTCCGCTTTGCAGAAAATTCGTCAGAACCACATTTATTTCGTATGATATCAAAAGGATAGCAGCAAATTCTTCATTAAATTGAATTGTCTGCCTTTGTTGTTATTGTTGAGTGTTTCTGACATTTTGGGCTGATTTTAAAGATTTATCGATACGCAAACTAAAAAAAGGTTGAGAATCACTGGTTCAACGTATTTCAGGTTTATTCGAAAATATGGCATTGGTTGCTTCATGTTAAGGAATGCGCAACAACGTTATATGCAAATGGCGAAAGACTCTCAGCAACGTATATATATATATAATAGGGGCATTAAAAAAAGTCGCTACAATAGTCAACTAACTGAATTAGTAGGTGGTAAATATGGAGCAACGATGATTCTAATATGAAAATGATCTCAAACAACTAAGATTCTACGTTCGCATATATATGACACAACACAAAAATATTAACCACTCAAAATGAGCCAGAGAAAGATGCTACTAACTTTCTAGTGTTAGTTATAAGTATATTTGAATTTTATACTTATAACTAACACTAGAATTTTGGCATTATCTTGCTCAGGCTTGTTTTGAGTGGTTAATATTTTTGTGTTGTATCATATGCGAACGCTGAAACGCCGACATGTGGAAACTAAGAAAAAGTGGGGAATGTTTTACAAAGCTCACTTCGATACTACTACACAAAGCGTGCGTTCTTCGGATTGTATAGAGCCACAAGGCAATATTAACACAAATCTGCAAATACCAGAATTTAATTTGACCACAAACTCGTGTGCAATAACATTATCATTTATTGGAACAGATTTCGATTTCAGAAATAGAAGGCAATCATAGAAATGGCAAAAAACAGAAGGCTATTTCTTTGCAAATTGACTATCGTCATTTCAGCTCGGTGAAGAAATAAATTACTGATTACTGAAATTTGATGATGGGTTTCATAAGGAAGACTGATTTGATTGCACAGCACAAGTTTCAAAAAGCACGTGGATTTTAATTGATACTATTCGCACTGAAATTGGAACGCAAGGGCATGGAATGGTATTTTTATATTCAACATGTCTGTTGTTGTTCACACTTTTACGCTGATTTTATTATTATTGATTAGCGTAGGCTACAGTAGACCATATAGGTTCGCAAAGTGCTCCGTGCTTCGTTTTAGCCTACTCCAAAGTCTACACCACTCGCTATTTTCGAGTATACAATATAGTAGAAATTGTTGGTTCAAACTCTACGCCCAAGAATTTTCGCCCAAATTGTTTTCGAGTACTTTTTTTTAAAATTTACTTCAAGTCTTCAATGTGTTAATTGTTTGTTGTTTGGGTAAGTGGCACGTTTTGAATCTTTTTAGATTTTTACTACTTTTCCGGTCTACCGTATATTTGTTTGTTTTGCACTGTATTTCTGCTCTGTTTTGTTGTAAAATAAAATTGAAATAAACATACTCACTATTCGCTTGACTCGGTTGGCGCTGAATGCCGAATATAAGACATATGCTGCCAGTCATACCCCTGACTACCTGGCGCTAATCTTGTGGAAAGAATATCTGGTTTGCATAATCAATGGTCATTTACGACTTTCCACGTCTTAAGATCACTTGTAACAAATCCATTGACATGAAAAAAATCGTTCCCCCTTTCCAAACACGCAAGTGAAAAACTGACTTTCATTGCTCACATTTTGATTACGCTGCTCTGCTGTTTTCCGTTAGTGGTTGGTATTTTGAGATGAATAATCATATAAGTTGTATTGTTACAATGTTGTTCTTTGGAATTATATTGGGTTCTCTATCTCACTCCTCTCTGTGGTTACTAACTATAGTATTTTAGACGTCATGACGTCAGAGCAAATTCAGCCAATCGTGTGTTGAATTGTCGCGACCTCTGACACCGCCGGGTCGGTGATACATGGTAATGACAAATGTTCCCCTTCAATTTTGGTTTCGAATTAGTATAATTTTTACTGTGCTTGCATTCTGTTTATTAAAAATATTTGCTTAAAACACCTTACCATAAATTATTCGAAACAAAGTTTTTAGAAACCAATTGATGCTATACATTTTTGAGAAATATCATATACAAGTCTTAGCAGGGAACAATTGTCTTTGCCTACCGATAAGGTAAAACAGCTTCAAGGGTGCTAATTACAGAATTACAGCATCGTTCAATCTTTCGTTGACGTTGCTATCTCGCTCAAATATATTGATCAAATTGATGTTGGTGACCCATTTTAATGAGTGATATACTTAACTATTTATTTTATTTTAAAGAAGGTGCGTGGGAAAGTTATTCGCCACATACTCGACCGTAGTTTCAAAGTTTAGAGATTAATGGAAAGACCACAATAGGACCTAACTTTGCGGGTTGTAGTATATTTGGGATCCAGCATTTAAGTCTCCAATCAATGCAATTTTCAGATGTTAGTAAGAGTATTAACTTATATAGATTATGTAGTATGACAGTCAAGTCTGTATTCATTGCTGTATACTGGTATAAGTGTATTACAATACAGAAATCTGGGATGCCATACCAGCATACTGCCAGACCGCAGTCTCGGTACTGCCATATGATAATTTAAATATTTCCCACCTCCGTACCTACAACTCAGCGACCACATTGTGCTTCTTGCAGCCTAGGTCTGTAGGTTGAATGCATGGCGGTATTAATATAATGTAGTTTCTTCGAATAATGATAAATTGACTGTTTCAGTGCTTGTGTTATTCATTCCATCCATGTCTCCGAAAAACAAATAACTGGCTAACTAATCCCATACCCGACCTAGACTGGTAACCGGACGAGAGGCCGTGGTTCGCCATATGATTAAGCTGTCCCATCGGCTTTCCTCTCCTTCAGGATAAATATGTAAATCTAATCCTATCCATTCTCCAGTTCTCGAGATAATAGTGTAATACGGTAACTTTTGTAGAGATACAATATGTCGTGCGTCCGTTGAAACTCGAAATACTGTTCATACTACAATGGTTGGTACATCATGAAATTCAGTCAGTTTGTCCGATTCCAAGGTGTCCCGAGCCCGACATTAGGTTCAATAAAACACTCAATTTGTTGCGAAAATGAGGGCATCTGATGCAACAGCAGATGCATTGGATCGCATCATTCTTTTCTCCATAATAATTTAAATCAATCGTGAGGTGCGTCGGCTGTCTTTTAACTTGGGATCGAAGGGGGTTGGCTTGGGTTATTCTTGGAATCGAAGAACTGTGCCATACTGAAATAGCAATCAATTGCTGGATCATTTCAAGAACTTTCAAAATCGTTATATTCTGTATTTTTACTGAGCCTCATGAACCTTAATTAATTAAATCCATCTAATATTTCATCCAAAAACAAGCATCGCCATCAGGCCCATGGGCGGTAGAGGAGTCACCACTCCTGTAGGAATATTGACTGCTATGGAATGAATAAAAAAAAACTCAAAACACTGTCAAAATTCCTGAAATTTGAATGTACCATTTCTTGTCCAGACTGTAGAACAGAGCAAAAAAAAGCTAACTTTGCGACCGGTTGCTAATTTCTCTGCTGACATTATTACTGTTACAAAATCTTACTGAATGTGTTACCATTATTTTGTTCGAAGCTGTATCAATTTGAAGATATAGAGTTTTTTCGATATTCAGAACCAGTTTATAGCGAATTTAAATTTATATAGGTATATACAGCCCTGTACATAGTTATTGTGCATGCAGCATATGTAATTGTGATAAAAAAATGAGAAATACTTAATCTACAATACTTGTAAATCTGAAGCGTTGTGATATTTCGCAACACAATATTGGACCACAGCAGCAAGTTATAATTATTATAACTAAGGATAACCTAATTTGGCTATCTTAAGTGAAGACCAAAGACACCAACGAAGATGCCAAACAAACCCAAGAAGGAAAAGGTAAATATTTTCCCGTTGTTCGTTTTCATGTACCAGATGAATAACGGTGATACTATTTTTTCACTCAGTGAAATCAGCCACTGATATATAGAAGGGTAATTTTTGAAAAATTTTTTTGGTTCGTCATTGTGCAGCTTATTATTATATTATGAATTCGGGATATTAAACCGGCAATACCAGCAGTAGAAGGTTCTAACTTCTAACCTTTGTCAAACACATCTTATTACTTTGTCCATCAACTCAACTTTTCAAATTGATGAGGGGGAGTTTAATCACTTGTTTAATTTATTATACAATATTGCATTAATTGGTGTTGTACTATATTGTATGAAATCAAAAATTGCAATAATGCTATTTTTTTTATTTCAGGGGTCCAAAACCAATACAGCAAGTTCAAAATCAAAAGATGAGGACGAGGTAGGAATTTTATCTGTATACAAAGATTATTTTCCGATAGCTTGTTATTATATGATTAATAATTCAGCTCAACGACTAGGATATCGTACTATGAGTTTGGAATATTGCTTCCATTCCATCGTACTTCTGATTAGTCTGCCAGGGCTGGCAGGTCCGAATCCCGTGACGGAGAATTATGTCCAAGAGTATTGTTGCACAACTTGTTTCAATATGTGGCAGCTTCTCTCGCCAGCAAGTTCATACCTCTGAAATAAATAACTGGTAAACTATTCCCTCACCCAACATGGACTGGTAAACGTACAAGAAGTCGTGGTTTGCGATATGATTAATGACTTTTTTTTCCTTGTGATAAATATTAAAAATCCAATTTTAAATCCTATTTACTGCTTGATGTTTTATTTTAAATAGATCCTTTGTGGGGTTATTCAATTAGGCTAGTCGTTTTAATGAAGTATTAAATTTAAACTGGATAATGATGGAGCATACCGTAGCTCAGTTTAGTATTTGAGCCCTACCTACCACAATTCATTGTTGGAGTTCCCCAAATTAGAAAGGTAATAGTCGCTTCTAAAATTTATGGTCTGAACGAAGGATGTTTACTTACTATTATACACTATAAGCCTGATTCATATACAGTGCATCTTTGTCTAGAAAAAGCCTCATGCTCAGCATCACAATAATGCTGGTCCTCCAGTCACACAACTTACAAAGGTGAAATATGCACCTGGCGTTCCGATGGTAAAGAAAGATAAACGTCAAAATTCATCAAGATTCAATATTTCAAAGAACAGAGAGCTCGTGAAGATTCCTGCTTTAAAAGGTAGGCTACTATCGTACAGAAACTTAAAATTGGACAATAAAATGAGACCTGAAGATAAATAAGACTCAAATCAGGCTTGGAGCTCATTCAAAAATTGCAGTGTTTTAAAATTGAGGATAAATCATTATTTAGTTGTACACTGGCTGTAGAGAAAGAAGAGAGAATTTTGGGCGATAATAAATTGTGATTGTGCTAAACCCGCTGTTCGTATTCGTATTACGGTTGAGATATTTTATCTGCATACTAAAATGGGAATAAATATTTTAGTTTGAGCTCAAATGTTCATATATTGGAAGTAAATTTTGAACTGGAGACTCTCGTTTTTCTAGAAAATTGTTAATGAGAGTGTTTTATCAGAATTAAGTTCATTTTATTTTGCTCTATTGTTAGAAGATTTGCATCTAAGAATTTAGATTAAAATGTGTTCCTGAAAGATGTCAAAATTTGGAGTGCTACTGTTACGAATTATTGTTATGATTAGTTAAAATTGACTTATCAAATTTATCTGGAGGTACTCAAGAACTATCTCTAGTTTAGTGATATATTTTGCTAGAAACACGAGACATGCTGTATATCAGGCTTTATTTAATTACAGATGCTGCACCAAATGACGTTGAAAATCTGTTTGTAAGAAAACTTCAGCAATGTTGTGTTGTATTCGATTTTGTAACTGATCCGCTTAGTGATCTCAAATGGAAGGAGGTTAAAAGAGCAGCATTAAATGAAATGGTGGAATACGTTACTCATAACAGAGGAATTATCACTGAGGCAATTTACCCAGAAGCTGTACATATGGTGAGTATTCTGTTTTGTTAACGTAATTTGAGATCTAAACTGAAATCTTCATACACTATTAACTTTTCTGTAATATTTTAAGATATATTTTCCGATAAATGGATAAAATATTACAGACGAATCAGTTAATTTGTTTTTCTGTAATTTTTCTGCACTTTTCATAATATGCTCAATTGCATTTCAATTCCAGTGGTTTCCAATAACTTGTCACAAGATAATGCGACAAAAAATTAAATTTTTTAAAATTAAAGATTTCAATGCGCTGTAAATTATCAATCCATTTTCATAGATTTCTTCCTATATGTCCATGTTTGAAACTTGACACAAAGTATTCAAATATGGAAAATTTGTGGCAAAGTGAGAAATATGGCCAGCAATAATATTTGGTCTAAAATACTCGTTTATGTACGTACACAAGATCAAGCCCACTTATCACATTGATTAAATATGCATATATTATAAAACTTTCACTTGTCCTATTCAATGCTAAGTCAAGTTTCTTCCAATCTATTGTGATTTGTATTCAAAAGGTAAATATATCGGTTGGTACAAAGGTTGGAAACCTCCGCTATAATATTTCCACTTCTAAATATTTTCTTGAGCAGTGTATTTCCTATTAGTATTGATTTTCACCTGATAGATAGCCTATGGGGATGATATTACCTTAATCTCTGTCCAATGTTGAGAACATATCAATTAACCACACTAATTAGCATCGTGATGATACTCCTTTTACCTTTTTGAAGTGAACATATGGCACAGACGCAGAATATGTAGGTCTATTGCAATTCATTTAATATTATTATATTAAAAAAATAACTTTTTCATTTAGTGCAAATTTACTTATTAGTTAATCAATTACACACTACTATAACGTCTATTATAACAGCACATTAAATATTATTTAAATACCAGGTACTTTAGCATAAATTTACCTCAACTGAAGTGTTTTTACTTTAATTAATTTCGAGAGCGATATTTCAAATATTTCCCTGTAGTATATCTAGCTCTTGGAATTATATTTTCAAAATTTTTGTTAATAAAATGATATATTGTTTGCACTCTTCCTCAACTTTTTATATTCAAATATCTTCAGCTGGTGGATATTTCTGATATTGTTTGTTCAATAGCTATAGCCTACTGGCCTGCACGGACAAAATATTTTCTCAAAACCTTTATTGGTAGAACTCTGAACAGGGAATTTTCACGACGAATTGAATTAATTTTACCCAATGTTTCAAATCCTTGATTTTAGGGATAATTCAGATTAGTTTCATTTTAAAAAATATCATTTTGAATAACTCCTGCAATATGACACAAAGGGGGTTTTATTTGAGTTGTGAAAACTGTAGAAAATGGTAAACAACCAAATAGCTGTTTATCTGCAACATTCCTGCATTTTTCAAAATCAAACCATTGAATACACATTGACTTCTATATGTTCTCCTTTGAACACGACTCACTTTAGAATATTTTAGTCATTCCATCTTCAAAAATATTATTTTAGAATATATTCAGAACAGTAGATATTCTTTTTTGGTTGTTCCTGTCTAAAGGTGTATGTATGTATATATGTATGTAATTGACTTTGAAGTAATCATATCTTCGCTTCTTGTGTAATAATTGTGAAATTTCAAAATTATCACCGGAGGAATGCTATAAGAACTGTCCGCCTCTGGCATGATGCCAATCATGCATGGCATTACATGATTCCATGTTTCAAACACCTGGATTTTCTCAACAATAGTTATTAAAATACTCTAATATTGTATGTTCAATAATTTAGCACATATTCACAATAATCACAAATGCTATTGAATATCTGACTTCATATCCATAATTTAAATTTATCATAAATCAATACAGGACACACGTATTTCTATAATCTAGCTTTGTCAACATGTGCCACTGGTTGTGTCAGGCTGCTATATATCAAATATATACTTAATCTGTTTCACAGAAACTTGTCCATCATGATAAATCATTTAATCCCACTTTGGTGTTATCAATTTTTCAGTACAGTTTTATAAAATGTAGTTGAAATTTTCCACGCAACAAAGCCTTCATTTTAAAGGCTTCAGTATAAAAATAGAATTAACTGAATGAAATGTGTTCCATCCCATAATAAGATGAAATCAATATTTAACAACCTTGGTAATATTTGCTCTAATGATGAGTTCTGATGGATTGTTTCAGATGTTATAAACCATTGCTTTGTAATGGTATTATAATCCAATTTAAAATGAATGCAAGGTTGAATTTTTCCCAAATTTTGATATGCATTATGACTTTATGAGTGTGCAAAAAGTGTGGAAATGCTGAGATCGCATATTCTCAAATGAACTACCCTGTAGGCCTGTTTATCAAACTTACAGTTTAATTTAATTGAGTTTATCTGTTATGCATGTAGCCAGAAATGGTCAACCAAATTTGAATAATGCATCCTGAAATAATATATCCCGCACTTGAATGTGATGAAATCAGATATATTCATTGGTTCATGTTCAACAAGAACTCATAGAATTCAATGCTTTGAAATGGGAAATGCAGAAAATTTGAGCTAACGATTATGTTTGATTCTCTGTTTACTTTACACCTTTCATAAAGACATTTTTGTATACTGTTAAGTTAATAAACTTCTATTCTTCACAATTATGCTTCTTCCAAATTGATCTATTTTTAAATTATTCGTAAAATCAAGGATTTAAAAATATTGTATTAGTCAATAGTCAATTTCAATATTCTTTTAGTTTGAGACAAGGTTGTGCAACCTGCGGCTCGTGGGCAAAATCCTTTCCACAAGAAAAAATTGTGCGGCTCATGGAGAAGTATCAATTTTGAATGATATGGGGACCGCAAAACTAGTTTTTAATTTTGTTTAATTAATGCTAGTAATTCTAAGTCAAATTTATTATGTTTATGACGTTACAATACCCTGACGTGACACGAACAACGTATGTCATGAGATCAACAACCCAAATTTTCGTGCCTGCAACTAATAGAAAAGCCCATGGTAAATAAAATTGCGGCCTGTGGTTTCACCCAGTTTCTTTTATGTGTATTAAATATTGCACGCCCCTAGTTTATTAAGATATCTCTGTATGTAACTAACTGTTCATTCTGCTTAATAATAGAAGTATTGTCAACTCATTCATTTCTCCTTTTCTTATTCAGTTTGCTATAAATACATTTCGATCTCTTCCACCTCTGAGTAATCCAAGCGGAGCTGAATTTGATCCGGAAGAGGACGAACCTAATTTAGAAGCAGCATGGCCTCATATACAGGTTTGTAGAAATTAATTTTTACTATTTAATAACATGCAACATGGATTCAGTTTGGTAAAAAATTGTAATGCTAAATTCTAGTATGTGAAAGCTATTTTTAGTAAGTTGAATATTGATCAGTTTTCTATATAAATATACACATTTGCCCAGGATTTGAGGTCAATCTTTATGTACTGATATATGAAAAATGAGATTGTTTTGAAGACACATATAATGAATGATTAATGTAAAATCATTACAACGACAATATTCTTGTTCAGAATTTTTCATTTTCCATTTTGTTTGAATAGCAATATTACACTAACTTGTAATTCGTTGTATTACACACGGTCACACAATGATTGTACGGAATCCGGTTCCCATTTTTGTTATAGACAAATATTGTTGGTATTTATTAACAGATCCTACCTAACATAATGTTGTCAAAACGGAATACATGTGGATCATTTGGTATTCTTGTTATGAAAAAAATGCTTTTCTTCGCAACTAATAGACCTTTAAATTTTCATAGAGTGTCGCTATTTTGCCCAAAACTTTGCTGTTTTATTTTTTGATAGGAACACTTTATATATGTCATATGGGAACATTTTTATAGGCCTATGATATTTTATGTTCCTTTCCATAAAATTAAGCATTTGTTCTCAAGTATTCAATTGTCGAACTTGGAGTTGGTTGTTTGTAAAGCACACTACTCATTGCTAAGTTTGATATCTAAAACCCCATGTTTTACTGTTATATTCGTATCAATTGTACAAGCTTCGCATTATATTGTCTTCCAATTTTGTTGTCTTCATATCCCTGCTTATCATAGGTTGTTCTTAGCCACAAGACCACAAATCGCAATACATATCGCTCATATGTATTTGTGTGGGATTCTATTTCCTGTGGTTTTCCATGACTGTTTGCCTCTCATCTTTATATTTGTGTCAACTGTGATAAAGAGATAATTTTTTAAGATTATTTGGCATAGTTTTTATTTTGGGATTTGATAAGTATTTAGAAAAATGTAAATAATGCTCCATGACATTAAAATTAAAATTAAGTTATTAGGTACAGATTTGATATGAACATCAACTTTGTTTGTAATAATCTGAAAAATGTATGTTGGCACTAGGCAGTGAAGGAAAATTCTAATACATGGTCTAACTACTGAGGAACAGTGTATAGGCCTACTGATGTTTACTGGGCGAATTTATGTATCTGTAACCCTGTTTGAAAATTGTTGTTATGTAAAGATATTTGTTTAACCCAAATATATTTAACCATATTTTGTTTTTTTATTCAAATATTCTTAGTATTATCCATACAAGTTTTTCATCCTTCAGTTGTCGAAGCAATTCTATTTGGATCTCTAGTGGTTGACTATAATGCTATTTTGTCTAATTACAAAATTCACTTACGTATTCCAATTGAGGAATAAGATCTTTATCATTGTTCTTGCGTAGTATTATGTTACCATAATACAACACATGAGTATATTCATATCCGATTCTTAATTTTGAAGGTTTTCACCACCCCACCATAATTGAGGGTTGATTTTATCAGATTTTCATTTTTTGGAGTTAGTACCTAATTGAAAGAGATGTTGAGCTAGCATAAAAATTCAATATCCATTAAAATTTCTTTTTAAAACTTATCATATACATTGCATTTCAAACACCATTGAATGTAACAACTGCACTTTTCCAAAGATTTTATTTAAATTCCAATTCCAGTATTTGAAATTACTGTTTTGCATGCGATATTGACTCTCATTGTTCGAAGATATTGATTTATGTCAGATTTTCCTCAAACGAAACTGACCTACAAAGAACGAAGAAATGAAATGACATTTTTGAATTTTGCTGTATAAATATAGAATAATGGTTTTCTGTTTGTGTGGGGTGTCCTCTTTTATTCAGACATAGGCTATAATATTTGTGGTTTGAGTGGAAGCGTTAAAGTTCATAGCTTTAAACACTTGCTATTACACCTACATGCATGCATATCAGACATCTACAAGTGTCAAATAGTAGTTCAATTTGTTAAAATACTTCATTCATGCATTTAAGAAGATTTAGAAACGAACCAACTTGTAGATTATACGATATTCTGCTTTCCGCTAATGACTTCCTGACCTCAAATATCTATTGTACTCATTGTTTACATTTATTTCATTCAAAGACTTCTGATAGTAGTATCGATAGTTTTGTACCTTTGTATTAATCCTCGAGATGTGTTATCATTCAACATATTAAGTGTGGCCAAAGTAAGCAATAATTGTTATTTGTGGTGTAAAAGGGCTGTTCAATTCTTTCTCTCAATCTAATCTATGCACCTATGTAAATCTTAGTGAGACAGCTGTAAATGGAAATGTGCAAATTCTGATTTCCTACTATGTTGTCACATAACTGAAGTACCTTATATTGGATACTAGTTATTCTCATTGACATATAATTATTTGCTCTCTAGCCTGGTAACTATGTTTACCTAGCCGAATTTCTATCCCTGGTTGTTAATTACAGTAGCCAGTAAACTTTTTATGATTGTGTGATACTTATGTGAAATTACTGTTGTACACATAAAATGAATATTAACATTGAGATCAAGCTTTAGGTTTAAAATTGACCCTTTTCTTACCAGAAGAAGATTTGTTATTGGAATTTTAACTATAGAAGCGAGTTTGAAATGCCAACTTCGATTTTGGAAAATTCCAAATTTCTTCTCTCATCACTGAGGAGTTCGGAAATACGACCACGATATCAATAAAAGCACACCAAACTCTTACGACGCATCTCTGACAAGAAAAATTTTTTTTTTGAACCTTGTTGAAGATTTCAACTATTCACTATTAAACTGTTATCTTTTACTTTTATTCTGTACAAAGATTTTCTTGGTAAAGTTGTGGCTTCTCTTGCATCAGGCTCACAAATCAGTGCAAATTTGGTAGCAATTTTATAAAGTTGAATTCATAAAAATTGCCAGTATTAATTTTATACATGTTTTATTCACTGTCTAACTTCATTTTTTCTATTTTCAGCTCGTCTATGAATTTTTCTTGAGATTTTTGGAATCACCTGATTTCCATCCCCCGATTGCGAAGAAATATATCGATCAAAAGTTCGTTTTGGAGGTATGACCAAATTCATGTTATTCTATATGTTTTATATATGTATATTTTGAATTTACAACCAACCCCTACGGCCTATAGCAAATTGTAATCATGGTATTTGCATAATAAGTTTGTATTAATGAATACCTTCTAAAATAATAGTTTCAAATATGGATTGATGTTTCATGATTTCGTTAGCATGAGATTATTTTTGTAATTCTGAAAAATTAAATGAAGGTGACTGATTTTCTACAGCAGTGTTTCAGAAACGTTTTAATATCGTTGCCCATAAATTTAATTACCAAAAGCTCAATTACCCCTTTCATAAAAATGCAGTAGCCTAGTCATATCATTATCACAATTAATTGAAGAAGGAAGTTTCTGTTTAAAGCTGGGTTCTCCAGAAATTCTCCTGCACTATGACCATATTATTTCACTATGAATAATAATTGTAATATAGAATATCTGACCCTCCAGAAGTGTGTGTACCAATATGGAGGTAATTTATTTTGTTTGCCCAAGTTGTGTAAAGGGACAGAAGTCTATGGCCAGGGGGTATATTCACTTGGCTAACACAGACAGTCCTCAACTCGTACTAGAACTAAAATAAGAAAAATCGGAATATCCTAACCCGAACCTGGTACACACACTATACCGAATATCTTAATAGGGCTAAGATAGTACCATATTGACTCTTCATAAATATTTGACTTACAGTACAGTACAGGCACATATGTAACTTTTATTTATTAAAAAGTGCATACTATACATCTCGCCCTCAAAGTAACTTACGAAACAATAGTAAACTGCTTTATGGTCGTGACAGGTGAATGTTTTATTTACCGGTATATGTGTATTTAACATTGTCTTATTGGTACGATATGGCAAGTCAAAATATAATAAAATTTTCACAATATTGGAGCCACGAATGGCCAAAATCGAATACTAGACTATTTTGAATATGAAGTGTTAAATTTATTCTAAATTGGTCCGTGCTCGGCATAGAATTTGAATAAATCAATGTATATTCTTAAAATGCTGGTATTACAGTATAGAGAGAAGAAACATTATGGTATTGGTTTTATCCCTTCACCACTGTTAAAAAAAATTAAATGAAGCCTCTTCTGATTGTTATACATCAAATGCTTATTAAAAGAACGTTATCATTAAAAATTAAATTATTCTCCAAAGTTAAGAATGAACTACGGTAAATCAAATAAAACTGATCTTGGATTTATTCGATTCGTTCTCAAATGACCAACACTTAACTTATTTTGTTTCATTTGGGTAAAAGACATTCTCTTGTTCATTGTTGTCTAAGTTTATAATTATTATCAATAAGTATTCACATAGAAGTAACAGTTTTAGACTGTCACCGAAATGTTCTTCCGCCATGTACACTTATCATTTTGGGTTCATATTTGACATTTACCAATGGTTCTTTAAGATAATATGAAGTAAAACATGATCTTCTTTTTTCTATTAAAGTGATAAACAAGCATAGCATAAACTTGTTCTATGGAATAGCACGTATACTTGTACTCGTCAACAAATCATAGCAGTATTGGTTAGAACTCTCTAAACCCTGAGTCAAGTTGAATCTTTGTTAATCTATGTCTCGAGCCTAGTCCGAAGAAGAGTCCAATATCCCTGAGTGCATTTTCACTGGTGGTTAGTTGAGTACGAGTGCGAGTCATATAGATAACTCGAGTCACACACAATAAATGATAACTCGAGTTCAACTCTAGTAGAATCAATGACAGTCCACAGAAATCGAAAAATTCTTTAGGATTTAGTCAATACTGATTTATATGCTGAGGATTTGAAATATAAGGACTGGTTGCTCAGATATCTTTTGAGTAACAAGGAGAAAGGACCTGTAGTTCAATATACAATGTCCCTGTTGTTATTAATTAATAATAACCTCATTCGGATCAGCGATAGGAATGGCCAAAACTGAATCTGAATGCATTCTGACATGCTTTTCTAAGATGAAGAAATATAAAGAGGAATATACACAAACCACTCTGAACCTATATAAATCATATTTGATAATACAATATGGTTCATATAGTCTAGTGGTTCTTTGCCTATTTGCATGTTCTACCCTCGTAGCAAAACTGGTTACTAACTTTACCCGAAATGTGCTTGATGGTGCTCATTTATTGAAAAACGAGATAAGCAAACTACTTCGTTTAATGGGACTTTGTATTTTGACGACTAGATGATCAATATCTGGTAGAGGAATAAATAATGCTCAACAAGTGTCAGATTCAATATCAAGCTGGTTTTGTGCTTTATATTGGATTTTTATTCTTTTTACTTTAGATTTATTCACCAACAAAACAAAGAAGTTTGTCCCAGGTTAAGAAATGCTGATATAGACATTGTTTTAGTGATATTCTCTTTTTATTCCGATGCTTGAAATCAAACTACGATAACACTAATTTTTTGTGATGTTAAATACTCAGGATGACAAATTTTTAAATGAAAATATTCTAAATTTTTTCCAAATTCAAGAATTACATATTGTATATTATTAAATATAACCCATCTCAAATGTATTTGAATGAATTGTTCTGTATATTCTCGATCAGTGAGTTCGAAATTGTGCAATCAAAGTTCCCCCATATGATCATTTCATTTGACCTGTGATCTAGTCTAGTTAATGCCATATTTTCTGGTTATTACTCTTAAAAATCCAGAATTCAAATTAATTTTGCAACAACTTGAATATTCGATTCATTTTGAGAATCTTTGCATCATAGTGTTGTATAGTGATATTTGAATTGAAGTTTTTGAAAACAGTATTGTATGAAAAAATTGGCAACTGTTGATACATATGCTTGTCCAAGTTTAAGCCACATCTATACAAACAAATTATTGTTATTTTGGTCGTGCATATAATCTCTAAAACTTACTAAAAATCATGTTTGCTAACAATAGAAAGCAAAGGATCAGAATGATATATTACGTCGTATAAATGCCAATAAAAAAATTTGAAAGAATTGTCTGAAAGCAGCTCACACCCATCCATAGTCTAAACATTAAAAATATATATTCAATATATCAATGTATATTCAGGAACAACATTCTTAAATATAAAATATTGAATATATTCTAAATCAGTCCAATGTTCAACAACCAAAAATTCTGCATACCATACTCATGAAACTTGATTATTATAAGGTAGTAAAGACAAGATAGACCGGGGGTGGGCCAGGTTTTTGAACCAGGGGCCAAAAATTTTGACCACCTAGACTGGCGGTCTATGTAAGTGTGGCGTAAAAGTTACATTTCATGAACAATATTTATGGTGTTACAAAACCATATTGACTCTTTGTAAATATTTGACTTACAGCGTAGTACAGTCGCATATTATGTTAGTTTTATTTATTAAAAAGTGCTTACTATGTATCTCGCACTCCCTCAAAGTAACTCACGAAACAATAGCAACGAATACAAAAGCAAAAGTGAAAAACAATAAGCCTCGTGCGAAAACTAACTTTAATCGCAATCTCAAGAAATTCCTTGAGCTATTTTATAGCTGAAAAATCAAAATTTCGTTTTAGTTAGCTAGTGGCAGCATACCTGATTTGGCCTGTGGGACATAGTTTCCCTATGTCAGAGATAGACTGTTTCATTTCTATATTTATCAGACGTTATGAAAGTCAGTAATGGTCTGAGCTACGCATACCAACTGTGCAGAATAATGTTTAATACAAATGAAAATATTCTACGTTATTTCTAAAACCAAATTTCGCTATATGAAATTTAACTGATTCCAAATGCACTCATCTTATTTGTTTTATAAACCATCGATGTTATATGAAGCAGGCATTGTTATTGACAAATGACAACACATTTTGCAAATACATTAATAATTGGTAGTGATCTGGCTTAAGGCTATTTACTATAACTGTTTCATTTTTAATTTATCCATTTTTTTATCATTTCAGCTTCTCAACCTATTTGATAGTGAAGATCCACGTGAGAGAGATTTCCTCAAAACTACTCTGCACAGAATTTATGGAAAATTTCTTGGATTGAGAGCTTACATCAGAAAGAATATAAACAATATATTTTATAAGTATGAATTTACATAATTGGTGCTTTCTGAAAAAAATTGAGCAACATAGAAATTTCAGTAGATACCAATCATTTATTATGTATGGGTTAACACAGGTATGTGCAACTGGTGCTAACTTTTTGCTAATTTTTTAATTCGCTGCGTACATGGAAAAACTAATTTGTTTATGTGGTCCAGCTAAATGGCTGACATTGGTCATATAGCCCACCGACAAAAAATGTTGGACATCCCTGGGTCAGCACATCTTTTTCTATTGTTATTACCCTATGCCCAATTCATATCTTCAGATTTTTGTGTTTAAGTATTTCATTAGTTAATACGAATTGATTTATTTTGTGAGAATATAATTTGTGCAGTCTTTGTTGCATTCTTTGCCAAATAACTTTGCCCTGTTTTCATGCAGATTTATTTATGAAATGGAGAGACACAATGGCATTGCAGAGTTACTTGAGATATTAGGAAGGTGAGATTATATTTTTTTTTTATCAAAAAACTAGATTTTATAGCGGCTTTATTCCTACAAGGATATTACCTAAAAATAGATATTGTAGCTTTCACTATTGAAATATTTATATTTAGCAAGTTATTCTAAATTTTTAAGTTAATTAACACTTTTACAAATTTCTCTTTTTAAGTTGAAACACTTCAGAATAAATAATTAGAATATTAATATTAATTATTCGAATAATAATTATTCGAAAATATAATTTCAGAATGTATACAAAATAATATATTATATGTTGCGGAACTTATCTCAACTTTTTATTCACCAAGTTCTATGTTCTTTACCAGGATATTGAATAATGTATAAGATTTGTTTCGGAAAAAATGTATTTTAATATTTCAGCATCATCAATGGATTCGCACTTCCATTGAAAGAAGAACACAAAGTATTTTTAGTGCAAGTTCTTATTCCACTTCATAAAGCGAGATCTCTCAGTGTATATCATCCTCAGGTATGTTGAAAAAAACAACACATTCTTCTATTGCAAAACTAAACCTATTAAAAATTAATAATAATAATGTACTTTTATTCTATTTTAACTTAAAATGTGATTAATATTATCAGGAAAAATGTAAATCGATTTCCACATAGCTTTGTTATTTCTGGCGATAACAAACATAGATAGTTTCAGCCATGTCAAAAAAGGTATCTGAAAAACTTCGTCAACCATTTACCCATTTTATTCAAATAAGATTCTCCCCTTTTAACGTTAATTCTTTTATTACAGAGAAACAGTATTAGGCAAAGGGTTTTAGAGCCAATTTCAACCTATAACTTTTATGGCACCCCTACCTGGTTTCAGTTGTATGTTTTATAGTACAATATTTTGAAGTAGTTATCAATACCCAGCTAATCATTCCATCAATCTGTTTACTAACTGTGGTGTGTTCAATATTTTTGATGGATGATGTTGCAAGAGTTATTGTTATAGGCTATATATTTACAAATTTCTCCAATTGGTGAAAGCTTTGTCCGTTGAATGAAAATTAATTTTCATAATCTATTTTTGTTCTAGCTTGCATACTGTGTCGTACAATTCCTGGAGAAAGATTCTTCTCTCACCAAACCGGTAAGATATTTCTGTATTATCCGTATAAATATTTTTCATGCGCAAGTCTTGTTCATGAAGTGTAAAATCACTGATATCTGGTATTGGATGAAGTTCTTGATCAACATGGTCAATGATGAGATGTTAATCTCTTGTTGTCAATCTTTATCCACCAAATTAGATTTCAATTTTGCTAAAGCCAAATAATACCCATAATAATAATATGCGATTGTATCATTCGATTTTAACCGATTCATTTCAGGTTGTTGATGGACTGCTGAAGTTTTGGCCTAAAGTTCACAGCCCTAAAGAAGTCATGTTTCTCAATGAACTTGAAGAAATACTTGACGTGATTGAGCCTACGGAATTCACAAAAATTATGGTTCCTCTATTCAAACAACTTTCTAGAAGTGTTTCCAGCCCTCACTTCCAGGTATGACATTCATATGGCTAATAATTATTATTATTTTGGTAAAGTCGAAAGTAAAAATAGTTCGTAAACTAATCAAAGGTTTAATAAAATCGGGTATTACATAATATACCACCAATAAAGCCACATCTGTTGGTAGGAAATTCTGCTCTTATCAAACTAGTGGCACTGCCAAGTGTGTGTAGTTGGAATAAAAACTGGCCTGACCTCTGACCCTCAAAAATACTGATCTTATTTGACTTGAGATAAATTAGATTCAGATCTCGACTTTGATATATTTAAATTTTGATCACAAAATATTGATGCTTTGCATGCTTCTCTTGGTTTCTGTTAAAATTTTTGGGTATGTAAAGTATTTTTTTTTCTTTTTAAATTGGACATTGACTCTCCATGTTTAGAAGTATGATTTTACTACGACTCCTGACTTGAATGAATTTAAAATCTTACCTCCTACCCCATTGGTCAATATTAGAAAAACTTACTACAGCACATTTGACTATGCATTGGGCCAAATTTGACAAAAACCATATAAAATGAAAGCCAAAGCTATTTCCTTTTCAGTGAAGATAAAAAATTTCTCACTCATTCGAGGCTAATTAAAAAAAAAATAGTGAGGCAACCCCTTAATTATTGCCCTAGTACATATTGCACTAATATAAACGATTGATTTAACATTAATAAATATTCAGGTTGCAGAACGTGCTTTATATTTCTGGAATAACGAATATATCATGAGTTTAGTCAGTGACAACACAGATGCTGTTCTTCCCATCATATTTCCTGCTCTTTATAAGAATTCCAAGACACACTGGAACAAGTAAGTACTTTTTCAATTAATAATTGTTATTTTGAAAACTCTGAGGCATGGTCGGTTTGATTCAAGTCTGTTAGAAAAATGACATTTTCTAGGAGTGTTTTTGACTTGATACTGGTTTACTCGATTTGGCTTGTCCAACAGTTCTCAAATTTTCATGATATAGGACTCCCTTTCAAAGAATCTCAACACTTGTGGTCCACTGCTCTTCTATGAAAATACCAAGTTTTAATTTTACCACACCAGTTATTTTGTTTGCCATGTCTAATAATAAAAAATGAAACAAATCAAAGCAAACGAATAAACGCATTACAGTCAATGAATTGAACAAATGAACAATTGAATATCTTGTAATTAACGTTTGTGCCGAGGCCTTTGCGCGTGGCCCCCTAGAAGGGGGGGGGGGGGCAATTTGAGGAACCCTGGACCAGGTAAAGATGAATATAACTCAAGTCATCCAAATAGACTACTTTATTATTGAATTCACAATTACCATCCAATTTCATTCATGTAATACTAAATTGAGATTTTGCCTGAAATTTTTCTTGGCAAGAAACCTAAAACGCAACTTCCATGTTATATTGATGCAACATTACAGCTAAATACTATTATTTTCAGGACAATACATGGACTGATATACAATGCATTGAAAATCTTCATGGAAATGAATCAGACGCTATTTGATGAATGCACACAGAAATATAAAATGGAAAAGCAGAAGTATGTAGATGGCTATGTTTTATAGGACTGTTTTCCCATGTTTCGCATCGTCGTATTTTAGGTTCGGAATAATGAAAACATTAAAATATAACACAATAATGGAATTTTTTGTCCCACGCATGATAATATTTTGGTCTACCTAAGAGTCTTAGACAATACAACGGTCATTCATACAGTTTCAACAGATTGTGAGATGTTACCTATTTTTATCGGGCCTTTTTATCACTTTTGTACATGAAGAGCCATTCTTTTGGAAATTATCAATAATCAATAATTTTGCGAAATTATTGAATTGTTTTGAATACTTATTTTTTTTCTCGAACAGGGAGAAACAAAAACAAAAGGAGAGAGAACAATGCTGGGAAAAACTTTGCACATTGGCAGTAAAGAATCCTCAGGTTTGTTTGAATGTGATTCTTCAAACATTTTTTATCTTAAATTTTTCTAATTAAAATTTGATTGTAGCAATTTGCATATCACAACATATTTACCAATGTATTCTGCCAATCAGAATCACTTGAAAGTTTGAGAGTTCAGTACTAAATTTGTGAAAACTATTATTGTGCTGTTTTGGCTCAGCCAATACATTACAGAAAAAAATCCTTGTTATCTCAAGTTTTCTCTGACCAGTAGCAGTGACCATTGTTGTAAACTTGAATTTATCGCATTATTCTGAAATACATAAAACTTTCAAGAACATAGTCCTATAATTTTGCTTTTTTGATCAGCACGTGTATTGATAACAACGTCAATATTTGTATGTCTATTAATTTCTGTTAGATTTTGCCAAGGGAGTACCTACTTGATAACTAGTCTATTCTTTTCGAGTCCATTTTTCGGCGCTCCAGAATTGTGTGTACCAATATGGAGGTAACAAATTTTCTTCGCCTACTTTACATCAAATTGTGTACAGGGACTGAAACCTATGGGCAGGGGGTATATTCACTTGGCTAACACAGACAGTTCCTGAACCCATTCTGCTTGTATAATCCTAAAATATACTACTGAATTGTACTGATTGCAGCTAATACCTAAAATTTTCACTTCTCACGTTTTTCTAACAGGCCATAGCTATTTTCAACCAAGGAACTCTGACTCCATTTACCGATTCTCTGATAGCGGCCTCTGACCATCCACTAACATCATTGATGGGATCTGGCGACGCAGGTGTAGCTCTAGCACCAGCTGGTACCGTTGTGGCAGGCCAACAAAATATGGATGTCACTGATATAGAAAAGGATCTCACTCTCTCTCATGTTTCAAAAGAAGCAGAAGAGGTTGGATTTTGATTTATTCTCAGGGGTTTACATTTTTTTGAGAATTAACTCTCAGGGCATAGGAAATAAAGGCAAGGGGTTGAGCCTTGAGAGCAATATTATGTCATTCACCTCTGAGTTAATTTCAAAAGTGTTATTTACTGTTATCCGTGTATGTCAACTGTCCTTCCCAGTATGCAAGGAGTGAAATATGAAAAAGTAACTACATGTCGGGGCTCCAGAAGTATGCGCACCAAGATATCGCACAGCCTGAATCCTAACCGGTACACACAAACTATGTTCAGGTTTTGCGCCATCTTGGTGCGCATACTTCTGGAGGTCCTTGTAAGCTGCTATGTGGTCCACGGTCACAGTTTGTCATGCCAGACTCAGAGGTCAAATTTAATCTCAGTTGAGAGCCGCTGGTCTAAGGTGTAATTCACAGATGTTCAATTTAAATGGTCAGAAAAACAGTACTTGCACTTTCAAACTGTAGTAAGTCCTTACCTACCAGTGTTTTTCTTGTGCAGAGCCTTGTTCAAAGCCAAAAGTTCATAATTAATTATCATATAATAAAAATATATAAAAACAGCACTGTATATGTTAACTGGGCTCTCTAGAAGTATGTGTAGTTGTGTACCAATATGAAAGTAACTAATTTTGTTTACTCACTTTACATCAAATTGTGTAAAGGGACTGAAGACTATGGGCAGAGGGTATATTCACTTAGCTAACGCTGAACAAAATTATGGCCTAACCCAGCGATTCCCAAACTTTTGTTAGGGCGGCGCCATTTTACGAGGGAAAAAAACTCACCGGCGCACTTGCACGAAAAAAAAATGCTGCTTTCAAACAAAACTCAATTTTGTGATCGTTAATGTGTACTTTATACCTTCTAAAGTTTGTAAACATGTGGGTCTATGCAATATCATTTGAAATGCTAAAAAAATCACTTATTTTCGCTAAACTAGATTCAGCAGATAAATGGAATGCAGATCACGAAATTCCAGCAAATAGTGGTTACCTATATTGTTACGTGACAATAGAGGCAGACAATAGGTAACAAGAAGTAAACGACTTAGAAATGTGAAATGAATTTATTGGTTCATATTCACAGCTTTTGGAAGAAGAAACAATTAAACATTTAAAATAAATGCAATCTGTAGAATGTTCAATCATATTTCAGTTATGTTCATCACAATTCTGTTAATTTTCGCGGCGCACCTAGCAACCTGTAACGGCGCACCTAGCAACTCATCACAGCGCACTAGTGCATCCCGACGCACCTTTTGGGAACCGCTTGCCTAACCCCAACCTGGTACACATACTACGGGAGTACTTAATCTGGCATATCGAAAAAAGAAAGAACTTTTGTCTTCTTCCATTTCAGGGTAAGAAAGCACTCAAAGGACCCCGTAACTTGATTCGTAGAAAATCGGAGCTACCACAAGACATGTACACGATGAACGCGTTGGAGTCTCACAAGAGAGCGGAGGATCACCTAACAACAAATATCGAAAACAGTTAAAATGCACACGATTGTTTTCTCGCCGTCCGACTACGTAAGGTGATTTATAAGTGAATATTTTCAATCAAGTAAAATCTCTATTGATATAAGCTTTTTCAATAGATGAACTTGGTTAGTTCAGTCAGATTTACCATGTCACACGCTTCAGCTATCGCTTTGCGTTGTATTGTTCTGTGATGTTACTTTAATATCCATCAGCAACCTGCAATGTCATGTTATTGTGATGTCTTGCGTATCACCAACCATTCACCATAGTCATGTGACGTTTTCAAATTTCACCAAGATATAGGAAATCTCACTTTTCTCCTCCCATGTCATATAATAGCTTATGGATATGGTGTGCTTTTTTTCTACTCTTGTTTTCAAGGCTTATATCAGATGCCTTGCTTTATTACTATGGTTGCCTATCTGTTTTTATCATCTTTTTTTCCAGATGGTATTCTTCCCACACATAATTCAGTCAATAAGATATACAAGATTAAAAAGTAATGTAATGATAGGCAAGCATTTTTTAGTGAAAAAATCCTCAACATGTAATATCGTAAGACTAGGACAATGAGGATCTTGTTCCAAGCGATGTTTTTTCATAAGTACCTTCGTTTATTGCTAGGATAATAATTTATATACGGGTACTTGGAGTAACTAACTCAGCTATTTACATACCATGCCTTGATTGGCAATGAGAAGCTGATATTTGCCATGTGATAGAGCTGTCTTATAGGCTTTCCTCACCCGGTAATTCATGGAATAATTCGAGTATAGAATTCTCTAATGATTGATATAGCTGTGTTTCCACTAACGGCGAGTGGCATGCTATAATTTCAATACCTATTATTCTCTCTGCATATAACCTCAACCTAATTTTGGAATGTCTGTCTAAATTGTATGAAAACCCCAATTCTGTTTTTTTCTTCTTTTTTCTATTTGATTACAGTGTAGAATGTTATTTAGGTAATGATGATTTCGTTTTTCACGTTTAAGCTGTTGTAAATATTACTTGTTATATTTCCTGTCATATCAATTTGTAAATGTACATTCAAATGTAAAACAGTGATCCCTTTGACTATCCGTATGCTGTTGTCGATGAAAGGGTGTCATTGTATATTTGCGTGTGGAAATTTGTTGATTGTTAATTCCGTAAATTGGGATTTAGCGTTGAAACCGATTATGATATATCTATTTTTCTGACATCAATGCAGAACAAACGGAAGATACTAACTTAATTCAACTTGTTCATTCAACTTGTTCCATGTAAAATACATTGATCTGTGAAATAACTAGTATCCGCTGTTAAAATGGCATATCATGCCTGATAACAGAATGTGTACTTACTGACAATGTTTATCAATGTCGTTTGACATACTTATAAATATTTTTATTCAATATTGTCGGTCTTCACAAAATGGTTATTCTAATAAACGTTTATTTTGGCGCAATCTGTCCATTTGATACCATAAAGCAATTATGATTCTGTGCATGGTAGGACTTGACATTGGCGACGAAATTCAATAAAAAATTAAGATTTTGATATTATCGTTTGGAAGTGCAAGTGCAGTCACGGCCCCCTTCATTTACTTTTGTACTTGCATCTTTGGCCTTGTGCAACTTTTCCCTCGACTGTTTTGTATTTGAAAAGTTATTAATATTGTTTATCCCTGTTTTGGGTTTTCAGTATCGGATAATATGTTCCATAACCACTTCTAATAACTGGATTCAGTTACTAAGCCGTTTTCAATTAGTTTTTGGTACGCATCAAAATTTTGTAACATAGCCTTTATTACTGATTCAATATACTTTTCTGGATATTGTTTCTCATCTAAATATGAATGATGATTATTATTTTGTTTCTTGGAACTATGGTGTTGTACTCAATATAAATATGAGTCTTAGTATATCACAATTGATTGAATATTATGACAATTATTTATAATAAAATTATTGTCGTCTTCACGACACATCTTTTATGTCTCCAAATGCAAGGGGAAGGGTGATATTTACAAAGACTGCTGCAGTAACCTATTTTAACATGGCAAGTTACCGGTAGTCGCTAGTCTTACGGTAAACCCAAGTAAGAGAGGATGATCGGCAATGGCATTCACTCTCACTATTAAGTTTTGAGTAGACAGAAACTTAACTGCGTTGACATCGCAAATTTTTACATTTCTCTCGCTTTCAAATTCTTGCTTCAGCTCATCCAGGATGTAATATGTTGGGTAGGATATGCGGAACCGAAAGATTTTGTTGCATTCAAAAATAATAGCGATGTCGTTCAATACACCACTTGCCTTGTTTGAAAGGCGTAAATAATCATCATATAAAATATAGTTGTTGTTTTTATTCAAACCTTTAATCGTAACCTTTTATGATGGATATAGATATATATTACTTGCTTTATTCTTCAACGCGTACAGTTAATTCCTATTTTATTATCACATAATACAAAAAGCTCCCACGCCAAGAAATTCAACGCAAAATGATATTAAGGTATATTGACATACTTCAAAATAGCAAAACATAGGAAATTCAATAGGACAATATTACACATTAAAAAAAATTCGCTGATGATATGGCATACAGTAAGTGCCAAGTACCAGGGTGGGGCTAATTTGGAAGCCACGTAACTGGCAATTCGTAATTATTACTAATACGTGGTGAAAACACTATATTAAAATATCCTCCCTGACTTAAATATAAAGGATGTCCATAAAGTCCCTTTACAATTCAAATTAAGTATTTTAACTCCATTTAATACATCTGTGATGGCCAAAGCAATATATATATGGTATCGATAAATTCCCTTTGCGATTTAAAAAAATTTAATATATATATATCGTATGATGGACACCCTATATATTAGGCCTCATAAAAATCGAACATCTTTCATTGGTGTTATCTATTAAATCTTTCTGAATAAAATGAATATTCTAAGATATTAATAATATCGAAGACAGGATTGATTCGCACAACCACGATTATAATTGAAGTGTTTGTTATGCACAGTGGTGGGATCCAGGGGTTTCGCAAGAACCTGTCCTTGTTTTTGATGCACCACAGTTGACGACCAGCGTTATATTTAACGTTTTAAAGGTTATATATTCAATTTATGCTAAGCGTTCCATGTTATTGTAGCTTACGCAGTGACATACATACATTTCCGAAATGTGGGAACCCGTTCTTAGTGAGTTCGATACGAAAGAGAACCTGTTTCTAAGATCGAGCCCGACCATTTGTTCAGCACATGATAAATATGCCTTCTCCTGGACGTAGGACAAATTACAATCAAGTCGAAAATTCAACTCAAATCCAGGATAATAGCCATATGAAAAAAATTCAAATTTGGGCTATTGAAAAGTCACACTGCAGTCGATCCAGTTATCGGGTTGTAAATTTCACTACAGTTTTCGCTGACACTTGCTGGTGTGAGTCTATCTTGTCCTCCTTTTGGATTCATTGTTGACAGCAGCGACTTGAGCTTCTGAGTCGTACTCTGATTATCCGGATCTCGCGAAGTATTTTGCGTTTTTCCGGAGGATAGCAACTTCTTAGCTAGGTTAATTACGCTTCCCGCCTTTTTGAATCGTTGATTTCGATCAGTTGATTGTTTGTTGAGTGCATTGGTGGATAGTGATCTAGGCAAACGCGTATCAAAGTGTGGATTCGTTTGTATCGTTGGTGGCATATTAACTCCATAAACGAGGTTCAAGTTCCCGTTCATGTCCGAATAGGTTGGCAGGTAGTAGTTCTCTCCGTGGTACGGTTCGCCGGGGTGAGGTAGCGTGTAATAGGAATGGCGGTTTTGATGGAGATCTAAAATGGAAAAGTTCATAGCTGTTATTCTAAAAACAAATGGGAGTTTTACATCACAAATTTATTCAATACAGAATTGAAACGTATGGAAGCGATTTATAAGGATGTTTGAAAAATTCTAACTTTAATAACGATGTAGGTAGGGGATATTTATGGGACATGATGACCTGGACGACATATTTCTGTTCCTGTTTCCGAACTGTTTTAAATTTTGTGCATGTCATCAAGCATCATTGAATTGATATATAATTACCACCCACAAGGCTCATTAATTAATGACATTGAATAATATAGCGAAAACTCTTCTGTCACTTTGTTATGTAATCGTTGGACTAGCTAGCAGTCCCCGCTTGTCCATGTTTTTTTAATTCATTCCGTTGAAAATGTAATGAATAAATACCCAGGAGTATGCCCCATACTAAACGGCACGTAGCTAAACCGACCTGACGTAACCTTCGTGATTTTCTCACTTAATGAGGTTGCGGGTATGAAGTTACCATGTTTGTGTGCACGTGAAACCCGTCTGGATAATGTTGAGGATACAAATATGTCGGTCAAGCTGCACAATAAATGATACTACTGATAAATGTATTATAATGAAGAAATAATTTCAAAAATTACCTAATAAATCCCCATCAACTTTTAGAATTTTCCTCGTATTCTGTATGCGATTTGGATCACCTCTTGTTTCGTTTCGACGTCGTGGATCACACCACGATGCGATCTCGTTGCTGGAATCGCCATAACTTTTAGCCTGTGAAATGCCAGACCGTGATCGCGGACTGCAAGATGCTACTTCTGGCAAAGAAAGGGGTAAATAACTCCGCCTGTTGTACAATTCTTCTTGTTTTTCAATTGCGTCGCAGCGAAATGAACTGTTGTTTGGCTCACCACTGGATGTCGTCTCACAGTTTAGATAATTGGCGGGAATAGATTGTGATTCGGTTGATGTGGAATATCCCGATCGTTGTAAGGATCGGAGAACACGCGACCTCAGTGAAATGTCACTCACTGTTCAAATAAATAAATACAAATATTAGTATTGCATTGGCGTACCAAAATAGGCTTGGCCGAATCAAGCCATGACATGCCGGGGAACAAACAGGTTCAAAATCGCATTACTTATGACATTATCCCAGTTTTTAATTTGGGGATTTCGTGGAGGAAAACTGCTGGTGGACTCTTAATAATTCCTGGGTTGGGCGTGGAATTACTGATGAGATTAGGGGCTTCTATGCATCTGGAAACAAACTCGAAGCAGACTGAACTGTTTCCATTACCAAATTGAAATGATAGCTAACTGAGAAGGCAACAGCTCACCACGTGTATAGATCGCCCATATGTATGGATATGTAAATCTTGAGGGGGAAATTGAATGAACGCTTTGTCTAATAAGGCTAAGCAGAATATGAGATATAACAGAATGAAGGTTCACAATTATGCAATTTAACCATTATCACAACGAAGTTATAATAATAGAATAATTTGCCTCACCTTTTCGCCTTTTCACTGGTTCTTCTTCTAGTATGGTGTTCGACGAAAGTGATGCTTTACTTGAAAAATCATTTCTCTCATCTAAGTCGCTGTGTGTATCAAATGTATTCATCCTCTGTACAATCGGACGTCGAGTTCTAGGCTTTCGCGGCTTAGGGTTTTCCCCGCCTTGGTCAAAAATACTTATGGATTGTTGTGGTAACGAAGAGCCTACATTGTCCTGAAACAAAACGGGAAAATTTAAAAAAGTGTTATTTCAGTTAAATTCAGATAGGCGTGTTGAGAATTTTTAGTGTGTAGAAGGAATTTCCTATTTATCCCAGGGTAAAGGAATGCGATTGCGAACCACGGTCTCTCGTCCGCTTACCAATCCATGTTAGTTATGCGAATAGTTGGACATCTATTCTTTCAAATGCACGGACTTGACGATGGAAGCCGTAACCGACCAGTGGTTATGTGAAGGGTCCAGCAATCCTCTCATACGTAATTATAACTCACATTACCCGCGCTGAATAATCGGAGCGTATTTATAACCATTAGCTTAGCCTTAGAATGATACACCAATCTCCGAATGAAGTGAAAAAGTTACAATTTACCTCATTAATTCCCGCAAAAGTCGGAGGTGCCGGAAGTACAAAATCCATTGTAGGTTGTTGGATGCTCTCGGTAGAAGTAAATGGCAGACTCGTTAGGTCAAGATCTTCAGAGTTACGTCGACGACGAGGAGGGGGTCTGCAATGAGTTCTTTCAAGAGAAAAATGTCTCGAAATGCTACTCACTGAATCATGTTCACTTTTACTGCTTTGCATAGGCATACGATCATTTTCATACATGGAGAATTTAGGATTCGACTGCAACTTATAATCTGATCTGGACCTCCCGGTAAACATGGATGGAATTTCAACATCAGCTCGAATAGTTTGTTTCGTTGAACTGGAGCCGCTAGTTGTTTCCATCATTTCATTGTCGTAATTAGGAGTTGGAATTTGTTCCTCGATTCTATCGAGTCCATAAAACCCACTTCTGGCGTTTGAGATTCCATAATTTGGTAACGTCGTTGTTGAGTCCAGGATGTTTTTATTCAAGTTACGAAGCTTGATGGAAGCGTCGGAATCTTCATGTTCTCTGTTTATAGATTGGGAAAATTAGGTAATTTTTTATCCTATTTCGGCCAAAGTTTGCCGGAGCGCAAGATTTGGTATATTTATCTATAATATAATTATGTGAACTATATTTCGCCAACGGAGAGATCGAGTGCGGAGATATGTTTATCAACAATGTCGAGGCTCGGTCGCCGTTATTGAACATTTCTTTAATGAGAGTATTTCGTTGTTTGACTCAAATTGAAACGATGGTGATTACTTCTGTTGGTTCCGAACAAAATTATCGACATTCATAACTCAATATATATAATTATATTCAATATCGTTACTAATTTTAACTTAACCAAATTAGTGCAATGACTTAGTCATATTGGTGATTACATATAATCAATGGAGAAATAAATATCATGTATAGATTGTAATTAGTAAACTCGTATACTTCATAATTATTCGATTAAAAACATGTCTCTTGGGAGTCTATCGTCAGTGAATGGGAAACTTAGGACGAGTTTATACTGGACACATATTTATCAAGTACAACACAAAAGATAAATGAAGATTTTTTACGCCTTCTACCCCGAAGTTATATTATATGTAAGCAGTTTCTGTTTTTTGGAAGAGTCGGAGTCTATCCGGTTCACACCATCACTTTGAATAGGTTTTGAATCAACAGCCACTCTCAGATAGGGAGCTACTAAGGTTAAAGGCGACTAAATCGTTCCAGATCTCTTGGCGGTGAGTTGATGGTCTCGAATTTTAAGTTCATAATATCTATCTTTTGAGGTGGTTGAGCCGACGCCCCATAGGCTATGTCATCGCTACAAACTTTTTACATTTATATTTCACCAGCTGAAGAATAATTCATTTCAAAGTAAATAGTTATAATTTCTATTCCGCACCTCTTAATTTGTGATGTATTACTCTCTGTTTCAGCGTCGTCGTCTCCAAACGGAGAATCGAGGTCAACAGAACGAAAAATCGATGAATTCTGATGGCAGATCCTGATCGAAAAATGATTGAAATTTTTAATAACCAAGACTGATAGAAATCGATATTGACGGTTTAACTCAATAATGCTGTTAACTCAGTCAAAGCATCGCAATCAGGTGAATAACGGAATTTTTTTTTAAAAAAATTTGAAATCAACCAAGTGGGTTATAGACTTCGAATGCACTCCGATATATATTTTCATTTCATTTTACCAGACAAACGTGAACAACATGCGGACAACATCAATGATGACGACAGCACATTTTTATTAACTAATTGTTGTTTTAATATAAAAGAAAGTTGCTACTGGATGATCAGTTTGAAGTCTATTCTCGATTGCACTTAACAATCTCTATGTACAGTGTATGTTTTTGGTATGGTGAAAATATAATACTGATTATACTTATTGTACATCAGCGGCCCCGCTGCAATTAGTGATTAGTTAAGTGTGTTAATTGGTTAAACTGTTATTTGAGCTCTGCGCGAAAATTCATCTACCTAAATACGGCCATTGTTTTTGCCTAACTTGGCTTTTTCGGAATAATTCAAGAAAAGATTGTTAAGTTCAAAAAGTTCAGCGCAATGATACAAAATTTTAAATCAGTTGTGACCATATTCAACATGTCACCACCGCACAAGAATAAAATGGAGGAACATTGCAAGACAATAGCGATATTGAAAACAAAGGCAAAAATTGAATTGCTGTAATATTTAAATTTATAAATAGACCCCATGCGGTCAAATTAGGTGTTCACGTCTGAAAATCAGTGTCATCAATGTTGACCCCACCGTGTACATTTCTGGTCGGTTTCTTGTTATGGTTTGTACTCGTACGTACTTATTTTTCAGCTAATGTAAAACTGAGTCCTATAATTTTTTGTATCACGATATTCTCACATGATCAATACTAAAGTAATTTGCAATCCAAGCGTTACGTAATTCATTAAAATCAGAATTAACTTTATTTGCAAATGATTCCTTTTTGACATCCAACATACAGTATATTCAAATGGGTGCCGTCCAAGTCTGGCACAAGTACATGGAATCGTCACTAGGTACTGTAGATCGGGGAAACTAGGCTTAGCGATAAACGAATTTTCTTGTCACAGAAATCCTCTCGTTTTCATCGGGATTTAATCGACTGAGATTGCAGCAATTTCAAATCAAGCAGTCGAGAGACATGTTTTCTTCTATTATTCATGAGCGTGAAACAAATCGGTCTATCAAGCAAGAAGTTGGCGTAAATCGTACATAGTGTCTCGGTTAACCAATCTCCAACGTTGAAAGACGCGTTTTATAGGGAATAGGGGAAATTTATCCGACCATCATAGCCGCAAATACAACCATCACTTTGTCAGTAATATCTCGTCCAAATTTTAACATTTTGATCGATGAACTAACTAAGGTCGTCATGCTGGGTAATAGAAAAAAAAATTATTTAAAATTCCGATAACTTTCGTTTAATTATAAAAAAAAAATTCACACAATTGGTTCTGTATATATGGGCAACAACATCGGAGGTGATTATTTGAATGCAAAAGTTGCAAAATTCAAATGAACAAAAATATGAAACCCAAACTATATGAATCTTTATCACATATAATCCAAGTTGACTTTCTTGTGTTTACAAAGCAGCATAGCACAAGGCAGTCTATTCATTACGCCATCGAGAACATGTATTCAATTAGATCTTCAATTAGGCTTCCCACGACGATCGAAATCATTGATTAGGATGTGGTTTTTAATCCCGTGCAAAAATTTGGACCATACCAAATTTATCCACATAACACTTGGTATGCCAGAATTGATTGCTTCCGGGATGACGAAATGTTTACGAGGAAAATATATTTTCAACCTCTATTTATTTCGTACATATTCCTTTATTTTGTGTTTTGTTTAACTTTTTGTTTGGAAAATTCATAAACTACAATTTCAATGATAAAAAAGTTGCTGGATTAATGTTATACCAATTTTGCACATGCATTACACAACATTTTTTTTTATTATATACGGATGACAGCGTAGGCAAATCTGTCATGAAGTTGAAGGCATCATATTCCATTATATATATCTAGCTATTGCGACTACAGAAAAAAGAAATCCCATTGCAGACCGAACAAGACTCTAAATAGAAATTGATAATTTTTTCTATTTTAAAATGACCTACCTTGAAGGCCGTGATGCTCTAATTTGAAATTGATTCGGGATTGATGTTGTTGTAGTTATTTCAGGCTCGCATTTGCATGAGTTCAATTCCATTTTAGTGTCGTCTGGGTTGTTTTCGTCGTCATGAATGTCCTGACAAAACACAGACGGGGAATATTATAAAACAACGCAAGGTTGCTCTTGATACCTAACCATTTTTCAAATGTATTAGACTGGTTCTCAACAGACCGATTCTAGGCGTTGGGTTTCAAAATTTAAATTGGTGATTTGTACTGGTATCACTATCGTTAACCTCATTAAAACAACATGGCAAAACATGTCACAGATGAATTGAATGGAAAGCTTGATATCAAGTAACCTGGTCATAAATTTGACCTAAAATATACCACTCCAAAATTGTCTGTTAAATAAAGTTTCTGAGTAATCTACTACATCTGTGCTTCTCAACCTTTTTTGGCTCGCGAGTCGCGACCCCCTTTGGTGGTTTACACATACCTCTCGACTCCATGCTTCACTATCAAGCAATTTGATACTTATCAATAAAATAAGCGGCAAAGTGAATATTGTGTAATTTACATTTTCATCAAGCTGCAGTTTTACTCAATATGACGGCTGACATTGAAACCGCGTAGCCACCAACTGCGTAATTCGTGGTTGAGTTTTTGACAAAGCTAATCTCATATCATCCTCGAGTATCATTTGATTTCGTGCCTTTGTTTTTATATGATTAAGAGCTGAAATGTCGCTTTTGCAAAATGAAAACCACAAGAACTATCACAAAGAACATGGATTAGATATTCTGGAAATCAGAAAGTAATTGGCTCAAAGCAAGGTCACGCAATCACTGAGAAGTAAATGAGGTTCTTCTCTGAAATACTGACATAATCGCAGATGACCACTAAAAGGTCAAGAATTATTGAAACTGTGTAGAATGTAGATTCATGGTGGTGATTACCATCGATAAACATTACTTTATGCTGTAATACTTCATATAATACTCACAGTTTTAACATTGGATTGCACGACCATCACTCCAGATATTTCAGATAATATGAAAGAAAAACCAGCGAGGTAGAAGGACCAACCATACGACGGCAAATCTCCTGGTTTACTCAGTTTATTGTTGTTTGAAATATAAATGATCAAGCCAAGAACATTTAGTAAACCTATAAAAATAATTGATAGATGAATAATTGGACAAAATAGTAAAAATATTATTGAAAATGTAATTTCCCTCACCGCTTTGAGATTGTTTATATGCATTCTTTATCATGTGTTTTGTAACAAAAATACCCGTATTCGAAAAATCAAAAATGTTTAAATGTTATCATAACTGCACTTTATATACGAACGTTAAATTTAATAATAGTTTTGGTGTTATTTGACTTGTCATTCCGATTTTTTTTTTCACCAATTGCGGTACCAGCATATCTATATAATCTTGCTCAGTTTACTTTTTTCACAAATGACCCTTTTTCAGAGTGGTAAAACACATCAAATAAGTTTTGAAATCACCAATCACATCACTTTGAATAAATAAATGTCCGCATGGAAGAGTTGGCTGTATTACAAATGTTTAAAAATTGTGATTTAACCTAATGTTTGGAGTACCGATTAATAAAAACTAAACTTTTAATTTGTGCATCCAAATGCTACTCCTACCCACCAGATAGTACAAACAAAACTCCTGCTGTTAACGACGTCGCATTTTTAGGCTCGATAACGAATCGTCCAGCAAAGAACAAAATTCCACCAAATAGAACGAGCAGCATACTGATGATAGGAAATGCATTCGAATCCCGGAGAGTACCTGTGTAAAATTATGGATGCTAAAAAAATATTTTTTTTGTAATACTTTTTTTTTTTATTCCAAAATTAATAAAAAAACATCCAATTGAAATGTATTCAAAATAGTGAGAATGGGCCATGGTACAGGATTTTCAAAATTTATTTCGCTTGCAAGAAAATCAATGAAAATTTTCGATCGGGAAATGCTAAGGTGTATTATCGTACAATTACAATTGTATCATTTCCATATCTGATTTGGGCCTGACATAATATCCATCAATGTCTAAAGATCTTGTATGGTTGAAGATTTATTGAGACTCGTTATAGTTTGTTAACTAGGATCATGCATGAAATGTCCTAACAGATACTTGATTTAACAAGCTTATAGTGATATATATATTCAGAGTTTTCCGAGCAAATTTGCCATCATAATTTAGTCAGGACTCACAGGGGAGCATAATACGTAGTTCACTTAATTATATTTGAGTTGAAATAACGATTGGTGATTTATTACGGCAATTTACCCGTTACAATTGAAATTGGGATTACCGTTTCTCAAGGGTGATTTTCCAAGTTACATTCTCGTCAAATTATTATGATCAATTGCAATTTCAATTTGAGACGTCAGTTTGATTATCACCCACACGATTGAAACTGATTTATTTTTCAATAATATGAACACGAAATGTTACTAAGTTCGCGAATTCACCACCCGACGACAGATGGTTTTCAGCGTTTACAAAATATAGGAGAAACGTCACGATTGCTCTTGATAAATGGCGCCATGGAACATGCGTCACGCCTCCAATGATTAAATATGGAAAAAGTAACGACAAATGAATGATCTATATACAATGCAAGCAGCAAATTTGTCCTGAATTTTTATAATTTGTCAATTTTTATTGTATATTGTGCCTAAAATATTCAGTCAATTACTCCGACAGACAGAGAACCACTTGGCATTAAAAAATCCGAATATTTCCGCCTCGGAAGATTTATCCTGATTATGAGGAGCTAACACAAAATCTAATTTAATTTGGAAATACGAAATTTCATAATCACATTAATTTTCACAATTTATTGAAATATGACGCTTCATACACCATTCAAATCGAAGTCTCTAGGTATTGACTAAAGTATGTTTTTTGGCAACATAAACTACCCGTGGTAAAGAAATTTCGCACTGTGTAAAAAGCTACTGTAGTGTAGATACGGTACAAGAAAATTATTTCGTCGAAATTCCACTCTTACCAATAATGTACGCTGATGTACTTGATCCTTTATTATCCATAACTTCACTCAGTGCCTTGCATTGACCGCGACACTCAACTGCAAGGCAAAAAAGATATTCAATGTAAACTGTCGGAAATCATTTATTTATTTACCATAGTGTGTCATTTATCTGTAAGATTCGTACTTATGCGTTATTGGATAAATACTAATCAACTCCTAAAATATTTGGTGATTTTTCGAATGCCTAATGTGTTTCACGGGAAAACAGTCGACAGTTCTACAAGTCAATTTCTGCAACGTTAATCGTACAATTCCTATTGACTTTTGCATTTGGCACATATTCAATCTGCTTGCGCTAATTATTGTTAATTTGGTGTAACATGTGTTCAACGAGTTTAGGAAATTATAAATTTTTTAAACGTACTCATTAGAAAGCAAAACTATTACATCTAACTGGGAACAAAAAAAAACAGTACCTATCCGCTCAAACGAAATAAATAAGGAAATATTTGTAGTCGGTATTTAGAAAATGTAATACAAAAATTATTACGTAAAAATGATAACAGACCTGCTGAGCAACAAATTCTCCACAATCCAGAATTAGAACGGAATTGCCTATTCACAATTTCGGAGACATTTTTGATTGACTTTGTATCAGACGTGATGGCCGCAGGTGCAGGGACACGCACAGGCCATGCCGCCATGTCATAAAGCCAGAAATCGGTGAATGTTGCAATTGTGGCAAAAAGAAATGATAGAACAACTAAAACGCATATTGTTTTTGTACGTAGGTCAATTTGAAGCAAACGATTGAGCACATCAAATATGATAGAACCTTTCGCCATCCTTATATCATTCATTTCATATTCCGCATAAGCCAGATAGTTTTGCATCCGGGTATGATATTCTCTATACTTTGCCCTAAATAATTATAAAATGCAATTCTAAAATCGAATAACACAATGAATGTAAAATATAATAATGACGTTCAACTTTTGAAATGAAGCATTCATTACTTCAGCAGCGACACATAAAGTTAGATTCCCGGAAATAACGACGGGCAACAAACTGTTTTATGATACTTGTAATTACATCATAATTATTTAAATTGTAATTACATCATAATCGACAAATGCTATCGCCACTACGCGTAAATGCACGTCATATAGTTTGAATTGGCGCAAATCGAGCTGCTACGAAAGTAGAAACACGCTAAAATACTGGATTGTGATCGTGACCGTCTGTATATTACTCTTTGGTAAAAACTCTATTTATTATAAATTAAAATTTTTCTTGGTTCAGAGAAAAAAACAGGGAAACAATATTGCTAGCTGCTATAAAATATGGCGTATAACGTTTCCTGCATAATTGAAGCTTCCTGTGACTTTGAATGATGAAGTCACGAAAACTGCTCTGCATAAGATAACCACAACTAGATCGGATCTCTACACTAACTTAATAAATGCTCAGTGTTTGTCTGTTTTCTACTCTAAAAGCAAATTAGTCGACACCGATATAGATCGCAGCAACTTTTATGTTTTTCTCAACCTTCGTGAACGTAGAAATGATATAATAACTAGTAATCCCGGCGGAATAAATCATTGTTGGAGAATGTTCTCATGCATAAAATCGTTGTCGATTGGAATACCTAACATCAAAACTAGACTTCAACTCGATAACTTTATGATAGGAAAATCGATGAAACGTCTGTTCCGTTCTCCATAACTCGGACATCGTTAGTGAGACTTTCGGATTTAATTCTATCCAAGTTACTACTATGAAAAGTACACCGTGCTCGCGTAGCCATACACCGTGTTTCTCCGAAAATTAGACAGATTCTTATTTCGATTTTCTTTCGAAAAATAACACTAGGGGATGTCTTTTATTTTCATTTATTGAGAACAAAATTACAAAGTAGAAAACTACAAGATTTTCAAATATATACAAAATATGGAAAACGATATCCATTTATTTATTAATGACATTACCTCAGGTCATTATACCTTTTCTTCTCTCACACGTTTTAGATTAATCATTTAAAACGTATAGGAGAGATTTCTTGCTATCGACTAAGTCAAAAAACTTCGCGCTATCGACTAGGTCTTTTAGGGAGGGCTTTTATTAATGTCCTTTTTAAAATTCAGGTTAGATCTTATTTTCGGGGAAACGCGCTGTAAAAAATCATTGAAGTGAACCTGTAACAAAGAATGAAAATCGCAATATTAGAAGGATATTGCGTCATATAGCACAAATTGAGAAAAACCTAGAAATAATGGAATCAAAATTTGCGATATTTATATACCGTGTTTCCCCGAAAATAAGACTGGGTCTTATTTTTTTCCCCCCAACAAATAACACTAGGGCTTATTTCGGGGGATGTCTTATTTTTTCATTTATCAAATACAAAATTAAAAAGTAGAGAATTACGAGATTTTCGAATATACAAAATCAGAAAATTTACTTATAAATAACACGTTTTTATTCAAAATATCTGCAAAACATAGATTATTGATCATTTAAAATGTATAGAAAAGAGATTTCTTGCTATCGGACGGGTAAAAAAAAAATTACGCGCTATTGACTAGGTCTTATTTTACGGGGAGGGCATATATTAAAATCATTTTTAAAATTCTGACTAGGGCTTATTTTCAGGGTAGGTCTTATTTTCGGGGAAACACGGTAGCTAGCTGATGTTTATCTGATATTGTAAACGTAATTGAGGCGGTGGCTCGCCCATATAACTAAGCCGTCTCGTTCTCTCGTACGGTTGAATATTGCAAATTTATTATAACGTATTATATTTTATGTTGAATTGTCGATATTGTTAAAATGATACAAATGGATGTAGTTTCATATTTCAATATCTGGCAACATATATTACTAACATATCAGTTCTTTATGACGCCACAAGCACATATGAAATACTAAATTTGCAAAATCTTGTACTGAACCGGATTCCGATAAGTATCAATCCAGCTGGGGCCGCTTCAAGCGGGTTGACTCTGTGCTGGGGTTGTGTATTTCATTCTGTCGAGAATGGAATGGCCAGATTTCGTCCGAAATATGCGAAAAGGCATCTCACACAAGGAACCAGTCGCTGGATACGTCAGAATGAATTCTATCTCGGAATCGCCGCCTTCCTCGGAGTTATTTTATTTGCGGGGCTTCTCAACGACTTCATCAACTACACGATTATGGAAACGCCGCTCAATACAACCCAATCTTTCACTTATATCACTTTGGTAAGTTCATAGGCGTTGCACCGGTACTAGCTAATTTTGAAACAGACACTGTCGCTTGCAGCTGGCCATCCATCCATTGTCTACCAAAATGTTACTTGCGCTTGAATCGATTAACGTCTCGGATGATATAAGCTAGCATCGCAATACGATAACGTTTTAAAAATCTTCGTCGGTGTAACTTTAACAGGTGTTGCGTCAGATATATAGTTTAACCTGCCCAGTCATTCCAAAAATAGAGTTAAAAGTTACTGTTTTCCCCTCCATTTATATTCAACATTACTGATGATTTTTTGAATTAGCCATGGGCGAGGGAAAAACCAGTAAAAGCGCTCATGCATGTCGGTCATAGGCAGGGATTCCATCGATCTGGAACCCAAAATAAGGATGACTGGAAAAATCTCTGCATTGTGAGCAGAATTAGCTGGCTTTCCTATGGGCTACAGGTTAATGTCACAATTACAGGCGTCAGAGTGTGTGGAGCACTCACCCTTCAAGCTTCGTTTAACTTTGAATTCTTTCCCGTACTTATCACGAAAAAAGTTCTTTCATTTGCTCATTTTAAATTTAGGCTAAAATAACCACCACCACGACAAAACCTAAGGATCGCCACACTAACAATGCTTCATGCCTTGCTTCTTTGTGTTCCAAATAAGATTGTGTTGCTTTTATGATCCCACAACCCACAATAAAACTTTGGCGGTAAAACAAACAACACAAAGCTTCCTTTATGAAGTCCAAATAAGAAAAAATAAGGACACGCAAGTCAAAAATAAGGACGCAAGCTAAAAAAAGTCAAAAATAAGGACAAATCTTAGAAATAAGGACGGTATGGAATCCCTGGTTATAGGATTAACCATTTAGAGATAATTTTAGGTGGAAAAATCTGTCACCGCAACCTGCGAGGAGTTCGGCAATCTATTCGCACGTAATCATCCCCCGCCCCCTGTAATCAGTTGCAACATGACCCAACGTCTACCATGATGCGCCTAACTTCTGAAACAGTCATTCAATGATGAATCTTTATTTGCCTACATTCGAATCATTCTCAATACGTATTTTAATTTTTTTAAATTGGGTAATATTCTAAGGATTGTCTGTCGTGTGCAATGTCAGATTTTGGCGTCTTGTGACCAATAAATGTGATATAATCTCGGCAGTTTATTTTAAACTTCTCGTCGTCTTTATATGATTTTGGAGCGAGAATGAATTCCTCCATAACCATAAGTGTATTCGGCGTTTTATATGAACCGTCACTATTTACGTTGATATTTACCTGGTATTATGCTTGGCATTTTGTGATTACTGTATCTTTATTTTATGCAAATTCGCTAAAGAAAGGGCTTGAGCTTGAATCAAAATTTTGAAGTAGTTATCACAGAATTAGAAGCGTTCGTGCTTCACATATCAGTTTTTGTGATTTATTTTATCGCCTGTTACGTTGATTATGAATGGAGCCAAATTTACTCCTGGGAAAAATTTTCGCTCAAAAAATTCCGTAGACAACAGTTGACGGATGAGGCGCTAATCTACGTGGCAAAAAAAATTGTAGGGAACAGTGGAAGCACGTAAACACGAGCAAAGCCCGTTTTATTAAATATGAATAAAATAAACAAGTAAAAACATTTCGTCTTCGTGGATGAGAAATATGAAGCTAGACCTGAATTAATCAAATTCCACACCAGCTTTTAATCTGTCCAAGAAGGTTATTTTTTACTGGAAACGACTTGTACCTATGGATCGTTTGGTTATTATGTTGTTGTACTTGTTGGTATTTTTTATTCATATGCACAGTCGTTATCATCATACAGCTACGTGTTGTAATTGTAAATTCCAATAAAAAGATAGATAACGTCCCAGTTGCCAGGACGAATTTCGGACCAATATGATCGCTCACTTTCTTGGCACTCTTGTAAAAAACTGATATGCGGATAAATGCACAACGCGGAGTTCATCGAGCTTATTTTCATCTCAAATTTTCGAATGATTTCTTCTACTTTCCGGTCCTGATGCGGGTATATGATTCTTATTTGCAGGTTATTCACGTCATCGCCTTCATGCTTTCGATCGCGGGTTTCGTTTACACGACTATGAGATATCAGACACGAATGGATAGAATATCGTTTTCTCTTATTGGTGAGTGGATAGATAATAAATGAATGGAACACTATGTAATGTTTAATTTGTAAGCAAATTTTATTTATATTGTTTTTAGTTTTCAACGGAACCTGCTTTCTATTTCGAGTCATCCTGGATCTAACACTAATCAATTACAGAATGGAATTTTACATTTAATTGGCTGTACTTCTGCATGTATATCAATAATTTTATTTTTTGAAGATTAGATGTGGTTTGTAGACTTACGTTGACACGGGGCATGCTTATATCTCATCACAATTTGAAAAGCAAGATAGCGGTGGAAGTCGGCGGCCCGAATAAGATTCCTAGAATCCTCGACGTCTCTGGGTTGCAATCATTTCTTGGCCACGTCCGCATATTAAACTGGTTAGCTGCACTATTAATATTACTGGGCTCGAACAAGATGCCACAGAGTAGCATTTTCACACTTAGAATTTCCATATCCATATTTAGGTGCTCCTGAAGTATGCGCACCAAGATGTCGCATAACCTGAACCCCCAACCGTTCAGGTTGTGCGCCATCTTGATGGCGCATACTTTAGAGGTCCCATATTTATCCACGAGATTCGAAACTGGGAACCAGAAGTGCGATGGCAAGCGTATCAGGATGCGCCAACCGCAGAGCCTCTCGGGGGTGTGGAAAGAAGAGGAAACCGCTCAGTCGTATACACCCAGGACTCTCGCCTTGTTACGAGCGCCACGATGGGTAACCATACTTTTTTTAGCGCTTCAGAAGTGTGTGTACCAATACGGAGGTAACTAATTTTGTTCGCTCACTTCACATCCGCGATACACAACCAACCAGAGTTCGGGCGAGAGCACCCGCTGAATGTAAGCATATTAATAGGCGGAGGAAAAGAAGCTTCTCGAGCGCGCCGAGTTGTGACGTACGGCAGTCAAGTTGTGTAAGAAGCCTATGGCCAGGGGTACATTCACTTGACTAACACAGACAGTCCCCGAACTCGTAATAGAACTAAAATGAGAAAAATCGGAATAAAATTATGACCTAATCCAACCTGGTACATATACTACGGGAGTGCTCTTCTTTTTACCTGAACCATCCTACCACGACGAGGAGCGCATCCATCGCACATATTTTCACATCGAAACTAAGAACTCTTGTAGGGTAAGCAAGTGTGCGATGGCAAGCTGGTCGCCAACAGTTAGCAACATGCGCTGAAAGTCGTGGCTATGTTTAATAATTTAATTTCATGCCTTATGACAAAACAATAGGTCCCGTTCGGTATATACACTTCCGCGTTCCGCGTTTTGCATTGTACAGGGCAGACAACGCCATTTTCTAGTGCGTTCCTGAAAAGCTTAAATATATACAATTTTTAGGATGACCCTGGGATAGGCAAAATAAACAAGATATATGCTGTCCTCAGATTGTAACAGATATTAAATCATAATATTATAATTGTGCCTTTATGATGTTACAAAATTCACATTTTTTCCCAACAAGTAAGGAAGCTACATATGATTTGGACATGGCTAAGGACGAGCTCGAATTCAATGCTTGATTAGCTCTAAACTTTGTAAAGTGATATTTAGGCCACCAAATGTGTCGTTTTGATGTATACCATAAATCCTGCAACATCTTTTTGAATGCATCACTCTTCAAATCTTTCACTGTCCGTAAGCTTTTAGGCAAGTGCCACCCCATGCTTTTTCATCATTCATTAAGTCTTCATAATCGAGCATATCCATCAGGATACTATGAGCAAGAGATACTTCAGTCACAAATTTGACCTTTTCGTCAAAATTGGTAAGGGCATGATTCATTTTAACAATGTAAATCAATCATGTAGATATCAGATGAAAGGCTACATCTCGCAGCCTCGTCAAAGATTCAATTTTCTTTTCAGTGGTTATATCAATCTTAGAATGACGTCGTAAAAACTCATACCAGTATTTTGTGAGCATTCGGATTCTCTTGATTATTACATGAATTAGATCGCAAGACCTCTTCTGCCGCTTTCAATGCGACCCATATCCTCAAGCATTGTAAATATTTTTGAATAACATATCCCATACACCAGGAGATTGTAGTGTTTATTTCAAATCGTTGAATAGCCCTTTCAGCAGGAGTGTTCTGACAGATTGCTCTTGGTCATTCTCCGTCAACAGGAAAAGTACTTTGCAAGTTGCTTCCCATTTCCTTCCATGACAAAAAATCTAACATTTCCAAGATAGCCTTCTAAAACGGAGACCAAAAGTCCATCCAATTTTCTATTGTTACACGAGAACAATGATAACTTTTGAATCGAACTTTGAAAAAATGCCAGAGCTTCCTTAGCAGATTTGAAAGTCTTTCTTTCACCATGAGGTATAAAACATTATTCCATAAAGTATGTGCACAGGATTTGAGAACGACCCCGTTGAAACTTTTTGGGCTTGTATTGTCGCCGAGTAACCCAAAGTCTGTCCGCCATATTTAACCTACGGGGTTGGGTTAAAAACAACCTCGAATTCACCCATTTCACCGACGTTTCTAAAGAACTATCGAAAAGTATGCGCACCTTCTGCCCAATGCGTCTGGGAACCGGATTCCCCTCCATCTACCAATGTTGCATCACCCCATTTATGTTCCAACAGCTTTTGTCTTAAACTTCAGCAAATTTGTTTTCCCAAATGATGCTCCAATCTCCTGAGATACTCTCTGAAAACGATGTACATAATTTTTATTACCCAAGCCTTCAACTAGTGCCAGTTTCCTGCAACTTGAAAAAGTAGTGAAAAGAAATTTTTGGTCAATGAACATGTTTGACTTTGCTCTACAATCATTTCAAGTTAACTGTCAATTTGTTTATTTGAGTATTTCTGCACAAAGCAGTATGATTTCACCCAGAATCTAAATCATTTACATAAATGGCAATTTGATCTTTACCATACCATCTTTATTATTTTATACACAACTTTATGTATACACAATATTTATATATATTTTGATGAATAGTCCACTATTCAGTTTGATTCAAATTTTGATTATAAAAAACACTGCAGGATAAATCTCAATACAGATTCATGACATTTCGTAAATAATACTACCTCAAGTTTGTTCCATTCAGAATATTTTATTTCATCAGGCAGTGACTCGATAACTATATCATGTTCTGTATCGAAATGGTCATATTCAGGTATCTGAATAAAATGTACAGAATAAAAATTAACAGACAAGATACGGTATTGTCATTTCCTATATTTCAAGCAAATCTTTGATTTAACACGATAAAATTTTTATCAGTTTTTTATATTGTATAGGCATTTGACCAAAGGCTGCTGTAAGCCATATTGCATAAACTAGTAATTTGATGCATTAATTGCTTATTTTAAGAGTTATAAACTTGGGTCACATTTCTTACTGATATTTGCGTGTGAAATCCATTTGAGCAAAGCCCAACTCATCCTCTAATTAGATTCAGATAGGGTATACAATAGATAGAGAAACTATAAAAGGTACATAAATGAATTAAATCATGAAATTCAAAGTATTGAATTTAACTTAATAAGCGCAATAAATGCTCACCAATCACCATACCATATGTTCCTCAGGATTTGCTTCACTGAGGTCAACACAATCTGCATCACTGTGGCTGTCAGACTCCATCTTCCAGATCAAAAATTAATAAGTAAAATCATTTTAACAGTTATAAAATGGTGTTACCTTCAAACACAAAACAAAAATTTGAAGATCTTCTCTACATAATTATCACCATAAATATAATACATATTATATATTGCATCCGTCAAAAACAAGAAAATAACCAAGCACCAATAACATATTATTTCTGAAATTTTCACAGACACATATATTTTGATTATGCTTGTGACAGAAATGCCCGTACATAGCGGTATATAATGATACATAACAGTAAAGATACTTATTATCAAAACATCCTTATCACCAAAGCAATAAAATTTGAACTAGTAAATAAAATATACATGTAACAACAGCATATACGATAGTTCTTTTCAACACAGCTAAATACACAATATGTCTATAGCTTTAATAAATATCAGAAAGGCGAAAACAAATAACAAAAGATAAATATATCCCAAAATATTGTATTTATATACAATGACTGTATTTACCATATTATATATTAGGCTGCATGGTCATGGAATGTTTATTTACAATAATCTTCAGGAAAGTGCTGAATGACAGCTAAACAAAGATTGGAAGACAGGAAAATAGGATGAATCGTTAGTTACAAATAGAATATATTGAATCCAACAATTGAATTGCAAAAATATGGGTACAGAAAAACAAATACATGTCTTTGCACATTTTTGGTCAAAAAGCAGTGGAGCTAGCTTAAAGAGTTTTCGAAGACATTATGATTATCATTCCCAAAAATATGACATTGCCATTAAATGTTTTACAACTACTGATGTTTTTATTGTCAAGGATGAGAATGAGCCAATGAAATAACACCAACCGGTACTTGACTGAAAATGTTGGTTTGTACATGCTATGAAATGCTGTGATGACAAATCTCAACAATAATAAATCCACTAAATCAACATGCCCAGGTTGAGGGACCCAGACTACATAATTGTATATTTTTAAATGACCTTAAATATGTATTATGAGACCAATTGTAATTATGATGCAAGAGAGAATAACATTCAAAAGATATCTACTTTAATTTTTCTAGCTGCATTTTGTCATCCACAAACTAGTTAATCACACTACTATAATATCTTTGTCTCAATATTATGATAAATTTAGTTCCCTTGGAATATACCAAGTACAAGTTCTCACATGATTTTTCATCACAAGCAATAATCAAATATCTCGTTTAACATAAACATTCTGAAGCCTTCCTGATGATTGTGAGTGTGTCATTTCACTAGGATCAGTTCTCATATAAGGAACATCACTCTCCTCATGTGATAGTTCAGGGTAATGTTGACGATAACAAACATATGATACGAGTAATCCAAGGATAGACCCAACTACAACATCTTGCCAATGATGCCTATAATCACTTGTTCTGCTGATGGCAATCATCGCTGCAAAAGTAATTGGAACCAAAATAAAATCAATCTCCATGAACTTCCACGACCTTTAACACTGAAGCAGCGGAAGTGTCCAGCTAAATAAATAGAAGAAAATCCCAATCCTGTGAAAGCAAATGAACTGTGTCCACTCGGAAAACTCTTCCTTCCACCTGCTATAAATCCTTCATCTCCTGTACATTTTAAGTCATAAGTTGATGGTTGCCCGTTTGGCACTTTGCCATTAGGAAAACATCGAAAGAAAAAGTCAGGCCTTGGTCTACCTACCATCAGTTTGATAATATTTGTTAAATTACCATTTATACAAAGTGCCAATGTTACAGCGAGTATCGCGGGAGTAAGATGTCTTCTCTTTTTACTGCAATAGTTCACTAAGAAAATCGTAACAATTGGAGTAAAAATTGAAAGAAGGAATAAAGTCATTGTATTGCAAACTTCATGTTCTGCTATTGGGTTCTTATACAACCACCATTCTTCCGGTTGAATTATCCTCTCGAACGGGTGGAATCTTTCTGACGCTAAGAATGTGATGACCAATACTGACCGAATGCAAATCTCTATGAGCATATAACTACTGTTCGAAGATATCATTCTGGTGAATTAGTAGAGGTAGACTAAAAACAAGAATAAAAAACATAATATTCCGATTAATAAACATTAAATGAACTACAGTGTCATACACTAAGTTAAGTCTTGTTGAAAGATTTTGTTTGAACAACAGATTGTGTTTGGCCAATCACATAGAATCATAGATGTTTTATCAAACATGAACATGTATAAAACTAGGAAAATAGATTCAACATTATAATATAAGTATAAAAGTTGACACAGATTTTTGTAAATGGACTATCTTGTTATTGCATGGCCACTAATTACTAATCTGTTTTATTTAATTGGGTAGGGCAATAATACAACTTAACTTGTCCTAATCCAAGGTAAACAGTGCTGAAGAAAACAGATCAGATAATTAGCAATAGGGCAATAACAAGATAGAACCTTTGCTAATATTTCGCCGAGTGATTTGTAATGGACATAACTCTACAGGACGCACACAAACAATGCCTACAAATTTAACAGTATTGATGACAGTAATGATCTTTTGCACAAAACACATTGTCCAAACCCTAAGAAAATATCAATCTAATGGAATTAACATAGGTAACAGCCCTATGCCATTTATGACAATTAAATGCCTGGTATGCTATCTCGATGGAATGTCATACTAGAGTCTAGAGATGTTGGTAAAAAATGCATTACATGCAAGGCACATATTGCAATATAAAATGAACTGCACATCAGCATATTAACTTTCCAAGCAAACTTGCAAAAATCACCAAAATTTCAGGTTGATTTGCTTTGTATGTAAAATCCATATAAAAAGTAGATTGACAAATGTGTACACAGATAGGATAATCAAAGCATACTCGTCAGGCAATCTCATAGTATCAAATATAAAATTAATTGAACCTGTGCAAATATTAGATGTTAAGAAAAACACAAATAGATTCCTGTTTACAGCTGTTATCAAACAAAATGGTGGAGTTGGAGGATCATATTTAACATTTGCTTTTCCAAGATTTTTCTTTTCCAACAGAACCCACTGTCCTGGCATAGATTCGACTGGCAATTTGTTCCAATTTATACAAAACAATGAAGAAAAAATTAAGCAAAGACTAATTACTGCAAACTGGAAGCAAAGAGCTAATATCCATAAGACATAAGCAAGGTTTGCAAACCTACGTGATACAGGTTGCACATAGTCGGAAAGATAGCATTGTCAAAGTCCATAATATAATATCAATCAGTAAGGATTTGACACAGGACAATAAACCACGACACAACGTTGGTTCTATTTCCTTGAAATAAGAAAACGCCAATTTGAACAGAAGCAAAATACAGTGATAGGAAACCAATACACGAGCATATGCCTTCTTTATTAGCCATTAAAAACCCATTCCTATCTTCATTTAAAATTATAGATGTTAGATTAATGGGAGAATAGGATAATAAATATTGGTACAACATAATACATGACATAGACAATGGAATACAGTATGTAATACTTATGAATGAAAGTATGAATGTTGACAAAACTTTCACAACTGCAATAGTGAAGAAAAAATTCCAGTGAACACCATATTCTGAAACATGTTCCTGGTATCCAAGTAATTTAATAAATATTATCCTACAAAAGCCAATCATCCATAATGGCCATGATGAAATCACTGCTTTTCTCATATTTTCAAGCTTATCCATAAGGGTGTTACAGTATCGATACTTTCCCCTCGCTTCTGGGCTAACAATGCCATTTGAAACAATGAAAAAGCCAACTCCAGTGTCCATGAGACCTGTACCATACACTTCAGCTTTTGCAAATCTTCTGGGAAAAATGTGAAAATCTACTGCTAAGATAGCAATGCAACTAATAACCATAAGTCATTCCACGGAACAAGGAAAGCAATGGCATACGATTCCGAGGGATTATGGAGGATGTATAAATTGATTCTTGTTTTTTGATTTCTTCCGTTTCTAAACAATCATCATCATCAGATAATCATGATTTTCTTTTAGTATTTCAACTCCATTTTTGCCTGGCTTAATCATACACATTCACCTGTTGTTTTTCCACTTTTGCCTTTGTAGATGGCAGAGTTAAATGCTGAAGATGAACCACAAAAAGCGTAGTGAAGAAAACTAGAGCTACTTCATTAGGAAAGTAATGTTGTAATCAGGATTATAGGAAATGATCATGACTAGACCATTCTAAAACAAAGCGCTTCCATTGCTGACTGTACAAATGTGCTCGGAAAAACTGCTATTACAAATGCACGAACTCCGAAAAGTAGTATTGAAAAATTTGTAAGCAGGCTCACTTCCCAATAACTCGTTCCTGTCAATCCACTGACAAACGCCTCTTTTTCAGTTTTTGAAGAAGGTTGATCCATGATTTGATTCGTAAATGGCACAATGTAGCCAATTGTCAACTATTTCGTTTAATGCAAAATGTTAAATTAATTGCATGACTGTTTAAATATGCATTTGCTGTCCAAAATAATATCCAAATATGGATTAAAAAAAATTACTTATAATAAATAAAAATCTATATATACCGGTATACGGTATGCATTACGAGTGGATCAAAAGGTCTTGCATCCCACTTCTGCACTTTGACAAATATAACTGCCTTTCTGACGAAGAAAACTGATATTTGATTAAATCTGCATTTGCTGTCCAGAATATGAATTGAAAAAAAATATTTAGAATACAGCAATACATCTACAGTGTCTGCATTATGAGTGGCTCGAAGGTCTTGCATAGTTGCCGCCCCACTGTGACAAATTTAACTGCCTTTCTGACGAAAAAACTGATATTCCTATCAGCTCGCACCTGCAAATGAAACATTACATGCGTGTGCGAGCCGGGTCACGTGACGGATCGGGCAAACGGTGCTTGTTTTCAGCAGATTCTGCAACATCGAAAGCGGCTAACTGAGCTTGGCGGTCATGACTAACAGAAGAATTGTTCCATAGATATTGAATATACTGGTACTGGGAGCATTGTATTCAGGTAACTAAACGATGTAATACATACTGCACGAGCAGTAGGACTGTCTGGCTCCTACGGTCAGACAGTGGTGGTAGCATAAAAATCATATTTTTGTATTAGGGATGTCAACTGTGGTTTTGTGTGTGAATTTCCCTATTTTAATTAATTTAGGTGAGTGCAACTTCGTTTAAGCATAACCTCCTAACTTGAATTCTGTACGGCTTTAAACCTTACCCCAAGTTTTTGTTTGCTCCCCAATTCTATACATAATTTTTCAGTCTGTTTTTATCAATTATTTTATCTCCTATTATACTGATCATGAGGTCAAAATAAACTTGTACACTTTATCCAAACCCCGAAAAATTTTCTTAACTTTCACTCACATCATACATTTTTTTAGTCATTTGCACCCCTTCACTCAGAACAAGGGTCTATGTAAGCAGACACTAAGTTACTACCCCATCCAATTTGTTATGTCTAAGGTGGGGGTGGTGGTCAAAGCATGGGCCAAGGGTATTTAAATTGCCACATCAACAGAGTCAGGTTCTATTACTTAGCATTCCCTTATCAGAATTTGATTGTTTATTATATTTTTCAGCCTTTGAACATATCTTCATTTCCTAAACATGGAGGTCTTTGACTGGAAAGGATATAAAACCGAATTGGGTGACATATTTTTCAAAGATACAGACCTTATTCGATATCATAGTGAACAGTATTTTGATTTCTGGAAATTTTTCTTGAGATATTTGGAATATAGGAAAAAGAGGATGGGTCAGAATGGTCAAACACAAAAATCTAAAGATTACAATTTTGACAATGGAAATCTAAAGGAATATATATCACTTGGAAAAAGACATGGCATATCGGAACAACGCATTAAAGAGTTTTATGATGCATTACAAAAATATTTTGATTTCAATCAAAAACAAAATTTTCAAAAATTAAAGAAACTAAAATTACAACAAGACAATCTACCAATTGCAGCTCACCGTAGCGAAATTATAAACGCTGTAAAAGAAAATCAAGTTGTAATTGTTGCTGGCGACACTGGATGCGGTAAATCTACTCAAGTACCACAATATTTACTGGCGAGTGGGTTTGACCAGATTGCATGTACACAACCTCGCAGAATTGCAGCAATTTCTCTGTCAAAACGTGTGGGGTATGAGACATTAAATCAATTTGGATCTTTAGTTGCATATAAAATTAGATTTGATGGAACGAAAACTTCCCAAACTAAAATTTTATTTTTGACTGAAGGACTTTTGTTGAGGCAGATGCAAAATGACACCACATTAAGTCAGTACTCTGTTATAATATTAGACGAAGTCCATGAGAGACATTTGCAATCAGACTTTTTGCTCGGAATGTTTAAAAATGTTTTGCTTCAAAGACAAGACTTGAAGGTGGTACTCATGTCTGCTACAATCAATTTGAAACTATTTAAGGACTATTTTGAAAATGCTCCAGTCATACAAGTACCAGGAAGACTTTACCCCATAAAAATGAAATATCATCCCATACCAATTGAGGAAAAAGTTACCGCAACTGGGAATATTAACCCTCAACCATATGTTCGAATTATGGAGTTGATTGATAAGAAATATCCCACATCAGAGCATGGTGATCTATTGGTTTTTCTGAGTGGTATCACTGAGATTTCAACTGTGGCAGAAGCTGCTCAGAAATATGCTGATCAATCAGGGAGATGGATTATTTTGTGTCTTCATAGTACGTTGTCTATCAGTGACCAAGACAAAGTTTTTGATATTGCCCCTGATGGCGTAAGAAAATGTATCTTTTCAACTAATATAGCTGAAACATCTGTGACTATAGATGGAATAAGATTTGTTGCGGATTCAGGTAGAGTAAAAGAGATGAGCTATGATGATCACAGTAAAATGCAATTGCTGAAGGAATGTTGGGTCAGTAGAGCCAGTGCGGAACAGCGTAAAGGTCGTGCTGGACGTACAGGACCTGGTGTGTGCTTTAGACTTTTCTCGGAAGATGACTATGAAGCATTAATTCCTTACACTGTACCAGAAATTCATCGCCTTCCCCTTGCCAATTTGATTCTACAAATGAAGAGTATGGGCATAGAACAAATTAGGAAATTTTCCTTCATTGAACCACCTGCTGCACATGCAATAGAGAATTATATTGAGGTTCTAAAAGCTCAGGCTCCATTGGATGTGGATGAAAACCTGACCCCAATTGGTAAAGTTCTTGCTGAACTTCCACTTGACATTGCAATGGGGAAATTGCTTATAATGGGAACATTATTTGACATGACAGACCTTGTTATATTAGCAGCAGCGATATTGAGTGTACAATCACCTTTCACTTATAATGCATACAAAAATTTAGACGCAACTGATCGTAGAAAATCATTAGAATCAGACCATGGTGATCCCATCACTCTTCTCAATACTTTCATTGAGTGGATCAAAATTAAAGGTGAAAAGAAAATCAACAGTAGGAAATGGTGTAAAAGAAGATGTTTGGAAGAACAGAGGTTTTATGAAGCTGTGAATTTAAAAAGGCAATTTCGAATGCATTTAGAAAACAATACATTGCTTCTTGAAAAAGAAAGTGAAAAGAGAGGGGAGACTAGTTATGAAAGAAAACAAAAACATTCTGATAGAAAAAGCTTTCGTAAAGTACGAGCTAAGCAGATGATGGACACCAGACGTCCAAAAAGATTGAAGATTGGGGCAGCACAAAATGACAGTGATGATGATGATGATAAAGTAGACATCCATGATCTTAAGTTTAACATCACTAATGATGCTGAAAAACTGGCAACATCAACCCCTGATTTACAAAAATTAAGCAAGCGTGAGATAGATGTGTTTAAGCTTATACTGTGTTCCAGCTTGTATCCGCAGTTTGCTATTGCTGATGAACATAACTCATATGAAGGATCTGGTAACTTGATTTACCACACTGCGAATAAGCCTTTCATTACACTGCATCCCACTAGTTATTTCGCCAATAATGTAGATATTTTAGATCCTTATGGTTCTTATACAAGCCGTGGAAGTGAAACTACAATTAAAACCAATCGTGGCCTTGTTTCTAACAAGCACCAACTCCTGGCTTATGTAAATCTTCTTGAAACAAAAAAGCCTTACCTATGCAACACGCTTCGTATCCCAGGATTGCAAAGCCTTTTATTGTTTGCACAAAGTGTGGATGTGAGCTCTGATTGCTGCAGGATAGTATGTGACCGTTGGTTAGAATTTATCATTAAAGATAGACATGATGCAAAAAATACTCTTTTCTCTATGATCAGATTAAGACGGACGTGGGAAGACTTACTAAAATTGAAACTTTCTGAACAAGCTAAATTAAGTGGAAAAATGATCAGCGATTTAAAATCAACTTTATCCGAAAAGATGGAAGATTTTCTGGCGAGCAAAGTAAAATACACAATGTGTCGTCTAACATCAACAGAAAAGAAAAACCTTTATGCTAGTCCAGAAAGCTTAGAATCATTAGAGAATCCTGTACCACCAACTGAAGTTAAATCTGGTGTTGTAATAACACCATATCTTATATACGACCGCATCAGTTGCTCAAATTCCTCTGCAAATTTGAAGAAAAATAAAGATTTTGTAGAAAAACAATGGACTTGTGAAGAATGTGAATGTGAGATGAAAGCAACGACTCTCGATAGACTTCAACATCAAGTTGTGTGTTCACCTGATTCATCATCCACTTTGCCTCCTGAAGAGGACATGATTGTGAGCAAAGCCAGTCATAGCTTGATAAAACATTATTGGTGTGATACATGTAATAGAAATTTGAATCTAAGTGCAGTAGAAATTCTAAAACATAAAAAATCTCACAATCTCTAACAATTTAGCATTATTGGATAAACACACTGTGAATGCGACTCCTAATAAAAAAAGTTCATATACACTTGAATATTTATTTAATTGTCATAGCTCTGTAGAGCAGGAAAATCAACCTGTGGTATAACATTTTAAATGCTACATCTGTGATAATTCTTAATGAAACTTCATCAATGTGGAGTATACTATTATTGTATGAGAGAGAAACCCAGACTGTATTATCATATCTGCATCATCGATTTAATTTTGGTTTTTAGCTTGAAAATGTTTGATATGCTGCATTTCTAATACCTCATTACCCCAACTTGTCCATTTTGGCAGGAGATTGCGAGCAAAAAGCTCTAGACATTTAGGGTTAGGGAGATCTGTCACTAACGTCCTAATGATCTTATCAAGTGGTGGCTTATGGGAATGTATGGTGCATGGAACACTTGTAATTACTGTGGGCTCGATATGTTTTTCATTGCACTTGTGTTTCCATGTCTGTCCAATAATGATAGTTTCGTATGGTCGCTTATGTACAGAATCAAAGTCAAACACAGGTTGACCTTGAGTGGTCACTTTAACCCAGTGCCATTCACATGTAAAGTGGATGTTGTATTTTGGGAATAGATCATTCCTGATAAATTTATGATATTTCTGTTTGTTTGTAACCCATACAAACACAAGGCAGTTCTCATTCATTAGCTTGTCAAGAGGGACACTTAATATTTCCTTGAGTGACAACCATGGATATTTACTGCCTCTTTTAGCAGATTTATTCTCCCATGGTGGGTCAATTACAATGATATTAAAACCACCAGATTTCATACTATGTCTTGTTAGTGGTTCCATATTTCCCAACTCCGACAATAAAAAAGTGCACTGAGTTGGGAGCAGGTACACTTCATTACTGACACATATAGTTCTCGGTGTTTCACCAATGTACTTGACGATTTTGCCATCTACATCATTTTTTGCCAAGTGAATCGGATCATTCCCAGTGATCGCTATGTTACTCGCATTTTTCAAGATTGATGAAAGGCAAAGGTTTCTACACAGATCAGAGCATATAGTACATTTTGGACTGATATCTTCCAATAATTTTTGGGATTGTTGTTCACACAATGAATTATTTTCATTTGCAAGTTCCAATGCCAAGTTTTTAGTCATCTCCTGCAACATTGGTGATACTGTTAAGTGATACATTTTTGCAGACACTTCTTCTTCGTTTTCAGGCAGTTTTCTCTTTTTGCATCTCCTTGAGGTAAGTGTGTCTTTTTCTCGACTGAGGTGTGGAGATTGTATTTTAAAGTAAATGTCCTTGTAAGTCAGCTTGACATGTGTGAACTCACTAGAAATAGAATTTTGTGACTGTGCTCTGCAACCTCGATATATCTCTTTTGTGAACTTGCCATGGTCTACTAAAATTCCATTCCCCTTGTGCTTTATAATAGACATCTTGAATAACAATTAATTAACCATTCAATCACGAATGATACCGGTACCTATTCCAAGAAAAAACCTCAAATGTCCACTGCATTATGTTTTGCTCATTCAGTCTCTTGCACCAGCGGTTGGATTGATCATAAGCGGCTTTTCATGTTGAGGAGATTAGCACGTAGTGGTTATAGTTCTTAATTTATAGGCGCCTATTATTAATGATATACGAAGTGGCGATTCAAATATCAGAATTAGGAACTGGCGTTTCTCGGGACTGTGTTGAACCAGTTTAAAGTTTACATTAGTCACATATGTTTTTTTATTTCCATTGCGCCATGTCGCGGAATATTACGACGTGCTTTGTATTTGCTTTCCCATAGTACGGGTTGCGGTAAGGTCACTCTGAAGATCCGCTGAAACGCAACACAAAATAACGAAGCAGAAGTTAGTTTCACAAAAGGGTAAGCTCGTTCTGTCGTTCCATTCATCGATTTGAAATACCCGGTACTCTCTGGTCTCGAATTTATCTGTTGGGATTAATATGATTTCGAATATGTCAGTATGTGTAGATTCCAATGTTGAATGTAATCAATTCACATTTTTCAAATTAGTACAGTAGTATTAGTATGAATATACCTAATTACTATAATACAGTAATATGAACTGTGAGAGTTGAACGGAAGGTTTTTTTCATCCGTAACACCCACTTTCTATTTTGTGTTAGATTAGTCAATGACACTGCCTGATGTTTTAAGTAAGTTAGATATCAATACCGGCGCACCTCATTCAGTCATTGAATTCTAAAATTGAAATTCATAGACAAATGCAGTCATCTTAACTGACTATTCTGATATTGGAGATTTTACACCAAGCTCAGAAGCTCATTTTCAATTTAGTTCAGTTCAGTAGTTGTAATCTAACCAGGTGTTAAAATTTTCACGATCCACAAATATCTTTTATACAGTTATGTTTTAAATTTACTACATAGTCTTGGAGTTCACTTAAGGAACATTCAAAATGCTACGCAGTGCAAGTACCACAAGATGTGTGAAGGCTTCACTGCGTTTCATCGTCAATAAACCTTCCAATCACATAATAACCAGTCGTCTACTGAGCACAAGAAGTTTGCACATTGCTAATAAATCTATCCAAGATGCCAACAGATTTCATACACAAAACCATGTCATGTGGAGAACTTCAAACATGCACCATTCTCCATTCACTTGTCATGTTCGATTTTATTCACTCCCATCATACACAAAAATTGATCTCCCTGCACTTTCTCCGACGATGGAAATGGGTACCATTGCAAGTTGGGTACTAAAGGAAGGTGATCATTTTGAACCTGGAGATCTTCTTGCTGAAATAGAGACTGATAAAGCAACAGTTGGATTTGAAGCGCAAGATGAAGGATATATTGCCAAGATATTGGTGCCTGAGGGAACAAAGGAAGTACCTCTCGGAACTCTCATCGCAATATCAGTTGATAATGAAGAGGATATAGCTGCGTTCAAAGATTTTACTCCAGGTATCTATGTGATAATATTTCATATTTTTATTGATGGAGATGCATGATGAATATTGGTGGATTGGATTTCTCAGAATCCACTTGAGTTTATCCAGTTCCCCTTTTTAAATGACTTTAAAATCAAAGTATGGCACAGTTCTCCGATTTCAAGAATGCCCGGAAAGAAGGACATCTGGCCTTACTATAGATGTGTAATATTGAGCGATTTTGCCTCAATAATATTATGATTCAATTGTGTGGGACGGCCAGAGAGCAAAACTCATTTCTGTCGTTGGTTTTTGCTAAAATTTCTGCATTAAAATGTTTTTTCCTGTAGCGAATTTTCATGGAATCCAATCGCGACAGTTTAAAATTGCACTTGGTTTTAGTTTATTGAGCAGCTCTTGACTTTTCATTTTTGTGCTGTTATGGAGGACAGTGGTAGCAAGACTGTCTTGAACTCTTTAAATATTAGGAATCTTCTGGTATTTGTGAATGTAGTATACTGGATATTATGAATTTGAAATGAAATGACTTCAATTTCAATGATAACATGTAACTTTTGAATGACTATTTAATGATATTATATTTTTTACAGATCAAGCTTCAGGTAGTGTCGCGCCACCAGCTGCTAGTCCAACAGCTCCAGCTCCGTCCCAATCACCACAGTCAACAACCTCTTACCCTCGACATGAAAGAATTTCACTTCCAGCATTGTCACCAACTATGACCACTGGAACTATTGCCAAGTAGGTTATTTTTATTTTGAATTACTAGGCTTGCATGCTTGAGATATTTCTCAAGTTGCATTCTCATAGAAATTAAGCCAGATTGCTAAATGATAAGTTAATACTAATTTGCTACAATCAACATATAGACTGGTTATTGTAAACTTGACTATCAGGTAGTAAAATCCTATTGCTGGACGAAGTACTTCAAGTACATTGCCACAGGAACCGCTATACAGTAACATTTGGAACATTTAAAATTTTACCTAATACTATTTTTCTCAACAACAGGTGGGCAGTGAAAGAAGGAGATAAAGTAGAGGAAGGAGATTTGTTGGCTGATATTGAAACTGATAAAGCAACCATGGCAATGGAAGCAGAAAATGAAGGTGACGATTGAAAACATATTTGTTTGAACCGTTATAAGCAATTTCAATAAATATCTGTCAGAATAGTTTGGTTTTCTCGATAATCTATTTTACATATAATCTAATTTTAAGTGATTCAAGAGCTTAGCTGATAACTCATACAAAATGCAGCAAGTCTCCTGAGTCCTGAAACACTTATCATAATGATCTTACTCTTGCTTTGGCATTGTGGAACCCCATGCATGTGCATACTTGCTAATCGTAGTTATTGATATATGAGGTTACATCTCAAAATATCTCATTTCTACTTCATGACCTCATTGCTGAAAAATCCTTATATGAAGTTTGTTTGGTTTGGAATTTCAGTTCCAAGCTCAGTGTTTCAAAATTTTTAAATGTATGAAAAGCAGGTTCATTTTCTGATGAATTTCTCTAATCATAAAATCTTATGTGATACAGGATTTATTGCCAAAATAATTGTATCAGAAGGAACAAAAGATATTCCATTGGGAACATTGTTATGTATTCAAGTCGAAAATGAATCAGATGTTGCTGCTTTTGCTAGCTTTGTTGATCAAGGTATGTATTGTAGTCACCAATTTTACAAGATTGCAGTTGATTATACGAATTAAAATTCCAACTTTTCGAGAGTCAACATGAAAAGTTGAAAGATGTCTGGCTAGGAAGCTACCTTTTCTAAATTGCTGTAACAATTTGTGAATCTCCTCATTTCTCATTTTGACTACCCTTTTTTTGCATTTTATTACATGACCATTACCAGTGCCACAGTAAGTTATTGAACATTTGTGTCCATCTTTTTGAACATTGCTGTTTTGTGTTTGTAGTGACACTTCTAATAACCAGTATTTGTTTTATCTCTTCATTTATACTTTCTGACTTATTTTGTACCATCAGCAGCAAAATATTTGCAATTTTTAATTTTAACGCTTATTTTTAGGGACAACTGCACCAGAATCAGCTGTAGCACCCCCTACGCCGGCCCCAGAAGCTCACAAAGTTCCACCTCCTGTTCCTACTCAACCTGCTCCATTTCAACCAGCTCCAAAGAAGTCTGAAGGAAGAGTGTTTGTCAGTCCTCTGGCTAGAAAACTTGCAATTGATAAAGGAGTGGATTTATCTCAAGTTCAAGGTATGAAAAGGTTCATGCATTGTCTTCGTATAAAGCATCATATCCTTGGCTTATGTCAAATTTTCTTGATAAACCAAAATTCTATTTTTATAATCGCTATAAATAGAAATCTTGATTCGCGTCTCGCAACAATCCACATTTGCTGTCAGGTTGTGTACCACTATAATTATATATAGGTAGTTTTAGTATCTCTTGATATTCAGAACTCAAAGATGATCTTTACTCCTGACTGAAATTGTTTTCGAGAAAAATTCTCTTGAAAAGAAATCAGTGTTCAAGTTAATTATAAATTTGATCGACACTGTATCACTGATTCCACCTATGTGAGAGCTGACACATTCCTCATTTAAAATGAAGCTCAGGATTGCTACCAGCTTAAATTTTTTTTTCATAATTTTTTTTAATGCATTGATTTACATGCATAATTTTCTATTCGTTTTACTCAATTAGTACATATTTTAGGGTCTGGTCCTAGTGGACGAGTGAGACAGCAAGATGTTCTTTTGTATTTGGAGAAAGCACCTAAAGTTGCAGCAAAACAACCAGCATCTGCTAAGACAGCCACTGCCTCATCATCTGCTCAACCTGCTGCACCGAGCGCAGATTATATTGATATTCCATTGACTAATATAAGAAAGGTGAGTGTTTCCGATACTATGCTGAAATTACCATTCAATGTATAGTCACTTGCAAAACAAAATATTTTTTAGTTACAGTCTACGCAGCTGGTTTTCAATATAGAACATTATTTTCACTTCAGTGAAGTCGCTGGTAAACTAATTGCTCCATATCAATTTTTGAGATAGCTTATTGCCTGGTATGCTGGAAATGAAAACTCGAGTTTTGTATTCATTTTCATAAGTTGCTATGACCTCTCAATAATTTTAATTTGCTATATTGACTATCATTACTTTAAAAGACTCATTCATTATAATTTTATTGTAAATTTCATAGCCAACTTTCACTAGTCTTGCCCGTCTGGCATCACTCCTCGATCGAGCGCCTCCTACATATTAGTCGAGACAACGGCTCGCGCATTAGCATCGCATTTGTGACTATGAATAACCAAACACTAATATATTATTTTAACTTCGTTTATGTCAATTTGTTTGGGAATAAAATATTTTGAAAGGCTTTATTCAATTTTTTTATTTTTTCATTTTAGACAACAGCTAAGAGACTGATTGAATCAAAGCAAACTATTCCACATTATTATTTAACGATTGATTGTAACATGGCAAAATTAACAGCACTAAGAAAAGAATTTAATGCTGGTGGAGAAGGTGAGAATGAGAGAAGTTTATCAGGGCTATTTATATATTATATTCTGCATTGATCTAGAGATATCTGAAATGTTTTTCTTTCAATTTCATATTTTTACACTGCTGGCAGTTGAATGCTGTAACAGTAAATGTCTATGCCAGTAAGAATGAATGTTATTAGATCCTGGTACAAGTCTTCACCCCAAATACAATACACAAGTCAGTCCTATGTGACAAATAATATTGTACGAATATAACATCAACAGACTCCCAAAACAACTTAACAAGGAATGATTACATGTAGTACAATGCGCTTGGGCGAGTTGATTAAAGTGTTTGCCTATAATGAAATCTAAGGGAAACACTAATAAACTGGTGCTGAACCCATTTTGATATTTCCATGTATGTTTGTATATTTACACAGCATGTTTAGTTTACTCTGTCCTAAATTGTAATTTTAAAACTATGTGCTTTATTTTTCAGTCAAGTTGTCAGTGAATGATTTTGTGATCAAAGCTGCATCTCTTTCATGTTTGAAAGTTCCAGAAGTGAATTCATCATGGCAAGATACCTTTATAAGACAGTGAGTCTGATTCTCCTATAATACACAGACTATGCATAATTCATAATCAAACATGACCAACCCATGAGAAGTAATTATACGGGCAATTGCCCTGCTGAAGTTTGTTGTGATATTCTGGACGTTGGCTTTGCTATATCGTTACCACTGATTGTGCATGAATATTGACTTTTTATTAGCTTCATTTTTTGTGTAGATTGTCTGAGAAAAAGAATAATTCATGCTTATGTTAGTTTATGAAAATTTCTTTCGTTGTACAGCTTGAAGTTATATTGCTCGTCAAGTTCTTGAGTAAATTGTTTCTTTTTTATATTACAAATGTTCAAGTCAAATATATTCGATAGTGACTTTTCATCTTCGGTTGTGACTCGATGTTGACTGTGTTTTTTTCATTCAGATACAACAATGTAGATGTAAGTGTTGCAGTAAGTACAGATACTGGATTGATCACACCTATTGTGTTCAATGCACATACAAAAGGACTTGGATCGATATCTCAGGATGTTTCTGCACTCGCTCGGAAAGCCAGAGATGGAAAATTACAGCCGCAAGAGTTTATAGTAAGTTGATGTCACAAATTATCCAAGTTTCAATAATTGTAATTGATTTAGAAAAATGCAAACTCTCTATTCAAATCATTGGGCTAAATGGTAGGCACATCACAGATTGGGAAAACGCTTGTTATCTCAAAACTTATTGGCCTTGCATGAATTCGCTGTTTGAGATCCTGCGATAAAGGATTGCGGGATGGCTCATTGTACGGTTACGGCTTGCTCCACCATTAAGTTCTTGCATCTGGCCAGTGCTATGGAATCAGAGCTGTATTTTCACCCTCCGACTCGAGTCAGACTATAATTTTCTATTTGGGATAATTGAAGTTTCGAATCGGATTTTTCGACGTTATTAATAAAGCACCTGTTTAATCATTTCCAACAGGCCATTTAAGACGCCTTGTGTGTGTTCCTTGTCCAAAGTTTTTGCAGTCAGAAGCTAGAGCCAAAATTTCCTTCGACCTTGTCCGAAATAAGAGTCAGAACTGTTTGTTAAATGGCTTGAATTTGGGAGTCTGATGTTTTCGCAAACTCCACAGTTCTGGTCAATACTTTTAGTTTGAACTTCAGAATTTTGCTGATATTGATATTCTGTTATGGTTACGTTGTGCGCACATCCTCATGTGCGCAATATTATTAACAGGGCGGGACGTTTACAATCAGTAACCTTGGAATGTTTGGAATTAAAGACTTCACAGCAATTATAAATCCACCACAATCTTGCATACTTGCAGTAGGAAGATCAAGGGAAGAATGTGTACCAGATAAAAATTCAGAAACAGGGTAAGTTTGATTTGCCAACTCTTTGAAAGAATGTATTTTTTCTGATTATTACTGAATCATAATCTATTGGCTGAAAATATTCCAAGCAGATTATTATCATATTTGGTTTTTCCCTCAATTTTCTCTTTAAGCCTGATCTATTCGAAGGAGACCGAAAAAGTGTACGAGTCATTCTATGCGGTGTTTTGTAATCAATACAGGTGTATGAATAACACTCCTGGGAAATTATCAGAAAGTGACTGTGCTCATTCAGTACAGCAGTATAAAACACACCATTACTCAGTTTATAAGAGCTAGGTATTTCAGTCGGATCACTTTAATTGTTTCCCCAACCAATGTCAGTTTCGGAAGCACTGCATGAAATACACTGATGTATGAGGTCATAATGGGACTAGATTTATTTTTTTATAATGGCTAGTATTTTCATAAAACCTAACCCAAAAGCTGAAAAATGATTCTCACTCCTAATTTGTAACATACATTGTAATTTTTTACAGGGTGTCTGCAGTCACATTGATGTCTGTCACACTAAGTTGTGATCACAGAGTTGTTGATGGAGCAGTTGGTGCACAATGGCTCCAACATTTCAAAAAATATATAGAGAATCCAACCTCAATGCTGCTTTGAGATGAAGAATGTGTTTATTCATTTAATATATATTATATACCAATGTGTTATGGCACGAGTTTCAAGTAAATGAATATTGCCCATGAAAAGTCTAATGCTTGTGCAGAATACTTTTTATCTGTCGTCAAATTTTTTATTAACAGTTCCATAATCACCAGATTTCTATCGAAAACCCCACAAGTCTCTACCACTAGTTCCACGTGGTTTAAAACATTACCTTTCATTTTAAATACACAAAGCAGTCTGTTGGTTATATGTAATTAGTTCCAAACCTTTGATTTATTGTTCTATTTATTCTCAATTTGGCTAAATAGTAAATATTATGCTAAACTCCTATGTTGCTTACATTTGTACGAGGGGCCTTCAGCAAAGTGTAGACTAAAGAGGTATAGGTGAACAGATGGCAAGAAACGCAACAGCAAATTTCTAGTAGTGGATTTCTACTATGATTTGCTGATGTGATTCTTGTAGGGCTTGGATACTGGATAGTAAGGTTTATAACTAAAAATTAGGATTTCATAATGAAAATAATTCGCCGTTGCTTTTTATTGCTACGACCCAAGGAGGTATTGTGCAACATCAATATGTTGTGAAGAGTATGAAAACAAACAAGGAAGTATCTTTCAGCTATCTTCGAAACATGTATATTTTTTTAGGTAATGCTGAGTGCTGACAACAGTAGGGTCAATTCCTTTTCAGCTCCTGAAATTCTACTGGAGTAGCTAAATGAACCCTCATTCTGGCTTTTCTCAGGCATGCGTAGCACACTCAATGCAGTGAGTCTGCTTACCTAAAGCGAAGTTTCTCAAACTTCTATGCAATGTCGGCCAGTTGCCTCCTCACAGCACTCTATATATCAACATCACCTCCTCAGCAATACAAGAAAATGTCAAGTTGCCAGGAAAAAATTAATTACAAATCAATTAAACATATTGAGTTTGGTGATTTTCAACTTAAGGGTTTTGGTCACTTTGGCAATAATTCGGACCCGAATGAACCACAGCTACCCTTTTGCCCTGCCCACTTCACCAGGGGCGATTTTGAAAAGAATCACTTACAAGATATACAGAATAACATGGCCAATTCGTCCGTCATGCAATCTTTAGCTTAAAAATAGCACTCATTCACAATGATGAATATGTGGTTACAATATGATGACGAGTAAAACAAATATTTAACGATAACTAAGCTCTAATTTATTTGCTCCAAAAAAGTTTCGGCGCTGCAGAATTGTGTGTACCAATATGGAGGTAATTAATTTTCTTTGCCTACTTTACATCAAGTTGTGTGTGTAAGGACTGAAACCTATGCTATGGGCAGGGCAGACTTGGCTGACAAAGATAGTCCCCGAGTTTGTAATAGAACTAAAATAAGAAAAATTGAAATAAAAATAGGGGCCTAACCTGGTACACACACTAAGAGAGTACCAAAGTTTCAGCCAGCATCAGGGTATGTGGAATGAAATATGATTTTCTCTGTTTGGTGACATAACTCTATTTAATATTACATATACTAGCCCCCAAGGAAGTTATAACAGTCAACTATATCATGGAAAATAGCACCGATTTAGCTAAGGTACCGTATTCTTGATTGAGTTTAATAACTGGAGGAGCAGAAAATGAAATGTTCTTTCAGTACAGTTTTCTAATCCTAATTTGTTTGTAAATTTTATTTCATAATTAGAATTGATTTAATAGAACAGTATATGATATGGTGAACCACAAGCAGCAGTCTGGGAAGAAGACATGATTGATTTAAAATATCATTTCTTTGTTTTCTGCATTTCATCCGATAACTTTAATGGTCGTTTGGTGAAATATTCATTTGCTTTTGTGACATACTCCCACTCTATGTTATATGCTGGATGTGTCGGCACCTGATAATTAAACATTGGGATTCTAAATACTTTGAAGGAAAAAAACAATGATAACACCAACCTTGGGAGTTTGAAATACTAAAAATTGTATTGGAAGTAATTCTTACACACAATGGAGACTGTTAATAGCATCCTGGGCCATCTAAACTATGCAGAATTTGAATTTGTACTAACAGCTCTGCGGTTTGGAGATTAGCATGAATAACCCAAAATTTCAAGCAAAACATGGCAATAATAAATCATGGTCAAAATTTGGTTGGAAGCTGTAGTGGTATTCGATTTTTTGAGTCTTGGTCATTTAATTGAATGATTCTACAAGTCTAACACTCTTACACTATGACTCAGAAGTCAGGCAGCAGCATATTTGGAGATCATTTGTCAACAAATCACCCCATGCGTTTTATGTAGCAATGTATTGGCAGATTTACAACAATAAAAGGAATACAAAATTTCTTACCAAATTATTTGCATGTTCACCGATAATTAAATTTGATAAATCAGGAGGGTGTTGTGCAATTGTTAAACCACTCAAACAATAACATGTATGATAGTAATCTGGAGATCTGAAACAAGAAGAGGTTTCTAATGGACTTGCTTACGTTGCGCAGTCTATAATTACCATAAAATATCGGAATCATTATTTATATATTACAACTAAAACCATTTTATACTATTCTCACATTGAGTATTTTATGCCAAAGATTTTTCGTGTTAGATATGTCTTCATTAGCGATAATATATTCATAATGTTGAGGCATAAAATAATTGATATATCTTTACATGATGGAAAGTCTATAATTGGTTTTGTTTTTCTACAACATAATACTTACTTTCCAGGCTTGTCAATTAGGCCACCAAATCTACTCTGACAACTTATCAACAAATATTCTTGAAGAGCTTGTTGATTGAATAACCAATTGTGTTTACACTGCATAAGAAAACAAATTAATTTTAAGTAGCCTACATTAGTCAGTAAAACACTTCTAAAATTGTGAAAAAAAAAATTAGACAAACCAATGATTTGCATCCTTCTGCTAATAAAGTATTTTGAATCAAAGGGAAGACTCCTCCTTGCCAGAATGAGTAGCAACCATCGACTAGTTTATTTGTACGACCCTGAAAAATATATTCAAGTTAATTTAGAAAAGAAAGAAATTCGAATATATATAATACAGCACAGAGCTACCCAGCCATTTTTCTTACATGAGGTAATGAGAGACCAACATGGCCCACTATCTCATATCATGGTAATCTATGTAGTTATAAAGCAAACACGCATAATTCTAAAGCAGTAAACTTGAGTGATGCTCAACACAATGAGTCATTTCATAAGCAGATAAAAACTGATTTTAGCTTAGCAGTAGAGACAATTAGAGACATAAACACCATTGTTACAAAACGTGTAATGTAATGCATAATCAACAAAAGGAATTGATTCATAACAGTTAAGAAAATTTTACGATACAATTAATAGTCACCTCACTTTTCAAAACAATAATTATCCTAAACACTTTTTCACCTTGGTCAGTGGCCTACTTGGACACCAGGCCCATTGATTGGGAAACACTGGAATATCAGATCAATGCCAGTGTAAATTTCAGGAAACAAAAACTCATCAAACCTGAAATCCTCCTTCTAATCTCATTTGTTTATTAACGAGCCATCTCAACATTCTATCAGTATCGATTAATTTTTCGTGGCCAAGTATAACAAGACCGGCATATCCACAAAATGTGTAACCTCCATGAGCTTCAGCACCAGGACATCCTCCTATTCCCCCTTCATATGTTTGGCAACTGAAAAATAGACATTATTAGCATACTAATGAAAAAGTAGCCGAGAAATTGTTAGAAATAATGCATAGCTATTACCATTGACTGGCAGTTATCTTACAAATGAACATTCCAAACAGGATTTATTAAACAGTTAATCCCTATATAGAACAATTAGCATTCGAATAGTGAATATTCTCCCTGTATTTACCCAAACAAGCCAACTAATTTGTGTGAGAATAAAAGTAAAATTGAAAATATTGATATGGTGGTCCAATCAAATAGATATCAAAAGTAGTTAAAATGAATAACAATACCTAACAATGTACTGTGGTGATCCAGCAAACAAGCTTTCTCCAGCTATTTCATCGAGGCCCGTTAAAGATGCAACAGATATAGCACAATATAAACTTCTTGTATCACTTTCTCCACCTTCATGCATTGTGAAGCTCCCATCATTTTGTCTCATTTGGAACAGAAAATACAGAAGCTTCTCCCTGACAACAAAACATGAAAATTAGAAAAAAAATTGCTGTTGAAACGAACGGTTGAAATATAACAACGTTACCTATTAATACTTTCATATGCGTCATCTGTTGCAATAATACAAAGACAATTGACGGCAGCGTAAGTTGGTGCGAGATGTGCAAATTGCTCTGGGCCACCTCCGTAGCCACCGGTTGGGCTCTGACACTTTTCAAGAAACTTGACAACACTAAAATCAAATACCAACAATAAATAAATAAAAATGTGATAGAATTATAGTCTCAAAGAAAGTAAGTAACGGCAATTGACCATTGATTTAATTTGTATTTAAAATATATCTGAAATGCACATCTAACACATAATCTTTAATTTGCCCTTACATAACGACCATAGTTTTGATTCAACAAACTTATCCTCGTATATAGGCAGAGTTCAAAACTCAAAAAAAAAAGTTGCCAAACCAAGGGGTCGGCTTAGACATTCATAACTCTGATCGGACTAAAAATTCGGCTTATATGCGCATAACTCTGAGCGCACTAAAAGGTTAGCTTATACTCACATAACTCTGATTGCACTCAAACGAAATGACAGTATGCTAACTCAATTCCAACAGCTACAACTTGTACAGCGTGTTACGATTTGTAGGGTTGGCTTGAATGCGAATTTTTATAAATCCACCATTTTAGGGCCGTTTTTAGGGGGCCAGCTTACATGCGAAATCGGTTTATATACGAGGATACACAGTTCTTGAAAACTATAAATAGAATGATATTGTTTACATAAGATTTTCCAGACTTGAATCTGAGCTTAGCCTGGTATAATGTGTCAAATTGTAATTATGTTCAACAATATCTTACCTGCTTTTTTGTTGTTCAGACAGCTCATGTCCCAGTAAGGATAAACTGTGAACTATCCAGTAGCATAACCATGGTTGACTTGCATCCAAACACTAGAAATCATATATAAAAATTACTATTGAAATATTAACTATTTATACATAAAAATCAATATTTTTTAATTCTCACTCAAATTATTTTTAACATATCTCAATATGTGCAAAAACAAGAAATTGAAAAAAAAATAAAAATTTTACCTCATATCCTTCAGATAATCTTTCCAAGCCTTTCAGCAAATATGGAAGATGATCATCTCTTTTTAAATGAATTCTATGTGGAAAGAAGCAAAGTTAACATCGCACAATATCGAGGGCAAACAGAATTTATTGATTGTCATTGAACCACAGAGTGATTGGCAATTGGCATCAACATTATTTTAATAATTATTTTGTTTTATAAATTCAAAATTGAATTTTAAAAAATTGCTTTTCATTTTACTCTTGAGGATTTGCACAATAGAAGATAGTGTTGCCTAGAATCGTCAACTTAATAATATATGTCAATTGTCAAAAATAATAACATGGGTCACAAAACATATCCTGAATATGCAAAAGAGTAAATCAATCATAACATTGTTTATCTCAGCGCTTCTGTATTACCAAATTTTTCTTTAATGAGGATTTACAATGATTTATACACAATTCGCTGTCTTTGAAAATATAATTTCAAATGTATTTGAAATGACATATTCTTCAAAAATTTCTAATATTCCTGGTCCCTACTACCATTCACAGATAAAAAATAACATGCAGAACAAGTTACCCTGGTTCAAGATCAGAAAAATCTTCAAAATCCTTCAATTTTCTCAAAACGCTTTCTTCTACTCTTTGCTGTAAAAAAATATGGAAAAATTACTATCATTTGTATTGAATGAATATTTATAACAAAAAATATGAATGTGACCAACTTGCTCAACAGTGGTTTTAGTCGGAGTGCCTTCGTCATCAAAAAAATCAGCTGGTGTCAATTGTCGAAGTGGTATTTCACCCACTTCCATAGTGAAACTGTGTTAATAATTAATATGCTAACCTGCTCAATCTTAGATGAAAAAAAAATGTGATATGAAAGTATGATTGCTGAAGGTATTTAGCACTTATGGCATTTGAAGGGAAATTTATATACAAAAAAAAGTTGCCCTTGAATTCATTGTAAAAAATTCAATGCAAAAGGAATATACAAAGTGGGAAATATGTTTAGTCTATACATTGAGAATAAATTCAAAAATATGATTATGATATCTTACATTCATCCAAAATTCGATAGAATACATTAATCATAATTTCCCATAATAAAACAATATTTTATTAAGGAATTGAATAGTAACTCCAAACTATAAATGACAATCTCCACTTAAAGATTTGTGTTATCATAAAGCAAAGAAAAAGAATATACAGATTACGCAACAGTATATTTGTAAAAATATATACAAATACTAAGGAATACTACATGTTTTTCAAATTCACACATTTCTAATAAATATGAATAAATAAAATGGTGAAATTATGAGGTTGAAAATATCCGCTACCCAACATTTTATCATTAAACAATCCCAATCAGGAATACAGCTCAATCACTATAAAATACAAGTAATTTGGCGCATGTTTATAAACATGCTCCAGTCACTAATATTTGACTAAAATCTAGTTGAAATCATTATATTTAATGACTTGATTGAGTTTGAATCTTGAGAAATGGCAAATCAAGTCCAACTCAAGTTGGGTCAATTACCCGCAGACCAGAGTCTCGCCTACTGAAATACAGTTGAAACCAGAATATAATTCATACTCTCTTTGGCACACGAGTAATAATAGGCTTTGGACGATTTTTAAAAATGATTTTCCTTTTAATAATTGCTCTTATCTCATATGATTTGCTTGCTTCAATTTCATCCTCATCAATTTCACAATTATTTTGTTTTGATTCGAACATAACTCCAAATGGTTTATCCAAGTCTGTTACTTTTCCTTGCAACATATGATGACCGATTATCATAATTGGTTCGCCAGTTTTTGAGAAATGTAAATCACCAAGTACATTGCCTGAAAGGCCGTTATCGTATCTTGATACAAGTTCACCTTGTAACTCAATCATAAACCATTCCTCCATTCCATCGGATTTACGAATTACTATTTGTACCATTATGATGTATTTATTTATTTAAGCACTAAACATAATGATAGCATTCAAATAAATTGTGAAACAAGAGAGCAATGCTCGAATATATGAATACGAAATCGCTCAATGAACAAAAAGCCTTCTAGACTAGCAACTTCTTTATATACTGATATACAAATACTACTGTACTAAAAACTGATATCTGCTGTAATAATGAGTTGTGAGTCATAATTGAAAACAACAGTCTGGTAGTTATCTACATACAGACATATCCACTTCATTATACATACAGACATAATATGTCTGTATAATGTAGTTCATTTCTGCAGCAAAGTTTTTAAACGCCTTTAAATGTCCAGAATGCACCCCAAGCAGATCAGTGGATAAAGAACATCTTTATTTTTTTTACAGATTTGGTATCTAACCAGCCATTCTAACTGATGGGACGAAAGTGATATTTTGCATTATTTGGGGTGATGTGTTTCAAACATTCTCTCATTATCTAATTGTAACTTATCGTGAATTTGTGCAAAAGACAGAAAGTTCAGATTTTCATAACAGCATCAGTATAATTTCAAAATTTTCTTTCATGTTGTATTGCTTTATTCAATGCAGCAATGATAAAATTCTTGGGTCTAGTATAGTTTGGTACCACAAGTACTTCCGGAGGGCGTAGCATAACGAATTTTGCATATGCTATTCCTAACCCCCACCTGACTATGCCATCCAAAAATTACGTCACTACGATGTCACCATCACGCCATAGGGATTGCCAAAGTATAATTACGATCGCCCGAAATGTCATCTGCGCCGCGAATAACGAACTTGCTAAAGCCGGCGATCTCTTTCCTATCGTTATCGTTGTGACGAGAAAACGGGAGAAATTGCTTGCTCGATTTCGGGTGATCATCTGCGCGTTTTGGACGACCATCCGCATACTTCGGTGGGCCTTATTACGCCACTGTGACGTCGAAATGACGTAATTTTTCGGTGACGTAGTCAGGTGGGGGTTAGGATTGACATATGCAAAAATTATTGAGCCAGGTCAACTAGAAGTACATATCTGCATGTGGTACTAAACTATACCAGACCCAAATTCTTAAGCGAGTTACATTCCGTATGAGGTTTACATCTTTAAGTGAAAAGCATTTTTTTCTTTCCCACACAAAACACATGATATCATTAGCCCAGACTGTCGTTAGCCTTTAATTAATTTGCCTCTCATTACCAGATCTTTACGCAATGCAGCAATGTTTCAAGCATTCGTCTTCGCGGTAACAATGGTTACCCACATTCAGAAAACCGTTAAAATCTCAACCCAAGCGAAAGTGACATTCCTCTTCAGACGACGACGGAGACTATTGAAAATTATTGAAAAATAAGATTATTATCCCTAAAATAACGCAACGCGCCAACGCGCGCAACAATTTTTTTCATTTAACCCTGCCATCTAGCATGTTCATCGTGAAGCGACCAATGAGGGTAAAGTAAACACGTGATAGATAGTTTGCAAAGACGTTTTGAATTCGGAAAGAATGTTAAAAACATGTTTAATTTACCTCTGTATTTGCTGTCTGGCAGTCATACGCGATTAATTTTGTATTTGTGACGTCATAATACCATATACTACGTTATAAAAGCATGGCGTTTGCCTATCATGAGTGTTAATTATCACATTCCTTCAGTAGTTATAATAAATGCAAGTACGTATACAGCCTCGCCACTGCATATTACATTCATTTTTACAATATTATAAGGCTGGTAGTTTACCGCGCAATATCGATAGTGTGGAAACGAGGTTGTCAGTCGCAGACAATTTTTTTCAGTCATTTGGCGCAGGCGCCATGTTCTGGCGCGGCAGTCTGAAGAAGAACATGCATTTTCGTTTTAGTATTTGGTTTATTGCGAATCAATCTATGGTTTTGCAAATTTTGTTGTTTAAAATGTAGTAACTGCGCCAGATTTCTTATGTAGTGGATATTAGCAGTCAATTTTTCATAATAGCTTTAGGTCCGTTGTTCACAAATTTGACGTGGTCATAAAAACGAAAAGTTAATACAGTAATAGATTGTTAGATGAATGCTAGTTCAGTTAATTATTAGGTCATTGTTAATCGACAGGCAACTTGCATCTAAAAGGCAACAGCAGTGCAGTGTTCCCAACCATGCGCAGAAATAGAGCTCCATAATTTATTTGCTTGGAATCAACGCTTAGGTGTTGATACGGCAGAAAGGTACGGTACCGTACTGTGGACGGCATGCTTTGCTATTTTGATGTTCACAATTTAGAACAATAATCGAAATATTTGATGATGGTTACTTCTACCCAGGCCAATATGGAAAATATCAAAACAGAATTCAGGTTTCATAATAACCTGGGTCCTGCCAGCACAGCTGCAGGTTGATCTGGACTGGTAAGACAGTATGGTCTTGATTCTAACCTTTTGTTATTCTGCTCATATACCATACACCGAGCTCATGCATCTGACACAAGTAGCTGATCATGGTTGCTGGGAAGTTCTGCTGTTTATTCTCTATGGATTAAAATAACGCATTATATAGGGGTATTCATTGAAATGGTGGGGATAATACAGATAGTACTGTAGCATGGTACAAGCATTCAAGCGGTTCTCTAGTCCCATAGTCCTTGCCCATCAATGACCCATGCCAAACATACAAAAGTTGTAGTTAAATGAACCTGTAAGAAAATTTATACACAATGGTTCAACCACTAATTGCTTATGATGACTTCTGCAATAATCCAATATCAAGAACCTGTGTCCCATATCTAACTGAATCCAATATTTTCATCATGATCTCACTTCTTATAAGCTTTCTTTTCTTAGAGAAAAAAAAATTTCTATCTCGACCAAAATATTGATTCAAATATTTTATATATAGATTTAAATTACCTTTCGTTTTTTCAACTATATCAAAGTGTTAACTGTGATTGCCTTAATATAAGAATCAAATGAAAGAATGAAGAATGCCTCGTTGTTGCATCCCATCATGCAAGAGAACTACGACCAGCACCCATTATTTTCCCAAAAATGAAGCAAGACGTACCAGATGGATTGAATTTGTTCAACAAATCAAACCTGACTTTGAACCATCTCCTTGGGTGGCGATATGTGGTGCTCACTTCGAGAACAACTGTTTTGTTAGAAATTTTATAATTCAGAATCAAATGGGTTTCAAAAACCAACGTCGAATACTGCATGATGATGCTATTCCATCTTTGATTGATCCCGACGAAGTTTGTTTAAATTTATATTTTTCATTATTTAACAAATTTATTTGAAGCAATGGATCAACCGGCCAGTTGACTTAAAATTATCTTTTTTGTTCTGTGATAAAAAATCAAAAGCATATAAACATATTAGCACAATTTTGGGCGCTTCTGTAGTATGTTTACTAAGATGGCGGACACCGGAGCGTAGTATGTGTACCAAGTTAGGACATAATTTTATTCCAATTTTCCGTATTTTAGTTCTATTAGGAGTTTGGGGACGCGCCAAATCACTCCCTTAGTATTTGTACCTAAAATTATGATCTATCCTGGTATATATATAACGTTCCAGACCCGGTGTCCGCCGTCTTGGTTCACATACTACGGAATAACCCTATTTTGTTGTCGAGCATAGCAATATATTGCTTGACATGACACATTCATATATCGCGTATTCAATTTATGTGCGTATTTAAGAAAAAACGCTTTGTTTATTCAGGCTGAGTCTTCAAGATGTTATTATAGAAAGGAAGTACCGGTAAATGTGAAACGAATGCGAAATATTGCCCCGAAACCGAAGTCATTAAACCTCAACAATAATACAGGAGATTCTTTGGCACAACAGGTTATCATTTGAAATTAACGCATTAATATTTTATTGTTATCTGGGTAGTTTCATTTTTTACTTTGAAATGCTATATAATAAAATTCAACAATTCTCTTTTTTTGTATTATAGTACTAAATATTTCATCAACTCACTACAAATATAAAACTGAGTATTTAAATTGAAATAAAAAAATTGTATTTTAGATTCCAATACTGTTTCTACCTAACAATGCTACAGCTGGAAAAACCACGGTTGGAAGAATTGTTATTCCTCAGCAATCAGATAAGAAAGCGGAAGAAAATATGAATCACTCTACCAATCCTAGTGGAAACATGCCTCCATCAGCCAATGACATCACATCATCTGGACAAGTTACTATACCTTTTCAAATAGTTAACTCAACGCCTTCATTAATAGTTAACAACCAAGAAAATATGAATCATTCTATCAATCCTAGTGGAAACATGCCTCCATCAGCCAATGACATCACATCATCTGGACAAGTTACTATACCTATACAAATAGTTAACTCAACGCCTTCATTAATAGTTAACAACCAAGAAAATATGAATCTTTCTACGAATCCTAGTGGAAACATGCCTCCATCAGCCAATGACATCACATCATCTGGACAAGTTGCTATACCTTTTCAAATAGTTAACTCAACGCCTTCATCAATAGTTAACAAACAAACTGGGCAAAATGTAAATTTTTTATCGGGATCGAGTAGTGCAGTGCAGAACATTGCCACATCTCAGCGAACAATTTCAATGCCTGTGAAAAACTGTGTGATAAAACCAATTATTGTAAATGTCAAAAATAAGTTCATGAATAGTATCCGTGTTTCAGAAAAGTTTAAAGCCCCACCTTCAATTCCATCAGCAAGTGTAATAACCAAAACTTGTCTAAATGCGAAATTAACAACTTCAGGAGACTTGAAGAAGGAATATCATAAGGTACTTTCAGTCAAATTACATGCTAAAAAAAAAAATTTCTTGACATTGTACGAATGATTTCTTCTTAATAGGCATATACTTTTCGAACCAAACTGATTATCTACTATAATATCAGCTCAGCTATAATATTTATTTTATTCTTTTCTTATTTTAACTTTTGTCCACTTCTCAACTGAACTTTTGGTTATTGCCGATCAATATAGGTCACAAATATATTTGTCGTATTCACTATGTTAGGTTTCCTTAAATGGGTTTCAGTAATTCTGTACATACAAGTGGTTGCTTGTCTATAGCCTTTTTCACGGAAATGCTGTGAAATTGAGAATTTTCAATCTCAATTTTTTTAACATTAGAATAGTGCTTACAACTCGCTTATCAGTTTCGTTAAGTGACCTAAATATTTATATGATATCCAATCTTTCATTTTCCAGATAAAGCCAAAAGGTTCTGAAGCTAAAACTGAATTATTTACACTTGATTACCTGCAGCAAATGCCACTGAAAGATTTGGTCGACTCATTTACTAGCGAAGTTAGATTGAAAATGAAAAATTCTGACATGAAGGCACTCAGGTTACTTACTAATAATGTATTTTGAGTTTTTTAAAAACTGTAATTACTCTAGGGTGCGCTCATGAAAAACATTTTTATCCCTCAACAGTCAATTTCTCTATGAATTCCTGGCAAATGAAAAATGGAAACAATAGATTAGATATTCCTCATGAATTACTTTGTATATATTTTGTATGATGGTCTGGTGCAGGGCTACTCAACTGGCGGACCGCGGTCCGAATCTGGACCTTTTGAGTATTAAATTCGGACCGCAGACGTGTTTGTCTCTGAATGCATCATTTGGTTTTAATTTCATAATCCTGACGTAATTGATTTTCGCTGCTAAACCACCAAGGAAAAAAATGTCAGAGCACCGAAGCGCGATATTGAGCATTGCTCTTGTATTTTGTCAAACGATGCATCGAATTTTCGTTTGCATAGTTGAAATATATTTCTTGAATGACCAGACCCGGTAATTTTAAAATTTTGTCTACGAACCTTCGGTGAAAATAGTAGAGTAGCCCTGGTCTAGTGCAAGGGTGTGCAACCTCTCATACCGGAGGTCCAGACACAAATAACAGGGTGAAACCGCTGGACCTTTTTTTAACATAGGCGTTCTAGTAGTTGCAGGCACAAAAACTTTAGTTATTGATTTTATGACTCGCATCGCACAATCTCGCTGTTAGGCCATTGCAACGACATAGCCATAGATAATTAATTGGAAAGAGAAATAGGCTTTGCAACGTAAAGGGATTGTACCCGCATTTGCTGGATTAAACTGAATTAAAAACTCATTTCAACTGTCGCACACGGCGCACACCATTCAAAATTGGCAATTTTCTGCGGGTCTCACAATTTTCCCTAGTGGGCCGCATTTGGCCCGCGAGCCGCAGATTGCACACCCCTGGTCTAGTGGTTAGAACAGTAGACCTAGCCATGTTGGCGTTGTAGGTTAAGATTTCAAGTTCATATACCATGTCCACCCAGAGTGGAATAAAAGTGAATAGATTATGGTCCTTCCAGAAAAAGTAGTTTCTTGCGTATACCGGTAAGTGTCCAATTGTTCAGCACAAGTTAATAAGATCTGCTTCATAAAAAACTTTCAGTTTCAGTTTCACTATTTTTTCTGTTACAGATGTAAAATGGGAACATGTTCCTTTGTTATCTCTTGTCCTACTATCAATGAATGTGCAAATTTAATGCAGGGTCATATGAAGAGACATCTTGAATCATTTGTTGAGCAAACTACCAGAGGTGAGAACCAACTAGGAACAAATGAGATTTAAGCAATCACATGTCCAGAACTTTTCATATCCATTTTTCAGTACAACATATCAGGATTTAAGGTATATTTTGAGAATCACATATTTTGAATATAGCTCCCGTAGCATATATAAGCCGATAAAGTTAAAAAAAAAGGTTCCCAAACTGAGAGGTCGGCTTATACGCATAACTCTGATCATACACAAACGAATATAATGTTTACTTCATTCTAACAGATATATTTCAAACCATTTGTATGGTCGGCCTATATGCGAGTTTTTATAAATTCACTTTTTAATAGGTCGGCTTATATGCACTGATATATTGAGTTAAATTATGCTCAATTAATATAGAGCTAATGACAGGTTTAGATTATAAACTCCATTTAAAAAAAAAAAAGGAATAGCTCACCCAGCCAATTAAGTGAATCGCAATGTCATTTATTCAAAAATTGGGGGCTCAGATTTAAATAATTGTCTGATTGTTGGTGCTATGGGTTAGACCCTGTTACTTTTGATCACACTCAGTCTGAAGTAAAGAAAACCCATCTCTGGGCAAAGTAATGGCTGACTACTGTTATTCCCAGAGCTACTGGAACTTCATACATTTATGGGTGTTTATTAAGCGCCAGTAAATGGTGATTTTCTGACTTGCACCTTTTTGTCGAGATATCATGATACTAATCTCAATCAAATAATTAGGCGAGAATCTGGGATGGTGGTTCTCAAACTTTTTAAGCTGTGCTTCCTTTTTAAACTTTGTCAAGTCTCGCACCCCACCTCAAAAATAACTAGCTGACAATAACCTACAAATAACAGATAGCAAGGCGAAAGTATGTTTCATACAAAAAACACGCTGAAAATATGTGGATGGAATCGCAATCTGTGAACAATAAAAAAAAATGTAAATATCTAAAAAAGTCAGGCAAGCTCAAATCTAACAAATATTTTTAATAAGCTCCACATCCCCTCAAAAAATTGTCCCCACCCCCTTTGTGGAGCACACCCACCGCTTGAGAACCACAGATCTGGGAGTTACCTTGTGTTGAGTCCTATTTCCAAGTTTGGGACGATATTGAGATATATAGTGTGAATAACTTATCTTTTCCTATTTAATATATATTTCAGATCCATCCTCTCACAGAAAATTGATCTTTTCCAGAGTTGAACCAGGCTAGTTAATACAAATTTATGAATATTTTACCTAAACTCAATGATGTGATAAACAGGACAAATTTAACTGTTTTTCATTCGATGCATTTTCACACCAATCTAGATGGGAAAATTTTTAGCCCCTGATCTATGACCCTCGCCCACCTCTCATTAGGACTCGTTACATAGGAGCTTCATATGCAAATTTATTTTTCAGATCAAGGAATAGAGGGTGAATCATCTGTCAGTATCATGAATGATATAGTTGAAAACCGAATGACTAATTATGGGGTGCAAAATAATACGACCGGACTACATAAAATTGGAGGCTGGAAGTTGCTGGGACCTACTAGAAAAAATCATGCAGATAAACAACGAAAAACACTAAGCCCTAAAAAGTATACGTTAATTATGGAAAAGTCTAAAATAGCAGCTGAGTTTGCAGCCTGTCCTACTCAAGAGAATCTTGCCTTGCTTCTCCAGCCCTTAGTAAACTTGTTGCTTCCTGCTGAAACAAATCCCACAACTGAAGACGATGATTCTAGTATGCCGATTATAACGAAAATAAGAGGCTCGGTGCCTAGAGAAGAGCCAAATGTATCACAATCCGAACAAACTGAGATAGAAAAAAATTGTAACAATTTGATTAGTAATTCCAATGTGGACTTTACTTCTCTTTTCGAAAGTGCTGATTCTTCTGAACCCGATAATCAAAATGAGAAGAATGTATCAATTAATACTAACGTGGACAATATAATTGAAATCAAAAGTGAACCTTCTGAAGATGATTTAGTTAACTTTAATAATGAACTCCTTTCTGACACAACAAATGATTCACTTGCACTGAATAGCACTCATCCTGCAGTCAGATCTGATAGAGAAAATCTGTTTTCTGGTATGTGGGATTTAAACTCAACTCATTCAGATGGCAGATTATCAGACGTTGAGAGTAGTTGTGATTCCCAGCTCGATATTCGAGGAATTGTTGAAATTGAGAATCGAGAGTCTGAAGAAGAGGCATCTGAGTATACCAGAAATAAAAAACCAGACAAAAATGAAACATCCAACAATATTTTTTCTTTGCTAAGTGAATCATGTTCAAATTTTGAAACTACCTCTGACGAAGAACATTCAAAGTCTTTACCAGAAGATGAAGATAAAAGTTTTTTATCATCACCAAGTAAAATAAATAATACGGAAATATCAAATACAAATATTATTGACTATGGTAATATATTTGAAAATATAGAGCGTAATGTTTTCGATACTGTTACAACTACACAGCCTCGTGTGAATTCAAAGGTAAAGTATTCTAGTAATAAAGTCAAGGATGTATCAAATAACAAACATCCTGTTATGCAAGGGAAGGAAGCTTTTCTGTCTATACTCGGTTTGCAGAAAATTTCTTTATCCAAAGAAGAAGAAGTTGATCCTTTTGTGGTCAAACCACCACTTTTTCGTACAAGGCTGCAAAAGAAAACTGCTGTCCTTGAACGGAATATTCGCAAAACTAAAGAACAGTTGACACCACAGGATGTAGAGCTTGAAATACAACCTTTATCACAACTTAATGATGTCTCTAAATCAAAGACTTATTCAAAGTTAAAATCTGTGAATCGAAAACATTTGCAACGTCGTGCATCTTTAAATCATTTTTTATTGAATCGTTTGAACGATACTCCTCGTGGACCTTGTTCTATTGAGTACAATGATATCAAAGGATATAATTTGCGTAGAGCCAATTTGCTGAAAAAACGTGCCCATGATCAAGCTAAATTTAATTCACAATCAAAACTGTGTACCAATGTCGAACCTGGTACAAAAAAGACTGGTTCTACTTTGCAAAGGAACACTTATAATCCAGTTGGGGAAATATTAAGACTGCCTATGGAAGGAATATTAGCAATTTACGAAGAAGAACGCGAGTTTGCTAGGAAACTGTCAGAAGAAGTACGCAAACAAACCAGATTAAAAAATGATTTGGATTTGGAAAAACAGCAAGAAGAAGAAAGGCTGCAAATAGAAGAGCGAATGAGACTTAAAGCAATCCCTGTTGAGAAATTAGTACCATCGGACAAAATTGTTTATAAGAGAAAACTATTACCACCTCGTCCCAGATCACCTTTCAATATGCCACAGGACCCTTTACCAATCACTCGTAAAAAACGAAAAAAGCTTAAACGTGTTAAATCAATACCTCCTCCCAGAGAAATCATAGTCAATGGTAAATCAGTACTTATAAAACATGAACCAGTGTCTGATTATGAGGAATCATCATCCAGTGGTGCTACTTCGAACAATGAGAGGTATGTATAATGAAGGATTTTAAGGTTATTTCAAGTTGAAAAATAAACTATTTTTACATTTGTCGTTACAACTTTCAAAAAAATTTTCAGTATCAGAATTTGTTTAGATTGTTGCACCCTACCTGTCATAATTCATTATTAAGCAGGAGTATAGTGTAAATCGCAGACACATAAATAAATCAGGGCCCTGACTGCTTGGATAGATATTTGTGTTCATAAAAAAGTGTTTTGCTTTTGTGTCATGCATCAAACACATGATACGAGAAATGGTATTATGAGATTACGCAATGGCCGTGATTGATACAGATCTAATCTGAAAGTTTTGCATGTGTATTTTTTAATCATAATCCTTGTTTTTCATAATTTGCAAGCACTGTCTACACACCGAACTTGTTTTATAAAAGTTTGTGCCCAAAGCAAGGCATTCAGATGCAGAAAGACTACTCATAGCGATAGTAATGCAAATTTGCGCTAAATTTTTTCATCTGCGAGATATCCTAGATATATGTTATAATACGGTATCTTGACTTAGATACAGCTACATCCCAGGTGGTCTACTCGTACAATTCTAGTCTAGATATTTTGTCTGAAATTCAAGCTTAGATTTGTTTTATTAAATCGTTTGTAGTGATGAAGATATCAATCCTGTTGCAAAGAAAAAGAAACTTACGGTATCGAGCTTATTATATCAACGACGGAAAAAACTTGTCAAACCAAGTGATATCTTGCTCGATACGCAGTCTAGTTCAGACAATGATGATCATGTGAATTATCGTGATTCTGGAGATGATTTCGTCTACCAATCTGACCCAAGGTAAAATGTCTGGTTCACACCTTGTATAAAATTTGTGATCATCTGGAGTTACTGGTAGAAATGCAAAGATCACATTTTTCGTAAAAAAAAATGTGGAACCATTGTTTATAACTTTTTTCTAAACAATTAATAATATTGGAAAATCACTAATCATTCCTACCTCACATTATTGGGTTTCAACTGTATTCAAATATTTTATTTTAAATTGGTTCTATCATATATATTTTTCAGTTGCCATTCAGATTCAGACAATAGTGTGGAAGTTCAAGTTCATATGGACAGTAATGAACCTCCACAAAAGGTATTGTCTTCTCCTGAATATCGTTGCAATCATAAAATATTGTGTAAAAAAAGTGGCATCAGGTTTGATTTCAGAATGCAACAGTTACTATGCAGTAGTGGACAGGTGGCATTGTAGACAGAAGTGGATATATCATGGAATCAATGATCACGATTAGCACTTCTTATGTGTTTTCCTATGTGAAATTGTACACATACACTGATATTTTGTCACAGGATGGTATAGAAATTTTACATTGTTACTATTACTATTAATAGAAAGTTTTGCAAGGGTAGTTTAAGTTCAAAAATTCAATGAAGTTGGAAAATGTTTTATGTTTTTCAATATACTATTATGTATGTTATAGCAAAAACTCAGGATTACAGTTGAAGATGGCAAAAAGCGTGCTTGCTTTAAAACCTAACATTAATATTATTCAAATGAATATTTTTGAATAGGCAACTGTAGCATATTGATAAGCCTATCTAATTATGTTCAGATGTGTTTTTTTTTATTCCAAGCAACAAAGTCACTTTTCCATAGCCAGGATATTTGATAAAATAATGTCACAATTTCAAATATTTATGTCTCAACCATTCAACTTTTATATACTTGTTCTATCTTTTTCAGGTTTAAGTAGTTACACATATCATGAATACAAATTCTCTGTTCTTTATTTATATTTTTTGTTTGAAATGGCTTTTAAGTGCAGATAAGCATTTTGATGTTAGATCTTTCATACGCAGTGTAAAAGTTTGAACTAAGAAAGGATAATTAATGACAGTCAGAAAGTTACTATACAGGGTGTTCATGAAGTGTTGTCACAGTTTCAAGTTGTTACGAAGTTATATATCCTAATATATACCAGTATATATATCTTATCCAGGTTTCTTTAATTTTAATCAGTGCTTATTCACATTTTTTTACTGATTTAATACAACAGTAGGGACCACAAATTAAACATGGCATGATGCCATGGAAATTGAATAATTCCCTGAAATTTAAAAATTTTGTAGACTTTATGAATACCCTGCATGATTATTTGTAAAATCGTTTGGATTTAATTTGCCCTATCTGTACATGCTAAATTTTCATACTATACATGGTGTTAAAAAAGTTATGTAAAATTAAGGTAAAATTTTTCGTCATGGCAACTTTAAAAAAGTAACTGTTAAAAAGCGTCATTCGTGAAATGTTGAAATGGCATTTCACCGTTATTCAATACTGTTAAAAGGTGTCAGTCATTGAATATTTTACGTAGCATTTCATCGTTACTTCTGTAAATTTTGCGTTATTTTTTCAACACCCTGTATATTAACATATAATGAATTTATATGTATGAATTTGCAGAATGTAAAGCCAGTTTAGATACTACATAGCTCAATATGCATGATAATCAATCAGTTTATATTTTGAGATTTGTTGCTTTTAATTAGTTACATTAATAAGTAATGGAAAAAATAGAAATTGATCGAAGATAAAAAGCTCAGGAGAGGAAATACTTTGCAGGAAAAGGTGTTTCTAGAAAGTGCTAGGCAGATGTCAATTGTGAGTACAGAGCAGTTTTTTTTTATGTTACGAATTACGAGGTGAATTTTTTTTCAACTTTTTATTTGTTCCAGGAAAAAAGGTTGGTTGAAATAGAGAAAGAAGCTGAAGATATTCTTGCTCCGTTACTTACCAATCAAGATATTGCCATCATTGGATTCACGAATGATCACTCCTATTATCATGTAATGTGTTTTGATAGTTTGTCATTATTATGCATTCTTGCATATTAATTAGTCAAATGCAATCTGAGGGATGAAATTTCCATATTTATTTCTCGGAGAGTGAAGCCAATAGGACAACCTAAAGATATGGAGAACTGTTAGCTCTCTGTTATCTAGTCCATGTTAGGCATTGCGTTGATAACTGACTAATAGGTGTGTGAACCCCCATATGACAACAAGGAGTTCAGAAATCGTCTCACAGGAAATTAAGTCCCTCGGGGGGGTGTTCACACCTGCGAATCAGTGGTGTGGCTGCAAGCTTTTTCTTAACGCTCTGGCATTTGTCAAACATAAGTTCAATGAAAAAATACTAGATGTATTCAATTATTATGTCAGACAAATTTTATCTCTTCTAATTTTGTCATTCTATAGCAAGGAGAGAAGATGGGCAGAATTCAACCAATTATGGATCCATACATGTGAGTCGGTGTTTTTTATTTTATATGTATAGCATAATTTACTTTTCTGAATATTAGTAGGTATCAGATATATATCTGTGCAGGGTTTTCATTTTTTTCTCAGTATTGGATATATTGTTCTTTATGGGATCTATCTTATCAGTACATTATCTAAACCTGAAATATTTATTATTAGATTTCATATTGAATTATCATTTGTTCATTTTATTTCAGTACAAATGTGATGAGAGGTCCAACTGGAAACCAAACCACATTAAGTGAATCACAGATTAAGGAAAGGGTAAGATAATTTTATATACAATAACAGTTTAATTAATTCCAATTGTTTTTAACTTCAATGGCTTAGTCACTAAAGCCTTGACTTTACCTAAGTTGGCAATTGGCATTACAAGTCGAAACTTCCCATGAGTTTCCATACTCATCACCTCATTCATGTCGCAATAAATTTGGCTGACAGAGCCAAATTGGAAAGATTCTGGTCTTTCATTAAGTCGTAGCTTCTTACAAATCAGTTACTACGTTTGTTTGAAATTGTTAAGTTCGACGACATCACCTGATAATAAAATTCTGCTTAGTAATTTCTGTCATTTATTAAAAAATCGTAGGACATGAAATTTCTCACTGTTTTTTTTGTTTAACACAGTTCAGTCCCACCTTGGGAAATTCCACGATGTTGGTTGCAGCAAACTGAATTATTTGTTTCATATCCATTTTACTGCTGCTGCCCTAGTTTTTTGCTGTACATTGAAGTATGATGTATTGCTGAAAGCACTGGGCTAAATGAAAGCTTTGCATATATTAGATAAAATGATATTGAAAGCTCAAATCTCATTTTTAATATGTAAAGCAACAAGGTTATTGTTTCGGCAATTTCCTATTTACCGGTATGTATATAAAAAACACTACTTGATCTTATTTGATCAGGATATCATCCTGAAATGATAGTAAACTAAGCATGAGCGTTTCGATTTCAACGCTATGAAATGCAATTTATTGGAAATGATGTGTCTTGAACGGATATATGATACTTTTAAATGATATCAATATTCCGCGATTCTGATCCACTTGACATTATAACAGTTGTTGTTGGTTTTCGCTATTGCTTCTAATACAGACGTACTGAATTAATAATATAATCTATTTGTTTTAGGAAAATGCATTGGAATATCTGAAGCACCTTAAATACACTGAAAATAGCAGAGCTGAAATTTCCACCACAGGAGAGCAACTTGTTGAAGATCTTGTTTGTAAAATTTGCCAAAAACGATTTTCAGCTACTAATTCATTATACTATCATTACAGGAGTCATGCTGGTTAGTCCTTAAGTTATTTCAATGTTTGCTGATTGTGGATTTATTGAACATTTTAGTGAAATAGGTATATATGCTATCTAGTTTACAAATTTGACTTAGTTGTTAGGTTTTTGTGTCTCTATTTCGTAAATCGCTATTTCTTGTTTGTAGGTGTGAAACCATTCAAGTGTGATATTTGTGCCAAGTCATTTACTCGTCTTCATAGTTTAAATTATCATAAAATGATTCACGACAACAGGACGAGGTTTCAATGCAGGTATTGTGGGAGAGGATTCAGACATCCAACACATTTTAAGGTAAACCTGAATACACTTTCTTGTGTACGTTTCGCTAAATTCCTGAATTTGGTAGAAAAATTCCCCTTTCTCCGTAACTAAAGGACCAATTAATTCCAATTTTTCACTACTCAGAGATGGAAAATTTCACTAGATAGCTATTGTTTTTTGTTTTTTTTTTCGAATTTTTTACGAGTCCACGAGAGCGAATATTCTGCTATCATATTTTGATTAGAGGGGAGTACTTTTATTACCAGACAGTTCTTCTGCTTCCAGATTGTTTCTCCACCAAATTTTTCAGAAAGGCCTCACTATACTGGTACTAGTGGTACACCTCTGGACATATTTTGAGCCTCTGGACATATTTGAGCATTGCTTGTTTTTATGTTATATTTCGCATTTTTTTGTCGGTGAAATTTGATACTTCTGTTTTTCTGAATGTATTATGAACCTTGACTGAAGATCATGACTGTTATTTCTCAACCTCAGAATTTTATTTTTTGTTGATAGGAACATCTGCATAAGCACACTGGAGAGGAACCATATGAGTGTTCGTACTGCGGACGAACTTTCAAGACAAGTAACACATTAAGAAGACACAAACGAAGAAGAAATTGTTCAAAGGCTCGTTGTCAACCAAAAAAAACTCTTCCACTGAGCTTATCTACAGCACCTGTATCACCCATACAAATTACATCGTCCTCACCACCCCTCCCTGACTCCCCACCCCCACCGACCTTGCCCATAAAACCATTTTCATTTCCTCAAGGTCAGGCTGTCAAACTTGTGTTATTTCCGAAAAATGGAATATCAAGAGTACAACTCTGCGATGATTAATTTACTGTATGCTTGCAGCGTCGGGCGCAAGTCCTGAACCATTGACTGGAGTCGATATGCTGTTCATCGATGTCTCACTTGCGGCGAGTTGATGACGAGTTTGAATCATTTCCTTAGATGACTCCAGCCACTTTTGAGTGTTTGATAAATGGTAACTCAGTCCAATCCGAGTTGATTCAATGACTTGGGCCTCCCCCGCTTGTACTGTATGGAGAAATGTATTTGATTTTTGATAGGAAAATGCGTGTCAGCCGTTCTGTTAAACAGGTGGTGGAATTTTCAGGCACTGTGATATTTTGGTACATTGGAAAAGATAACTTTGTGATATACTGATGTAATGTAATGAGGGCTGAGAGGTATAATCAAATCTGTAGTCTTCAGCCATGTTAAATATTTTTCCAATTAAATACGTTCTGTTTGTTGCTGAATGAAATATATGCTTTGATGAACTGTTTAATATTTTTTCATTCCAATTGTAATATTTCACAACAAACGTTATAGCTTTCACTGTTCCTCACAACTTCTATATTTTTTATTGCATTTGGGTTTAATTGTTTTAGAATTCGATTGTATGCTTTATTTACTATCTTTTATTTTCAAGACTAATAAACATTTGCAACAGTGAATCCACCCTAACATACCTCTTTGCTTCTGATGACAATAAAATTGTATTTCTGTTTTGCAATTTAGATATCGTTTCTGTTTAGATTTAGATTTTTAGATGAGTGATTATCAATTCTTCTCAGGTTCAAGCTTATTTCGATTTCCCACGAAAACATGGTTGAAGAAAACGAAATAAAAACAAATGAGTAGCGCAAAACGATTCAAATTCGAGTTATCTAGCTGTTAACAACTGCCATGCAAACGGCGTATGCGGATTCTTAAAATGAATAGCAGTTCAGGTGATGGGTCTTAGGTGCAGAACGGCTTGCAAAAAATTGAAAGTGTCTCTTTCCATGATATGTTTGTTTCTGTCTTGATTTGATATCACCAAGCTTTAACAGGGGCGGAATACCCATTGGAAGAAACTATAATAGAGGTGACGAATTCTATTACGTTATTATGACTAGGGGTTTCAGGCTAACTATTTGCGTGACCGACACCCGTGGACCTATGAATAGTTTTGTTCTTCTTATTGTGAAAAGCACATTTTCATCATAACTTCTGCACCAATTGAGATTTTCAGTGGTCAAAGTTTGTCGTTGTTTCTGAAAGCCTATTGCATTTATTTATTTTTAAACTTCCAAACGTTTTAGAGTCGACATATCATCTTTCGGATTTCCAAGGTTGCAATATTTATAATATCTGTTTTTCACACACAACCTAAAAACAAAAAGCACCTACTTCCGATGACACCATTGTGACAAAACGATGGCTATTTTTTCCAACACCAACAATGGTCCTTTTCAACACCTTGCGCATTATAGGCTCCTTATTTATAAATTCTCATTGCTCACCCCGTTTCAACCGTTCAATACGATGTAGTCTTGAGAAAAGCGCAGGGGTTCGACGTTCTCACAGAGGCTAAGAACCACTGGATTACTGTATTTGGCTGTCTCTGAATATTTAGTTGATTTTTACCCTGCGTTACCCACGTGCTGTCCAAGCGCTTTGATGAAAGTCCAAATATCTGTTAGGTTTTAGTTCGCGCGTATACCAGAAGAGAAAAAAGATGAGAAAATTTCATCTTGTTTTTGAATAAGTTGTTGCGCGACGATGTATAATAATGCCAGACTTTTTAGAAGACTAACATGGGGATATTACGATCTCATCAAAGCTCGCTTGTTGACCCAAAGTCGTTGCTTTAGTCTCTGCAATTTTGTGAGGGCAGAATCGCTCAAGGAGCACTCGCAAAAACCAATAGTAACACGCGCTGAACAACATGGAAAGGTGGCAGATTTCGAACGCGCTTTGTTCAGAAGATTAGAGCAAGCTGGATTTAAGAGATCTAGAAGATTTTACTGGACGGTTTGGACGTTAACAGCGGCTGCAGGTTTGCTACTTCAGGCTCGAAAGGTGCCTTCGTTATGCTTAAGTGTGAATAAATTATTCAAATCACTTGAACTGATTGATGTATAGTATGAATATAAGTTTATTTCCACTCCATAATCAGCATAATAGACGAGGAAATAATTGATAAAAAAATAAAAACTGATTATAGAATCGGGAGAGCCATCAAAACCTTACTGCCTTAAAAGTAAGGTTTAAAAAATAGATTTTAAAGTGAAAAGTGTAATTGAAAGAAGTAGTATGTGCACGCTCACCCAAGTAGTATGTTTCTAACGTTTAACCTAGCCGTCTATATTTGAACTCAAAAGATTTTTCATGATTTTTGTACTTTAAATTACAATATCAGAATCTCTTTTTCTGTTTTTTTTCGCAGTGTTTGGTGGTGGATATCTCTACTTCTTTCCTCACAAATTACGACAGCAAGTTGTTGAAGAAGTTTCCACCGTAGCTAGTCAATCATTAGAAGATGGTAAAATTGTTACAAAGGCTGGTCAACTTTCAAAAGATGTTCTCAGTGGAATACTGAATGATAAGGAAACCAAAGTTGTAGCCTCCGATTTTGTCAAAGGTGACAGTTTCTGTGTATTCATTAAACTGATGACAATAACTTTGCTGCTTGAATTACAGTTCGTGGAGAGAGGGTTGTCATAGATTCCTACAAAAAATTTTGCACAGATATACTATAAAAAAAATTGAACTTAGATTCCAGCTTCAAACTCTTGAGTTAACCAAATTTTGATAACTTTGGCAAGTGCAAACCTTCTCAATAGGTTGTTTAGAATGTTGATTGTGTTTAATTCATTATTATTGAGTTTCTGATTATCACCTTCAAAAGTCCAACATCATAGAATTCAAAATTTTAACTTTGAGTATTGACTGACTCCGATACCAGTAAAAACATGCTTAATCAGACTCCACAGTCAAAAAGGAACTGTGTGGGAATTAATTTTTTTGCACTAGGGTTTTATAATAATGCTGATTGTTATTCTTATGAATATATATTTTATGCAGATGTAATTGTAAGTGATCCGATCAAAGAAGCTGCGATTGGGACCATTTTGGGCTTGTTGAATGATCCAAAAGTTTTACACCTACTACGAATAAGGCTTTCCGTATGTGTTTATTATTAATAATTTCTTAATTCTAAATACACCTGTATGTAGCATCATTGGCAACAGGGCTGTAACAACATTTAAGGCATTACAATACAATTTATCTTTATCAGTTCATTTCTCACAAATTGTCTCTTTATAACGGCTTCTTTCGGAATTGTATCTACACAGTCTTTCTTTGCAGGAGATTATACTGGATATTCTTCAAAGTGATACAACAAAACAAATTGTAATTTCACAAGTTAACAGTATTTTACAACATGAAAGTGTAAGAACATCACTTCAGAAGTTGTTGCAAGATCTGATTGACACTAAAGAGGTTAGCCTTCATTTTCTTTTGACTAGATATATTATAATATTGATAGGTTAATTATTTGTTCAGAATACATAATATGATTTACTGATATCATTTTTTCAACATGTGTTTCGATTGCTTCAAATATTTGGTTTTGTGATGACCCTTGACGACTGTTTTCGTGCAGTGTTAATGTGAAAGGTGTTGTGTGCCAACTGGCATCTCTCACAATATTAGATAATTCAATATGTTGCCATTTGCCAAGCTGTCAAGTCTTTATTTTCACTTTTGGTGTTCCTTACTTTGTGTTGAATCTTCTGACACACATTGAATATCTACATTTCAGGTGAAACTATTGATGGCTGATTTCTTCAAAGATGTTCTTGCGTCTGACACTGTAAAAGATCAGGGAAAAATACTAGGCCAGCAAGTTACAACTGATGTCATTACTAGCAAAGATATACAGGAGCAAGCAGGCATCGCATTATGGTCTGCTGTTAAGTTTTCAGTCATTCCTAATATGTTCAAATCAAGAAGTCCAAATAAAACTGATGATGATATTGATAAAACTGAGACTGAGGACAATGATGAAAAAGCTAAAGCAGATGAAACTGTGGACGATAAAGAAGGTGCAGATTCTGATCATCATACACCTCAACCAGATGTACAATCCTCTAATAATGATGACAATGTTATGTTGTATTATACAAAGGGCAAAACATATGATGGGTATTCAATAGATGATGTAGGAGACACTTAACTATAAAGCAACTAATACAGAGTTTTTTTTGTGTTTTGTGCACTGTGCAATGCTAATATATGTACAAATTCGCTGCAAAGTGGAATACTTTATTGCTGTTATTTAATTTATTATTTATTACACCTAAAAATATTCTGTGATTGAATTTTTACAGGACATATAATACATTGTTACGTATACAGTTATTATACCTGATATAACCAGAATGTCATTGTCTGAATTTGCTGACCAAGTAAATCAAAAGCCACTCAAACGTCATAAGAAGGACGAGTTTTTGAAGCAAAAAGTTCAGAGGAAAAAGTTTAAAGCAGAAAGGAAATTGAAAAAATTAGAAAAACAGATTGTGAAAAAGAAATCACAAACACAGGATATGATTGTGATTTCAGAGGAAGATGACGAAGCAGAAACAAATGGACGAGATTACACAATTAGTATTGCTCTTCCTGGTTCAATTTTAGACAACGCTCAATCTCCAGAATTGAGGAGCTACCTAGCTGGACAAATTGCTCGAGCATGTGCAATTTATCAGGTATGTATTTTATTCAGTTTTCAGCTACGAGCTTGATTAGTCTTTTAGCTATCCTTACTGCACCCCCCAACCATTTATCATGAATGTTCATAACAACCTTCTTTCAAGCACTGGTACTTTTTGGTCTCTAATTGAAAAAAATAGGTAATTTTGTTTGAATGTCCAAACTTTACATGATTTCGAATTATGTTTTCCAACAGTATATCATAAATTACTCTGATTAGAATATCTCCCGTTGTTTCCTGGGCATATGTTCTGGCTTCCCACAAACCCTTTTCTGTTAACTTAACAATACACATTAAATTGTCGAATTGCAGGTGGATGAGGTAGTTGTGTTTAATGAAGCAGACTCTGACAAAAAGGAAAGCGTCGAAGGAGAGTTCAAAGGAGTAGGAAAAAAAGGTGACGGATGTGTTCAACTCGCTAGAATCCTACAATATTTAGAATGTCCTCAATATCTGAGAAAATTCTTCTTTCCCAAGCATCCAGACCTGCAGTATGCTGGATTACTGAATCCCCTTGACAGTCCCCATCACATGAGAATTGATGAAGATGTTCCATTTAGGGAAGGTGTTGTTTTAGATCGTCCGACCAAAGAGGGAAAAGGTTCTTTCGTGAACTGTGGTGCTGTTAAAAATGTTCAAATCGACAAAAAATTACAAAGCAATGTAAGAGTGACTGTTCAAATGTTGGAAAACAAAGAAGAATCTCCAAAATATTTTAGAGGCAAAGCAGTGAGCCCAACAACCCCACGTTTAAAACATGGATTGTATTGGGGTTATAGTGTAAGACTTGCACCCAATCTCAGTTCTGTTTTCACTCAGTGCTCCATAGCTGATAAATATGACATCATGATTGGGACTTCAGAACGTGGTGAATCAATAGATGATTTTATTTTGCCATCGTTCAAACATCTATTAATAGTTTTTGGTGGGGTCAAAGGTCTGGAAGAGAGTTTATCAGCTGATGAAGACTTGGATGAAGTTGATGACCCATCTTGCTTATTTCATCATTACTTGAACACCTGCCCAAACCAGGGTAGCAGGACTATAAGAACTGAAGAAGCTATTTTAATTACGTTGTCTGCACTTCGACCAAAAGTAATGCAATCTATAGCAATAAAGTGAGATCTAAAATTTGGCCGAATTATTATCTTCTTGCAGTAACATATACCTTCCCTCGGCACAGACCAATTGAAGCTTGTAAACTTACAGGGCTTTTAAACACTGATCATGCGTCACAGAGCAGTTATAATGGCGTGTTGTGTGGGTTGTTCAAGAGGGTCTTGTAGTATTTTTCAACAATATAAATCAATCACATTTGCCAGCTAATAAATCACTGGTAAAATAGGAGTACCAATGATAGGACACCTAGGTATGACTCACCAGCACTGCCCTCATCAAAACACAAAACTTGCCTCATGTACCAGACCATAGTCTGCTGGTGGGTTAAATATAACTACCTTTATCTTAAAACGCAACATCCACTTTTTACTTTAACGTGTGTAAGTATCAACTCTATTGTTGAATCTTGCCATCTTCAAAAAATCGGGCTTTGTTTTGTGGCTGTTTTTTACAGTTGCGTCTCCGGACTGATTGCAAACCCGTTTTGGCACTAACCAGCATTATCAATAAATGTTCTCACCTGTGAAACAAATTATTCAATGCCGATAAATTCATATATTTGGGGCTATTAGATTTCAGTGTTCCCTTATTAAGACTACACCATCGATACCGAGCCATATTTTTTACATACTAATGAATCACCCCTTCCTGTGACTTATAGAAATAGACACAATGAAAACTTCAAATCAAGAATGTAATGTGTATAATGATATTGGCATAAAATAAATATTGGGCATTGCACAGTGATCATACAAACTAATGTAGGTAAACATAAGACTATTTTTTAAATTGATTTTGTTTTAATCTCTGCATTCTCCTTTCCATGGCTAACTTCTTTTTTCGTTCTATTTCCAAAGCACTACATTTCGGTTGAGAGGAGGTAGGGGCAGCTTTGTTAGACTGTTTTGTACTTTGTGCAGGCAATGATGTAGAACCACTTTTATTGGATGAGCTGATACCTTGAGATGAGCCTGCAAAATAATAAAAGTGAATATCAAAGCAATCGCCACAAATTATTCAGTACGCAAGATACCAAAAAAAAAAAGGTTCCTGACAAATGATTGTTTGCCAAACAACCAAACACAAGAGGCTTTGACACCAAGCCATAAATTCCGAGAACTAAAAAGTAGCTATAGATCGTTGCTCTTAAGGAACTAGCCAAATTCAACAGGTTCCAAGGCTTTCTTAAACGCTTCACCTGCATATATAATCTAGCATAGATAGGATAGGATTTACATATTTATCCCGGGGGAGAGGAAAACCGATAAGACGGCTTATCCATATGGCGAACAACCACGGCCTCTCGTCCGGTTACCATTCCAAGTCGGGTATGGAATTGGTTATATTGTTTGTTTTCGGAAGCATGGACTTGGTGGTGGAGGAAGCCGTAACCGACCAGCAATCCTCTCGCACATAACCATCCCTGCATGGGATTCGAACCTGCGAACCCACGCAGAGTAATTAGAGGTGCGGTGGCGAACGTATTCCTAACGCTTAGCCCGTTGAGCCACACCGCCACGCCAGATTACAGTGACTGGACGCCACGCCAGATTACAGTGACTGGACTATCAAATGACAAATTGTTAGTTAAAACTCAATTCGACATATTTATTATAACCAACCAAATGCATAATTCAATATACCTTTCGAAGAAGAAGATTGTTGAGATTCTGTTATTGCAACTGCTTCCAACAACATATCGTCATCTTCAGAGGAGAACCCATCACTTGACACATCCTTACACACTACCGATTTTCTCCTATTTCCAGAATTATTTTTTACAGTAACACTATGATAACTTGTTGTAGGCTTACTTTGAGGTAGTGACTTTTTATTTAAATCGACTTTCTCCGATCTCGTAAATTTATACGAGGTATTTCTATGTCCAGATGTATTAGGGAGGTTTTGCGCTGTTGCATTTATAGGCTTGTGTTTTAATACACTTGTTGAATTTGAGTTTTTACTGATTTCTTGGTTTTCATCTTCTGTCCAACTGTCCTCCATGATTAGTTCTTCTAGCACCTCTGGAGGAATACTTGAATTATGTGCCCCATTTGCAACAGTTCCTACTGACTGAATTGCCGGTTTGTTAGATGTCTGTTTTAAATTAAAATTATTTGATGACAGAGTTTTTGAAGTATGCATTGTTGAAGCACTATTAGTTGTAGAACTTGCTTTAGTTACTACAGTCATACTGTGCACGTTATGTAATTTTCCATTAGATAACACTGGTTTGGAATTTGTACTAGATGACACATTCTGTGAGGATGTACTGTTTCGTAGTACACTTTTCCGTGTATCAGCAGCATTACTTTTTGGAACAAACTTATAGTTATTTTTCTGCGGTAACACTTTTTTTTCCTTTTGTGGACTTGGCTTCGTTGGCCTGCCTTCATCCATAAAAAAGTCTAAGAATCCTTTTGCATTGCTAGTGGAACTAGTTTGAACATCATTCTGATGCATCCTGTGACCTGATTTTGCTGTAATAACAGGAGTGCTTGATTTTTGAGCAGTTGAATGCCTTCCTGGAGTCATCTTCATTGATTTCTAAAGTTCAATGTCAATTTAATCAGTTTTTGAAGTAGTTAATGGTGAAAGATTTTTAACAAAAAATTATAATTTGGGTGCAACGATGTCGAAGAAAGTTTTCACCAAACCATTTGATAATCGACTCTCGGGGCAACAAAAACTTTTCGCATTTGACTATGATAACAAAAACTTGTGACTAGCAATTGTGACCCTTTCCTAATTGTCTGTTGAGAATGCTCAGTCAGCTTTTTCTTATCACAAATTTTGACTTCGAGTGTTCCCATTAAAAGTATGAAATTCTACGTCTGACTCCAGCTCCGATATCATTATCAATGATTCTGTCAGAAAACCCGAATACTTAACACAGAGTAGGTACAGACTCTGCAAGGTAGGTACACGCATAATTTGAAATTTAACGGATCATCTGTGTACAATAATTGATGCAAAATAAACTTACTGTAGGAATAGATGCATTATCAACTTCCAACATCAATGAATCGTCTGCAAATAAATCATCATCTGTCCATGCATCAGCACTAGGAGAATAGGGTGATTTTCGTGGAAGTAGTGTAGCTGCAATGTACAATACATAAATGTAACACTCAAAGATCGGTTCACCGTATTAATATAGACAATACATACTTGACAGTGTGATTATTATTACTTAGTAACATTGTTATTTACAAAGCATAATATTACCTTTATTGGTGCTTTTGGCAGTAGAAGCTAGTTCTTCTCCATTTCCTGACATATCAAATAATAGATCCATTGATGTATTGATAAGAGGCTTTTTTACTGGAATAAAAAAGTATTGAAAATATTTAAATACAATGAGAACCTTGTACCAACCAGCATACATTTGGTAATAAATTGTAGAAACTGCTCCACCACCACTAGGAAAGTGATATGATTACCTTGAAAGGGCACAGTATCAAATTGTCGTTCATCTTCACTTTCTTCTTCTTCCGGTAACTCAGGAATGATTAATCTTTTTCCAACATTTGATGTTGCTGTTTCACCTAAACAGCACAATAATATTTTAATTCATAAAATATTCCAAGTATGCACAAACTTGATTATGTATGCCACCTATGTATTTGTAAACGAAGCACACTGGATCAGACCACTGACACAAAGACAACTCAATTATAACTTAGCACTACTACTTTATTAATACTAATATATTTATTCTGATATCCCAGCCATCTTGTGTGAAATAATCATGCATGTAAAATATACTAGAATCCATGGTATGTCATCTGCATCATCACCTTCTATGGCACTAACTGTTCGGCTCTTCCAACACATCAGACATGTATGGCCAAACTGAAATATGACATACATCATGTTTCAGAGGACTTGCAGTCAGCTTTCCATCCTCTCACCACGACAGATCAAATCCTCAATGACTAATATGGGTTATGGGCAAAATTACTTGTGTCATGATAGGCTGCAACAACACAAAATTGTCTTCTATCATAGATTCACTAAATTTCATGAAATCACTTACAATCTCTTGACGCTCGCCTCAGTGCATTTATGATCTGATCAACTTCTTTTCTTGATTCTTCATACCTTGTGTAGTTATCTGTTGACACTCTAGGTCTTGAAGTTAATCTCTACAAGAAGAATTGAAGTTATTATTAATGGTGGGGGCGGGATAAGTTGAAGATGTTATACAAAAAGTAAAGCACAAACCTTTGTCCTTGGTAATTGGGGGCTGCAATGAACATCTTCATCATTGTGACTTGGACCTAAAACATAGATAGAAATTGAAACAGGAAAATAACAATTTTTATGCCTTTTAAAATTGCCCTTGTTTTTTCAAGATTATATCGTAATACTTATTTGCCAATTTCTTTTTTAATATAAATATCAAAACCAAGTACCGGTAGGTTAAAAATAAAATATATTGAAATTCGCTTTACATAAAAAAGTAGTCATTTTATGAACGATTATTATTCTCTGAAGTTTATTATATAATGGCGTTATACACAAGGCTCCAGGCAAGCAGTAACTTTTTAGAAGATACTTTTAAAGGGCTTAGGTACAACACACTAACTACTAGGCTACCATTGCCAAATAAACCTATTTCAGGCATGGGGCAGACAAACATATCATAACAACCATTCAAACATTGATATATTAATAAAACAGCGCTCCAAAAGTATGTGTACCAAAATGGAGATAACAAATTTTGTTCGCCTACTTCACATCAAGTTGTACCATGGACTGAAACCTATGGGCAGGGGGTATATTCACTTGGCTAACACAGACAGTCCCTGAACTCGTAATAAAACTAAAATAGGGAAAATTGGATTAAATTATGGCCTAAATAACCCTAACCTGGTACACACACTATGGGAGTACCCCTAAAACTTTTAAAGAGAATTGTATTTAACATTCATACACTTATATATAGAGTCTCTGTAAAAATTCCTTCTGTATACTAAATTAAATTACAATTTATGAATATATAGGTATTAATAAAGTACCGTTATGTTAAATTCCCAAACCTTGTAACAATCTCCATGCAGCAGGTGTAGGGGAGTCATGATCCCAGAAGACTTCCACACTGTCATCCATGATTGTTTTTTCAAGCGTTTTCAAGACATTTTAGTCATATAGTACAAGAAACTATATAACAAATCTGCTTTGGCAGAATGGTAAACAAAATTAAATGAACTTGGCAGGAATTCGAAAAATAAGACGTTACAAAACGAAATGTTATTCAAGACATTTTAGGCATATAGCACAAGAAACTCTAAAACGAATCTGCTTGGCAGAATGGTAAACAAAATGAAATGAACTTACCAGGAACTCATAACGAAAAATAAGATGTTACAAAACGAAATGTTATTCAAGACATTTTAGGCATATAGCACAAGAAACTCTAAAACGAATCTGCTTGGCAGAATGGTAAACAAAATGATAGGAACTTGATAGGAACTCGAAAAATAGGATGTTACAAAACGAAATGTTATTCAAGACATTTTAGGCATATAGTACAAAAACTATGAAACAAATCTGCCTTGGCAGAATGGTAAACATAATGAAACGAACTTGCCAGGAATTCATAACGAAAAATAAGATGTTACCAAATGAAGTGCTGGGCATTGGTGTATTTACCTTCAAGCATTGAACAGAGATGTGTGAAATATGTGCACAGTTTATAAAGTCGGAAAAAGATGCATTGTATATCCTGTGGATCAGTGGCTCTCAAATGGTGGCCCGCGCCCCACAAGGGAACGTAGTATTTTTTGAGGGGCGTGAAGCTGATTAAGGATATTTACAATTCAAAACTTTTCATTTATTTCATTATTTACGTTCCATCCACGTATTTTCAACGGGTTTTTTTGATTAAAATATTTTTGACTTACTATCTGTTATTTGTAGCTTATTGTTAGCTAGTTATTTTTGAGGTGGGACGTAAGACTTGAAAATTTCTAAAAAGGGGGCGTGGCTTAAAAAGTTTAAGGACCATTGCTGTAGATGCATAAAATCAATTTAACCAAACCAGAGTAGAATAAACACACGGCCAGTAAGTACAACCTTGGTGACAACATTGTAGTTTGTTAGAAAGTGAGGTCTCAAAGGTACACATTGTGAAAACCTCAACATGGATGAAATCCATGTAATGAACTGAAGTGAATCATTACATGACACTATGACAGATGTAAAAACTATGCCTTAATAACTAGAATAAACAAGAACAGTACTTATGATCTCATTCCACAAAAGCATATTCACTGTTTTTAAGTTATCCAATATAAGTTCCTAAATTCAAGCTTTTAAATAATGACATACTAAAACCAACCTGACAACACCTGATGGCTCAATGGTTGATATTGATAATGATCCCAAAGTAAGACAAAATGCAATTCCCAAATAAAGAATGTTGACTTCGATTTCAACTACCGTAGTTATTTGCAGTACACGCAATGAAAATGTAAACATAGTGGCAAAAGATCATGATTGGGAGTGTGTCATGGAATTTGAAACACTGGAAACTGAAACACTGAAAACTGAAAGTCATAGTTGCTGATGGCATGAACCTCAAGGTAAATGTATATTCATACAGAAAATGAGGTCAAAATACCCCAATGATCTGATGGAAACATGCCACATGAAAGTCTCTTCATTCCAACAAATCGCATCTCCGTTGGTTTGAAATGTTGCTTGCTTGTCTCAACTCTAGTATACATTCTCGCAAATCGAAGTCTTGCTTTTCCATCTTTAACTTGATTGTCATTATTTTGCAAATCCCATGAATATCTTACATCTTGAGGAGAACCAAGAATCTCCCATATATCTTTCACCAATGTAGCATCAAATTTACCAGAGTGAACAACAGAGGTAAACTCAGCATCTCTGAGATTGGTGTCACCACCAAAAATAACAGTGCTTGCAGAAGGAAATTGCATCATTGTGGAATACAATATACCAAGCTGTCTTTTTCTTTCTTGCTCGCCAGTTTTAGTACTTTCCAGATGAGACGTCAACACTGCTACATCAAGGTTGTGACATTTACCTTCAACTATCAATATATCTCTTCCTTGTCTTGATCCAGAGAATGAAACAACTTTTGCTGTGCATGATTTGAAGAGACTTTTATTTATGAAAATACATGTAAAATATTGGCCACATTGACTACTAATTTCTGAAGGCGAGAATCCAGTATAGGTCGATTTTAATGCACTTTTCATATATAAATATGTCTCTAATATAACTTCTTGTAGCATTACCACAGTTGGAGAATACTGTCGAATAGTATTCACGACCGCCACTGTTCTTTCTTGTAAATAGTCACCAAGTAAACCTTGTATATTCCACTCTAAAACTGTGATATTTGGTTTTAGGTCATCAACAATAACACAATCATTATCAGATTTTTTGACTTCTGTTTTAGAGCTGGAAGCTCCACCATCTTCATAAACCATTCCCAATGCCATTTGTAAATCTCCATTACTTACATTGAGATAATATTCAGCCATATCCCTTGAATCAGTATTGGTTATGCTTAGGAATTGCTCAATTGCTTCATCCATATTTTTGAGCAGTGGTGCTATAGCAATTCACCTGCATTGATATTACAAAACTGAATTAAATAGAACAAATATGTTAAAGTTGAACTTAAAACAAAATACTGCATTGAATGAATTTACAATGGCATAGTTGACGGTAATTGAATTAAAAAATAAACATGCTGATATATATATATATATATATATATATGTATATATATGGGGTGAAGAATGGAATAAAGTCTAAAAAGCATGATTTTGGGACATAGTAAAATAGTTCAAATTCTAATTTTTTATAAATATTGAAGCTTTGTGGTGCATATATAAATAATAGGAATTTCTTAATAACTTAATAATCACAAACCATTCCAATAGTAAGGATTTTGATAAGAATTTGTTTAAAAGCTGTAGAACCCTTCAAATAAAACCAATCAATACTGTTATGTACAAGTAATGTGTCCAACTACAAACAATATTTTTTCATCAAAATTGCACACAGAAATGACCTTGACTTTGGAGGGTGATAAAAGATGTGATGTCAGAAACTCTGTACATAGATGATATACTCAAGAACAAACAGTGTGAAGCGTACTTTAAGATATGAACCTATGAAAATACAATAAAATGCTGAATAGTCTTTTGATGCAGATAAACATGTTTGTTCATATGGACAAGATCCTGCTTTGCAGTGCTGTCTGGTTTTATAGAGTTGTGTCCAATAATTGTTTAAAGAAAGCTAGGCCACATTTGTTAGTAGTTTTCTTTTCATCTTATGCATGCAGAGCTTACAGACTCCAAAAGGAGTTCAGGCGACCTCCCGTTGAGGATAACTGATTTTAATATTTTAAGAAAATTTGTACTTCTAAAATAAGATATTGTAGGACAATATGCTGACTATAGTTATTGTGCAAATTGCACGATTAAACCCCAGTGATCAGATATGAATCTTCCACTTGGCAATCTTTCCATACCAACAAACTTCATGCTAGTGGGTTTAAAGAACTGCTTTGCCTCATTTCCACATTGTCTTAAAAATATCCTGTCCAATCTGTGGCGGCCTTCTTCATTAGTGTTGTCATTCAACTCCGTGTTCCAAGTATACTTAGTACTATCTGGTGATCCCAGAAGATTCCATACATCAGCTACTTTAGTGAGATCAAACTTTCCATCCTTGACTACCGAGTTGAATTCTTCATCCTCAAGATTTGTGTCTCCTCCATAAATTACTGTTTGATTATCCGGTTGTGATATCATAGTCTGATATAGACTAGCAAGCTGCTTCTTTCTTTCAGCCATTCTTTTAGGCATACTTTCCAAATGAGATGTTATAAAAGCCATTTTATAACCATGATAATCGCCGTTTACGACCATCAAATCCCTTCCTAGTTTTGAATCAGGATACACAGTAACTGTAGCTGATGTAGAACCTATTTGTTTTTTTCTGATGAATATTGCAGTGAAATAATGAGAGCATCCTTGTCTTAAATCATAGGGGGAATATCCTATGTAGTTTGAACTCAAAGCCTCATTAAAATAAGAATAAGTTGATTCTATTACTTCTTGTAACATTATCACTGCAGGTTTGCTTTCTTCAATAATTCCAACGACTTCTTTTGAACGTTCAGTTAAGAATTCATTGAGTAAACCTTGTATATTCCATACCAGTATTTTCAACTCTGGAACTGATCCTTTTGACGCAGTTCAACCCATTTCAGATGACTCTCCTTCCATTTAAATAAAAGCAATAAAATCTAATAATAATTAACTAATTATCTAGATATTTTCTAAAAAAGTTAATTACAGAAAAAAAATATTAGCAGTGAGAATTCACTAATTCACCAATGATATATTATTACATTGTAAAGAGCAACATGTTAATGATGAATCTCGATAACTGAAAAGCAAGAATATAGTAATTATTTTGAGTGAGTTTTCCTGATTGCATTGACTTAAATTGCAGCAAGTTTATCTATAGCATTGGTTCTCAAACTGGGGTCTGCGGTCGCCTAGGGGTCCGCGAAGCGATTTCAGGGGGGACCGTGAGGCAGCTTTAACCTCGGCACAGAAGCACTTTGATTTGAAGTAAAATTTTATGTCATGCTTTTACAGTATTGCTCCAAAGCACGACACGCTTTACAGAAGACATTATAACTGTAACAAACTTTGGTGAATGTGGGAAGTACCGCAATTCAGAGCGTATTGTTCATGGAAGGCGTGTGCATCTGATTGTAAATTTTTCGTGGTAATTTAAAAATGCCCCCCTGCCATAAAAAATAAATTTGGATATAAGGATTCATATGTGAAATTTGATTTTGCTGCAATAAGTTCTGGAGGAAAAGAAAAACCACAGTGCCACCGTCCTATCTCGATGTCGCTAAGATGGCCTTAAACGCCCATTCGATTTACAACAACTTACAAAAGTGAGGCAGCTTTTTCTACGGTACTCGTTATTAAAACAAAATGTTGAAACCGAATGGACGTGAGACATGATTTGAGAGTTGAGTTATCCAAAACAGAACCCAAGGTAGAAGAACTAGTGGAAGCCAAGCAAGCTTATTGAACTGTTTTAATGTCATTCAATAGATGAATGCTTAATATACTGCGTTGCAATTTGCTTTCATTTCTTTAGTGGACCGAGAGTCATCAGAAAAATTGCAAGGGGACCGGTATGCAAAATTTTTCAAAAAGTTCGAGAACCACTGAATTATAGTCAATCTTTGTCAGTATCTATTAATCAACCCATGTGCACAAGATATTTTCTCTAAAAACTTATTCGCATAGTATTTAAAAAAAATGGCCTTCATATCAAATCCATTGGTAACTATACTGCATTTCTGAAATTATAAAACAAAAAATAACCTTGCAAAATTTATTTGTGCTGCTCAAAATAATACATAGGTACATATTATGTCATGTCTTATTGAAATACGACAACTAATGAAAATATATATCTGACTCCGATTACTGTGTATAATTTTCAAATTCAAAAACCTCCAAAAAATATAAAAAAAATAACAATATCAAAGTAACTTTGAAACAATGAAGACAAGTACATGGTATTCCTCCAATATTAATTTACCAATGTAACTGTAATCGCAAAAAAATAAAATAAAAATTCACATTTATAACTGTTATGCTCCAAAGAACAATTAATTTTACTCAAGAAAAAAATTGAAAAACTTTTTATCCAAAAAAGCTTAGATGAGGCAGTGAAAATGTATGATTAGCAATGTGAAATTCTCAACATTACATTTCTGCCTATAGTTATTCCAAGTCAGTTGAAATACATGCCATATGAATCTAGGACATCATTGGTAATGCTCGAATAAACCAGCACTTGTTAATTGAGAGTTAACAAAACAGTGCTTGGCTCCTATGATCCAGTTGCAGCACAAATTGAGTCATCTAAAAAATCTAAATTATCACCTTCGAAATTATCCATAAATTGAAACTCATTTCCTGAGATAAACAATAAATCACTATTGAAAAAATTTTAATGGATGTTAAAAGAAAACTGGGGCTAGGCTGATATGAAAAATTGGTTTTCTTACAAAGATTGCATTGTTTTTAGAGAACTTCGTAATCACAAGGACAAAATATGAATACTCCCATAATGCTAACAAATAGGATGAATTGTTAGCTGATAACTGCAAAAAAGATGAATAAACGGATAAAGGTCAACTTATGGAGAGAAACTCTCGATACTGAAAACCCCTTTATTTTTTTTTTAAATAAAAGTACACAATAATAATTCATATATCAGTACTATAAATCTATCATTGTAGTAAAGTTGTTATCACTTCTTTTATTGTTTCAGCATAATCAGTCTCTCCGTTATCAGGTATACAAACACAGTCTAGAAGAGTGAATTTTAAATGTCTATTAGTGCTCATACTTGCGAGATCTTCAGCTGATATTACATCGTCGCAAGAAACTGCACCATTTAAATCCTGTTTATTTGCAAGCAAAAGACAAGGAATCTCCCTCAGTTCTTCACTTTTTAATATTTCGAAGAGCGCATCTTTTGCTTCAGTAAGTCGACTTTGATCACTACCATCAACAACAAAAACCAATAAATCAGTTTTTTGAAGAAAATTCGGCCAATATGGACGAGAACTTTCCCCACCGCCAACTTCCATCAGATTTAAGTAAAAATCACCATGTTTAGATTGTGCAACATTAAAACCATTTGTTGGTGTATATTTTTTTGGGTTTCTGTTTTGATGTTTTGTTAATGTTTCAATCAATGCTGTTTTACCCGCTCCATCAAGTCCTAGAATCAAAACTTTCTTCTGCGAATCAGATTCGTCCTCTTCATCTTCTTCTGAAATATCTTCTACATCATGTGGCGGAAATTCAAACTCATTCGCATTTTGTTCTTTAGGAGCTATTGTGACAGGAGTTGTGAGGTTTTGCAAAACAACAGGAGGTTCATCAGAATCTGATATGATAGAATCCTCATCGCCAATTCCTTCATCCGCTTCATCGCGTTTTTTACGTTGTAGTATTGAATACAAATAACCAGCAGCCAAAGTAACTCCAACACCAACTGCTCCCATAGCTATCAAAACCTTCGTTCTATTTGAAGACATAATTGCAGTTGTATTATGTTACTTATTCTAGAAGTATAAAATGTATTGTTATTTTGTGTAAAAATAAATGTTGTAAACAAAATTCTAAAGTTTTGTGTACCTGTTTATTTCAACAATTTTAGTTAAGAAAATTATTTTTTATAGATTTTGGAGAATACCATATACAATACTGCAAGGGACTGAAATACTTAATGCTGTAAATCTGTAATATACATCAGTGAAATGTAGCATATAGCCCATTAGTATATTCAGCTTCAATTTGCAGTGCACAGAAAATGGAAGGGCAAATAAACTGCAAGAAATCAAGTTCAAAAAATATTTGACAAGATAAGAAAATCCATACAAAAAAATAGAATATATACAGAAATATATATATATTATTCAGTTCATATTCGTATGTTATATGAATATAAATCTGTAATCCATATTCAGACATAACTCCCAGTCATGACATATCGTAGATAGCTGACATTTTTGTGCAACTTAAAAGTATAAACCCATCCCAGCTACTGAGCTACATACCAGTGCCGTAATTGTTCGCGCATAAACACATACCAGTACCGTACCGGTACCAAAACAAGTATACCGGTACTTATTTCTCACTAAACCACATTTCCACACTTTTTTTGGACACAGGTACGTATATTTTTTTTATTAAATGGATCCACAATGTGGATTATTCAATATGTAAATAATAAATAAATTAAATATAAATAAAGATATATTGTGTACCGCAAGTGAACAAACATATATATCAGTAATATCAAGTACGTATATTTTTCTCTTTGCCTATTTCCGAGTTCTTTAGTCTTCTCTCAACATGAACCCGTAGCCGTAGCCAGTGATACTCAGTACAGTATAGGTACTGCAGTACAGTATGCACTTGACTACACTACAGCTACCGGCACACACACATTTTGACTTTTGCGCAATTTGAATAGTTTATCTCAACATGGGCGCATAAATACATACCGGTACCGTACCTATTCCAAAGTGACTATAACACACTTTGACCCATTTCAATAATAAACGCTGCTTGAGCAAAAACTTGATAATACGATACCATGCTGCACAATAATGATAAAAAGTGGCATGAACATGCGATTCTTAACATTAATTTTCATAGCATCTTGGCAAATATCTGTACGTTTAGGTATAACTTATCGATCTTATTATAACTTATCGATCTTAAGATCGGTAAGAATGTTGATAGGTATTTGTCTGCATGTCTGTTTGTATGTTTGTTAGATGAACGCGATATCTCAAGAAGGCGAGGTTGAATCTGCTCCAAATATAATAAGTCTTCGGTCTCCGACCGATATTCTCGTTTTTAAGTTATATGATTTTACGAGTATGAAAACATAAATTTCGCGTGACCAAGGTTATCACTTTACTTTAATTGCCAACAAAAACGATATTCATACGCAATGAAGATGAAACGAGAATATCGGTCGGAGACCGAAGACTTATCGATCGAAACTGCGGTTTCGATTTATGATTCCATAGTGACACCGCGTGTCCCATCATTAATTAATTAATAACTCGCTAATTATACGACATAATTCATTCAAAATCAATGGGCTTCTGGTCCGAAATATGATGAATACACATGCAAAATGTGGAGCAGATTTAACCTCGCTTTCGTGAGACATCGCGTGCATCTAACAGACAAACAGACAAATACCCATCAACCAGTGATTTCCCTACACCCCCCCCCCTATAGGGGGTGAACACCCCCCCTAAAATTTCAAACACCCCCCCTAATTTTGAGATGCAATTCCACACTGAGGGGTTCTAAACCGCAGTCTGCGGGGCAATTAGGGCCCGCGTGACGATTTAAAATGGCCCGCCGAACTTGAGTGAAATATTTTAACCCTTCATGTGGTACCTTTTGAGTTTTAGATACCGTCTATTGTTACATCATTATCACAGTTTAAGCACGTTTATTTCGTAACAATTGAATTATTCCGGTATCTTATGTTTACGTATGGGTATTAGGATTACACACTGCAGTATTTTAGATATCAGCCGTATATTAAGAAAGCTTGAAGATGTCACAAAACGGAAACTAGGCACTGAAAACAGACGTTTTTTAGATGAATGACAGCGTTGTTTATTTCTTTATTGAAAAGAATTAAACTTCAGCGATTTGTCTTATTACCAACAAAATATTTCAGTTCTGAAGGAATACAACATTATGCGACTGTATGATCAGTTGACGAGCTTATTCCAAAATTTAATTCATACAAAAGTCAAACAAGCATGTTTAAAAAAATTAGAAATGTTTAACAAAACAAGACATAAGTAGCCATACATACAATGCCAGATGAGCAAGTAACTTCATTAGTCACTATCAGTTGCAACTTGCAAATTACTTGTTGAAACGTAGTAGAAAAACTGCCAGACTCTTTCTGCCAGACTGCCGTCTGGGTCGGACGTGTTTTTGTTGCTCTGTTAGATGAAAGATCAATCAATGCTGTTGGACTGAGAATGCTACGCGCTGTGTGTTTCAGTATTTACTATTAGATTTGTATCTCGTGATATCAACATGATCAAGGCCCATCCACCGGAATTAAAGAAGTTTATGGATAAAAGATTGGATTTAAAGTTTGTGTTTGGCAGTCGTCGGGTGCGGTCGCATTTTTGAACGGCGCAGAAAGATTAGATCGACAACAATGAACCAGCACTTAAGGAATATCAACAAGTAAAGGCCGAGATATGAAATTACATGGCAGCATAAAGGCAACATACGGACATCATAACAGAATCGAAAGATGAATACAACAGGGATTGATTCAGATATTTTATTTTGTGACAAAGAGTATGATATACTGCTATTTCTAGAAATTCCGCTTGAATACTGAGTATTCAACTATATATGTGTAAATAGTTTGCAGTGTAACATTTTTAAACATTCATTTAGTGGCATATTTTTGATTTGTTCTCTCTGTGTGTATACCGGTACTGTTTTAACAATGTTGGCCACGTCAATGTATCAATTAGGCTACAGACCTGCTCACGTGTGATTAGTGTTTTTCCTAATAATTGCTTTTATGAGTGTCCGCACACCGAATTTGCCGCCATGGTTTTGCGTTTGTTTGTATATTAAACCACTTATCACCTTTTCCGCAATGCCCAATCTAGCAATCAGTGTTTTAACAATGTTGGCCACGTCAATGTATCAATTAGGCTACAGACCTGCTCACGTGTGATTAGTGTTTTTCCTAATAATTGCTTTTATGAGTGTCCGCACACCGAATTTGCCGCCATGGTTTTGCGTTTGTTTGTATATTAAACCACTTATCACCTTTTCCGCAATGCCCAATCTAGCAATCAGTGTAGTTTTTCATGGCTTGGTTTTTCTTAAAGCTTTCATGGCTTCATGAGTATGACTATCGTCGCAAATTTATTACATTCCACTCCCCACATTATCTTTGCATGAGGTTGTAGGTATTGGTCATTATCAACGTAATTGTTGAAAGAGAGTACAACAGCCCGAAAGTTTATTACTATCGTGTATTTTGTTTTTTAAGTTTGGCCCAAGCCTCATTTAATTGGGCTTGTGTTTTTGTGTGCGTGCTGGTGGGCAGGCACATGAGATACTTCATGTTTTAAACTTTTTTGTAGGTTTTGCTTGCCCTCCAGAATTCTCCATTTTAAATTTAGGTTTGTTATGGAGTTTTCGAAATAATCTATCTATCTAAACTATCTATCTATCTAGTAGTATATATTTACGGTTGAAAGCCGTGCTTGTTATCTATTCCCCGGGAATTCTATCAGCTAAATATTATAATTATTGATTTTATTACATAACAAACTGCGATGTTAGGTGTATCTAAAATCAAGCTTAGAGCCTATTTTGGTGCCTATTTCTCAAAATTTTCTCAGGGCGCTTGAGCGCGCCCTGAACCCCAGCCGTGTCGTCCCGCACTTTTCCTCGCTCCCCTTCTCTGGCCCTACAATTACATTCTGCTGTGGATTTTTGCTCGCGTCAATCAACTTGGGGGGCCCCATGTAGCTTACATCGTTTCTTAAATACATACCATTTTTTTAAGAATACAAATAGCCTAGTTTTATATCTAACAGCAAATATTTAGCACCCCCTAAATTTTGAAACACCCCCCCTAAAAAGAAAAGCTGGGGAACATACTGCCATCAACATACTTACCGATCAAGATCGATAAGTAACAACATACTTACTGATCAATATCGATAAGTAAAAACCCATCGTCGTGCGCAATGTACCCTTCTATTCTATTTAATTATAGGTTTCAAATGAGCACTATCAAAATTAAATTTATTCGGAACATGATGGAGTGAAATCTCCTCATTGTGAGGTATGTTCAACCAAAAATGTTACATGACATTGTCTCTGGTTAAACCAACTTTCTATTATATTATAATGATTTGTAGGCTATACCTAGGGATAAAATCAGTGATCGCTTTCAAAATTTGAAGTGGGGGTTCTCTTATGTATCGAACTCTCTACAAATACGTAGGCTACCCTCAGAAAAGTTACGTATTTTTTACGCAAGCAACATTCATGTGACACGCCTTATGAAAATTTAATACACAACTATTAAACATATATATATATCATAATTCATAAAGAACGTGGCATTCTTGATGTTATAACCAGACGTGTAATGTATGTTTCCGGTGCAAAAAAAATCAATATCATCGATGCGACGATTAAATGATCTGTCCATTTTTCGCAGCGTTTTGATACAGAGTTCCCTTCCGAAGGTCCATAATCGGTCGTTTTAAATGTTTTCATGTCCAGCATTTCGTTATTTTTGTCATTCACCAGACGCTAATTTTAGTTTATAAAAATTCGAACATGTACGTGAATAAAATTGAATTAATAAAGTCTATTGCATTTGCGGCACTGGACGAAGGGAATATTTGACCTTCTAAAAACCTTTCGGGGATCACTCGGTGAGATCACGATACCTGGTCCCCGGAGTGGCGCGGATGCCAGTCAATACCTGCTTCAAGTCCATTCTCGTGCGAACGTCTGATCTAAAACATTAT